CATTCTTGGGGGCCTCACTCAGTTTTGGGGGGGAGGGGGAAGGTGCCCTGTAGCATAGCATAGAAATTAAGCATGGGGATGAAGGTGGACGCAGAGGTGGTTTCTCAGTCCAAGTTTACAGTATCAACAGGCTGATAATTTCCAGACAGTTTTCAAGAATGTCTCTTCGCTTCGCAGTTATGGATGGCACCGTTCGGATATATTTAGGGATCGTACTGCGGCACTCGCTTTGAAGCTATTGTGCGCTTGATGCGATGGTAGACAAAGAATGGAAGGGTGGGCTGGAATAATTGGGTGCGGGTTCGAAGATCTAATTAGATTGTTGGATTGCTTTCCCAACCTTTCTTTTTCTTTTCATATTTATTAAAAATCTTGAGGGGACCAGTTCAGACTAGAAAGCCAATAGGACAATGGAGCAACCAAAGGAGAAGCCTCTGGAGACAGAAACTGAGTTATGAGGTTGTAACGATATCAACGGATGGTCCAAAGTGAAGAGAGTAAATGATGCTATACAAGAGAGAGGGGAGGAGAAGCGATGTTTGGAAACTTCGAAGTTTTAGATATAAATAGCTACAAACAAGCAAATGGATACAAGGGGATTGAGAAGGTACAAGGCCTCGCTGGTCTGTCGAATTAGGATCGATTGTATGAAGCAAAGAACAAAATATGCTAAAGATTCGGACGGGTATATGAGTATGATACTAACACTGCGGTCTATGTGGCGTATAATTACAACGACCAAACTCAAAAATAGGTGAGAGGAGCAATAAAAAAAAACCAAGAGAGAGAAAACCTATAAACACCGAGGAACCATGAAAACCCCAAAAGGAAAGTCAGGAGTTATGTCCTTCACAAAACCTGTAGTCCTGCTCCTCGCTTAAGTTACAAATTAGACTGTACTTACAAACCAAAAACACCTTATCTATAGCCCTTTTCCATTTTCACTTCTTCTGCCGTCCTTCAAGCTTTGTCGGCAAATACCGTCTTTAAATATTATACTATTATTAGCTTGTTACGCCTGCTTCGTCTTTTATCCTTCGGCCTCAAGTCCTTTGCTCATCCTTTGTCCCAATGGCGCAACTTGGCGGAGACAACGACGGCGGGCAATGAGCCAAATCCAAATATCTATACCCTGCGTTGCGGCGTTATTAGTTGCGGGAGAGGCGGCGTCGCCGTGACCGAAAAATACGGACTACCGTTCTTGCTCTGGAACCCAACTCGTTCTATCATTTCGGAAAATGTAGTTTGTGGTCTGCCGTTGCCAGCGGGAGGATACGGATCCCCGATTTGAGCGGGCCGTAGGTGTACCGGGCTGAAAACTTTTATACTCTCTGTACTTGGCTCGCGCCCTATTCCTCGTCCATCACCACTGCCGACGCCACCAACACCATTCGCCCCTGTTTCTCGGTCGTTAAGCGCCGTAGTCGACATAGGCATGGTCGCAATATCATCTGCTGTAGGCCTTGGCCCAAAAAAACTCTTCACCCGCGCACTAGTCCGGCGAAACTTCGATTTAGTATTACCGTCCTCTTCCTTCGCGAGGCCGGCGGCTTGGCGGCGGAGGAAATCTGTCCGGACGGAGTCCTGCGCTGTGGAAGGGATGGGGTCAGAGATGGAGACTACACCCTTCTCGCATGACTTTTCACGGAAATGGCTGAATTTCGACATGGGTGACGGAATGAAACGTTTTTCTTGGCGCCGTCTATAGAAATGAATGATTATCAGCGCGAGGATAATCCCGGCTACAAGACCAGGAATAAGGCCGACAACGATTGCGAGGGGTGGGAATTTGGATCCTTCCGGTGAGGATGATAGAGGCTCTGAGTGGTTGACATTGTGAATGGCTGAAGATGTTGATGTAGGTTGTTGGCCTACTGATGGAAGATCTGAAATTGGGATTATATTTGGGGGTTCGGTTGTAATTGAAGTAGACGGAGAGGTCGAGCTCGTCTGGGTCTGGGTGACCTGTTCTGATTTTGATGCTGTCGATGGAAGTTGGAGTGTAGGGGGAATACGACCCTTGCCTTCTGGAAATGGCGGATATGCTAGGTTTGGGAACGAAACCTGGCAATACAAATTTCCCACATCATCTGATTTACATCTAGCGCCAGGAATACAACAACGATCTCCACATTTCGGTATTCCCATATCAGGTCTCCTCGATTTTGCAGTGGAATGGGGAGAGCGTTCAGGATCGTAATCGTTAGGATCACATGAAGCTTGCGTCATGTTATAGCAGTTGTGGCCCACCGGGCAACATACCATGTAGGCCGCCAGGTTCAGAGTAATGCATACTGTGCCTGGTGGGCAGCAGAAGTTGGCTGGAGCTTGAGGATCATCGCAAGGGGAGTAGTGTTCAAGGGGACATGATCCGCCGTCGCGCTGCACAATGTCGAATGCGCCTTGAGGAGTAAATGGTATTGCTAGTGTCAGTGCCAGCAATGATAAGGAAGTTGAGATGAGGATGATTTTATGCCATAGAAGCGACATCCTGAGGTAATGGGCCAGGTTGTCCTGTCAAAGGAGCATAGGTGTTTACGCCAGCCGTTTGGGATAGAAAATCGAATTTAAAGACCGTATGGAATTGAGTGGTGGGGGAGGGGGGAGAGGAAGACGGAGGAGGAGAAAACGTGATAGCCGCTTGAATGTCTCGAGAGTCAGGAAGTAGCTCTAAACCTTCAATCGAAACATCACAATGTTTGGAATAAAGGAAAACGTAAGAACAAGAAAAGCATATCCCAAGAAAGAGGAGATATAGAGAACGGATAGAAAGAGAGAGAGAGAGAGAGAGAGAGAGAGAGAAAGGCAGATTGAGGAAGAAATTCTATGAAACAAAGAAACACCGGCCTCCATGATGGACCGAGAGTCAAATCAGACCCCACGCGCCATGATCTAAAGAATTGACTACCCAAGGCCCAAGGGATCATCCCCCTTGGGTACGAAACTTCCAGCGAAAAAGGGCCAACATCGGCAAGGAGAGAGGTTTCGCCAGCTAACCCCTGACACGGACCCAGAAGCACGAAACACGCTGAACCACCCAACCGCCAACCTAGACCGAAGCTTGAGACTATCGAGACCCGACCTGGTCCCTCCCGGGCACAGGAGTCCCCTCCCTGCAGCCAAGGAACCGCTTCGGCCGGGCAGACCTGTCGGCTGTGAAACCAACGCTGGAGTCACGGTTGGATGTAGTTGGATCGTGGTTGGATGTTGGTGGTCCAGAGCCGAATCGGGCAACTTTGGCGCTGTATCAGAAAGTCGGCGGCTCAGGGCAAACGCGAGCTGCGATTGGCTGCCGGGTGGATTCCACGCTAGACCAGAACCATCCTAGTCACATTTTGCATCGAAGAAATTCTTTGGCAAATTCTGGATCCCGTGACTTGGAGAGAAGAAAGTCCGTAGCAGTTGGATGAGATGAGATGTACAGCACCCTGCACGGGCGATAATTGACATTATCCATACTATACACAGACTCACTCTCCTGGCAATGGTTAGAATCTGAGTCCACTCTCCGTTCATGATACCGCAACGTTCGCTCCGGCTGCGGCCCGGCCTGCGTGCTGTTTCTTCCTCGTTGGTATGGCAAAAGCTTGTACCCTCCGCTGAAGAACCGCTACCTCGAGCTGCTGCTGACAGTGCTATAGTCCTTTCTTCGAACAAAGCCGCAGAATAGATCAACTCACTATGTCCCTCAATTAGGGCACGATGCTGCCTTCAAAAAGGATGGGGTGCCTGATCTCTTATCGCCGCAGGGATTCGATCTCGCATGGGTTCAATATCAGGGCTTCCTGATCAACAAATTGAATCTTTTAACAGCAGGTATTATTCTGGCACCCAATGGCGTGAGAAAAGCTTTAATTTGAAAACTTTGTGAAGCTGACATATGTTATATCTAGGCACACCTGATGAATCTGCTACTCCTGGCACTCTCCTTGTCAGATACGCCCGCGATGCCAATATGGCATCAGTTTTCAACTATGCCTCCATGGCCCACAACAACCACTTCTTCTTCAATTGTCTTGTCAGTAGATCCACTCCTTCTTTTTTCTTCGAAAGCTTGACCATACCTTGTAACCAGTCAATTCTTATACATTTATGCAGTCACCTCAGCACGTCCCCATCCCCGAACACCTCTCCAAATCCATTGAAGACTCTTGCTCCTCCGTCGAGTCCCTGAAGGCCGAATTTCTCGCAACTGCCAACGCCATGTTCGGCCCGGGATTTGTCTGGCTCGTTAAATCAAAGGATACCGGCCAACTCAAAATCCTCACGACATACATCGCCGGCTCCCCTTACCCTGCTGCGCATTTCCGCCGCCAACCCGTAGACATGGCAACACAGACCACCGGCATTACGGGCGGAGAGAACCTGGAACAGATCAGAAAACTCACACCGACGAACCGAGTAGGGTCCATGGGTGCGTATTCTAGCCAGAAGTTCATGGCGCCTGGTGCTATTGACATTCATCCGATCCTCTGTGTGAATACCTGGGAGCATGTGTGGCTTCCGGACTGGGGTGTTGGCGGAAAAGCTCAGTTTTTAGAATCATGGTGGAATAGGATCAACTGGGACGAAGTGGCTCACAATTCCTCTCAAGCTGGGCCGATTTCAACACGCGCGGGCACTGCGAGATCATCGTACAGGCGGGGTGCGAGGTTCTAAGTTGATATTTCAACGGGAAATGCAAATTAAAGAACCCGAATATGAATGCAAGAATAAAGTTGGATTGGGTTCTATGTCTGTCTATTCTGTATTATACATGTATATCTCATTATGTTCATGCTTTTCTTGTCCCACTAAACATTTACACCCCCATATCACCTGTGCTGTTAGAAATTTGGCGATATAGACGGTTATCTATACCTTTCCTTTTTCCAAGCCATCCCAGAATGGATTTCCCTGCAACAAGGAACATTTCACCTAGGAATATCTCCAACCCAACTTACCCCGTCTATGATGAAAGTAGCTCAGAAAAAAACCTCACCATACACCCATTGCCATACACGCACGAACTCCTCAACCGGCCTTCACCTTCACCTTCTCCAAGTCCCTCACCCTCTTCTCAAACGCCTCAATCATCATCCCCGCCACCTGGTCCTCAACCGCCCCCATCACAGCTGCGTGCAACGCACTCCGAAACTGAAACCGAACCTCCAACTCAACCGTCGTCATCCCCACACCCCTTCCATACGTATTCCCACTCCCACTCCCATTCCCATTCCCATTCCCATTTCCATTTCCATTCACCACCGCATCCCCCCCCGCCCGCAGCTTCCACAACGTATCCAGAAACTCAAACAAGCCCCCATCACCCGCCTCTCCACTTTCGGTCCCGCCGCCGTCGCCCCGCCGCCCGCTCCGTGCCCCAACGGTCCACATCCCCGCATCGCACGTCACGCGCGACACAAACGTCTCCTTCAACGGCCCGTATCCCACCGTCAGGAACGCGCTGGTCGGATACCCAGTCCTCGCGTCGCGGGCCGTCACTGTCGATTCAGTGAGGAAGGGGAGGAAGTCGGCGTACGAGTCTATATCGGCGATTGTGCGGAAGAGGAGGTCTGGGGGGAACGCGAGGTTGCGGGTGGCGGTTAGGGTGCGCGGGGGTGGTGGTTTGGGGGAGATGGGGTTTGTGAAGGAGGGGAGGGAGGGGAGGGAGGGGAGGCGGAAGCGGCGGCTGCTTATTAGGGTTGTCTTTGCTGTAGAAAGGAGAGGGTGGGTGTGAGGACAGCGGAGGCGGCGAAGGAGGAGGAGGTTCGGAGGCCGCATTTTTTTTTTTTTTTTTTTTTTTTTTTAGGGGTTGGGCGACGTCAATGCCCCTTGGCCCCTCTGCTCTCTTTTATTTTTGTGCAGGACAGTGCAGGTTTTTCTTTTACAATATGGAGAGGATCGTAGGTGAGGAGGGAAGGTATATCTAAGATGACCGAGCTGCGAAGCTGCTTGTTTACGTCCGGACTATCGCATAGTTTGGGCTTTGTTTTCACCGAAGTACTTAAATGACTGAGGTGTTCTTTCGGAGGTTTTCTAACTCCGGACGCATGCGCTTCGGGAAGCTTGTTTGGCAGGATATTGGGCTAAGAGGGTAAGCGGATATAAAAATTAGAACAAGATATGGTATTCGTTCCAAATTGGCAGTGTAGAGAGAGTTGGACTTCGACCTCCTCCGCAGCCAAAGTCCGCTGCGATGCCAAGACGGAGAGCTTAGTAATCAGCGACATCCTCTTGGGCACTTCTGTTCTTCATCCTGATGATGGTTCACTGGACTTCCCTTTCCAATACCGAATGTCATTTCCTTGCTGATCCAGGACCCTCGTTCGAAGTAAGAGTGGAACTGCCGTCGAATTCAACCGATAACGAGCCATGAAACAGGGCAGTTCCAGAAGGTTTCTACCAATTCAGCCGCCGTGAACCCCTGCCTCAGAGAGCTCGCGGGAGCGCAAGAGCGCACATCCCAGGAACCATCGGATTATCCCGCTCAGTCTCTTTGAGGATGAAGCAGTCATTCTAACCAATTTATGCTGGAAGCGGAGCTAGCAATTATTATCGCTGGCAATGCAGGTCTTTGAATGCAACATTGGTGGGGAACTACACCACGAGAGGCCTGCTGTTGGGAGATTGATTGACTCTGGACGCTCTCTTGCTGTGGAAGTGGGGGCGTTTGTGTGAGGAAATTCCGTCATCAGCGTGTCTGTTGAGCATTGCTGTCTTTTTATTTTTATATTATTTTTATCTGGACGCGTACCCTCGTGATATTTGTCTGTCGCTAAAGATGGAATGTTGAACTGAGGAGGGGTTAGCAGAGAACGGCATCAGCTTGGGGATGCACCGTTTGAAACACTGCCCTGTCATTGGCTGAGACGAGAGTGATATGGAAGATGAAGGTTTTACGAGATTTGCCAAATTGGTGTTTTTCTGGTAGCCGCTGGCCTTTTGTTATTCTCTGCATGGTAAGAAAAGAAAAAATATCTGAGGCTCATATTAGGAGACCAGTGTACAGGTATTATCCTATCCCTACCCTATATTTCACATTCGTCAACAACCCCTCTTTCCCAATTTCCCAATCCTCTTTCTCCTTGCTATTCACAGAACAAAAATCCCCGGCTCAAAGAGCATAGGCAGAAATAACCGCTTTCATTGCCACTGCTCCTCTGGGGCTATAAATATTCACATTGCCTCCCATTGCTCTGCCTTCCACTTCCTCAAGAACGATTTTATACTCCTCCTCTGCATATAGCGGACTTGTCGCCCGATACTCAATGGATCGAGGAACAAGAACCTCACCCGTCCTCCCCTGATTCTCCAGCTGCGCACTCCGTACATCTCGCCAGAGGTCCAACATGGCGAGGAGGTTAAGGGGCCCATGTACAACTAGGCCAGCATGCCCCTCGATAGTCTGTGCCCAGGGGAGGGAGTAGTGGATTTTATGCCCGTTGAATGTAAGCGCTGAGAAGCGCTGGAGGGTGACGGCTGACTGGCAGACAGTGCGAGCGTGGGTGACGCGGTTGTTTTCTTTCAAGGTCGAGAAGGTGGGTTGCGCGGTAGATTTGGGTGTGGTGGAGATGGCGGGAGGAGCGTTGGCGAATGTTGCTGCGGTTGTTTTGGATGATGGGTCGAGCTTGAGTGCTTCTCGGAATATCCAGTTTCTGGATTTGTTTTAATTATATATATTTATTTATTTTCATGGTTAGTATATCGTTTCGTTTCCGCTTCCCGCACTCTTATATCAAGCCGTCACAACAAAGGGGCAGATGGAATTTCAAAGCCCTTCATGGAAATATTCCTTCCTTTTTCCATTTCTTTCTTGGGAAACTCACCTTCTATCCACAACCGCAACCCCATGCTCATTCTCAAACACCTTCTCCACCCCAACAACCACCATCTCCTCCCCGGTCGCCTTCACAACCTTAGCCTCCGCACTTAACACCCGCGTTGTCTCCTGCACCTCCTGTCCCACCCTTAGCAAATTTACTTTCCCATCCTGCCCGAGTGGCCACCGCACCTCCCCGCCGGCCCACATGCGCCTTGTAAACGGCGGCTCTGGGTTGTATGACGTGTCAGTGCCATCCAGACCCAGCTCGCCTTCCAAGAACGCGGGTGTAAAGTATACCAGGTGGTAGCCGGGGGGGATCGGAGTGCCAGCTTCGGGGGCCCTGGCGTTGGATAGTGCTGGGCTTCCTGGGTAGAGAGAGCGACGGTTCAAGGTTAGGGAGAGGAGTTGGACTTGGTTCCCGTCAAGGGTCTGGGTGCGGGTTTGAGGGGGGAGGGATTGGAAGCGCGAGATGAATTTGGAGGCGATGGCAGAGGCGGCGGGGGCAGGGTTAGTAGAGATTGCTGTATGGGAAGCGCCGGGGGAGGATGAGGGAGAGGGGTCTTGAAAGTTAGCTTGGGATGTTGATAGTTGTCGCCACGACCTGTTATATGTTCCCCCGTAACAGCGATGGATGCGGTGGAAGAGAGGGGACAGCCGCGACGGTGAAGCGGAGGAGCAAAATAGCGACGAAGACATGGTATTTCAAAATGACAGGAAGCTGTTTGAGCCGCGAACTTTACCACGCGCTCCGGGTTGGAGAAGTTGGAGATATGTATATATAAATATAAATATATATAAATATATATATATGCTGTGTACCTATGATCTTGTGCCCCGCCACAGTTCCCGCCAGTCCGCCGCCGCTCCACAACAGGAACAGCAGCAACCGGCAATGGCGGAGGCAAACCTTTTGCCGGGTGGAATCTCTTGGAAAAATCGTGTGGTTGCCGGCAAACCCGCCGATAACTTAGCTTAGACCACTAAATAAAGTAAAAACAGTCACCCATGAGAAGCACCTTCGAAAATGTATGCTACTACTGGATAACCAAAATCCTGTTAAGCCTGTTAGAACCCCAAGAAGACAAACGTCCAATATCTTTTGTAGAGGCTATCTACCATGCCAGTCTCAACCCATTGTTCTCGACATTTCCTTCTCTTGCAGGCAACTTCTTAAATTTGTTGTTGTTATTGTTGTCGTCCTTCTTTCTATGTGACCAGCGGCCATTTTCCGAGATGCGTCGATGGGTAACTTCATCCGGCAACCTTTTGGCCGGGTTCACGCCCCTGGCTATACGATCACCCACGACCCCCATTTGTAGGCGCCTATGGGGGAATGGGTCTCTCTGCCTGTCAGGCCCTGAACCCCTAAAGCAACCCCTTAATCATCCCCGCAAGCAACCGTTGAACACCAGTCCTGCCCGTGATTGTTGGTAGCAGCGTTGATCGCGGACCCCAAAGGGTGGGTGGGTCCAAGATACAGGAACCATGTTCAACCGTGTTCCTTCTCGCGGGAGTACCCCGCGGCGGCTCACGGCAGTTGGCCGCGATTTGCGGGAGGCGATGCCGAAGATTGGTAGAAGTTGAGATTAGTTGAACTTGGAGTTGTCAAGCCAGCAAAAGATGCATTTTCTCTGAGGGTTCGGTTATATTTGGCATTATTGGCCGAAGAGGGCCGTTTATTTTTATTATTTTTGTTTCTGGACACGGATCTTGAACCTTGGGATCTCGGTTATCTTAGGAAACTGTTTGAACTTTTGTCACAAGAGTGGCTTGCACTTTGATACAGTTCCTGGCATCATTTTATACGCTACAAACTGTTTGTATGGATCTCAACAATCAACTCCATCTATTCAGCAATTCTGTACCACAAAAAGCGATAGATTTATCATTTATCTCTTGATTCATTTTATACAAGGAACAATGCTGTTGGACAATTCCCCACATTTTTGCACCAATCATCCTTATAATATGATAATATATTCAAAACACTTCTCAATGGTAGATATAACCCATAAGAGCCCCCGGACATTAATATTGCTATATCCGATTTTCATATGACTGGTGTGGAGGCAGTGGGCAATCTGTAGACCGCCGGGTTTTCATATCACACGGTCAATGCACCGGCAATGCGACAGCGACTTTTTTTGAAATACGGGAGATGGAAGTACATCTGAAGAAGACAACCGGCAACGTGAATGGGAAAAGCAACATCAAGCCCACAAAATGAACGTGGAATTTTCTATTTTTACAGGCACTTGGCTAGAGCTACGGGTTGACGGCGGTGGCAGTGGTCGAGATGGGTTGTTGATCGATCTGCGCTGAATCTCGGCGAGATTTGCTTTTTAGGCGCTGCGACAGTGTTGGAGTCCCCCGCCAGACACTTCCCGCATTTTTAAACATTCTCAGAGAATGAAGATGCAGCAGCAGCAGCAGCAGCAGTGAAAATATGCACAAAATAAGCCTCAATTGAACTCTCTACCTCTCGCCAGAAAAGCGGGCTAATACCAATTCCATTTCTGATACGGATATCAAGAGGATATCAAGAGCAACCTACTCGAGGAGTCCCAGCCAGGACCTGCTGAACATCCTGGAGAGCGCAGTATTGAGAATGCAATGTGCAATGTTGTTATTTTATGGCCGACGGGCTTCGGAACTGAGGATCACTTCGATTTCTTGCGGGCCGTTCTCAACGAGCCAGTCGTTGAAATATGTTGAGGGATCCAGCTACAACAGTTAACTCTCCATTATATCTTCATTATTCTGGCAAACGGAAGCACAAATATAGACAGACCCTTCGGGACATCGCACATGTTGCTTTAGAACCGCGAAGATGAAGACGAGGAGACATTGGTTCCCGGTTCCTCGGGTCAGCAATAATATCACACCCGCGCCACTTGCACTACAACCACAGGCAAGGGCAAACGCCTAACGGAACGAAAGAGTGCCTCCATGAATGCCCTGATATTTGCAAAATACCCCAGAATAATGGGGCTTCACGATGGACTAACACAACAAACCAATCAACCACTCTGCTATCCCGACAGCCCTCCCAAGGGGAAGAAGATATGGACGGCGGAGAGTGGTGACTATAAATTGCCCTGCATTGCGATTCCCGCCTTCTCGAAGGGCAAAGGGAAAGGGAGATCGATGGCTATGTGATACCGTACCTATTTTATTCTCTATCTCACTCGGTCGAGCTTGCTACCAGGCACCTTGATGTACCTATTCTCCAACGTTAACATCCCTGCAGAAGGTCTCTCTGCTGCGCTCATCGCTATGCACGTTCTGTCTGAATGAGCCTCAGAAACCCCAGCAAGTCCGCTGTTTCCGTCCGTCCGCATTGCCGGAAATGATACATTTTGGCTCTCATTTATTATTTCTGCATTTTCAAGCTCGTCGACCAACATCTGTGTACTATAGCCTTCTCTATGTTGTGGGAGATCTGCATACAAACACCTCTCCTTTTGATATAGACACCTGTGCTAATTTTACGTAAGGAATAAACCGCTCTCCTCCTCCCTCCCCCTCCGGTCTGATATCTTGAAGAATCTGATAAAAGAATTTTTGAAAAATAATAGGTTCTCACATATGACAATGGTGTGGCTGAATATGTCTTTTTCATGTATGAATTAGACCACATTCGATCGTCACACTGCACCTATTCAATTTCAGCGGGTGTGTCGCGATTTTCTATCAGAGCCGTCAATATATATCACTCCATAATAAAGTGAGAAGCGCATTAGCTACCACGGGAGGTTAAGTTCCAGCCACCCACCAACCACAGTGTCCAGCCCTTCCCGGAAACTCGCTAGATATATTTGCACAGTCCATGGCATCTCTCTCACGGCCGCGCCTCCTGGGAAGATGGCATCGGAACAATAGCGGGACGCTTCATATGAAGCTACTAATACTAGCAATGATGAGGCCGCTGGATCTCATCCGCGTACTCAGCTGCCCCTGTCAGGACGCACAAAAAAAGAAAACAAGAAAAAATAAAAATAAAAATAAAAAATCCGAAGTCCAACTGGGACTTGACTGGAATCGGGCCATGCACAAGAACAGCTATCAAATTTTAAAACCGGCCAAGCCAACCTACGGTTCCACATACAAATCATCGTCCGAAGCACCCGCAACCACCCAGCCCACATCGCGATCGAAAAGAGAAAAGATATAAAAATAAAAATAAAACCCCGCAGAAACAGAAAAGGGAGCAAGCCCCGCCCCCATCTCCCTCCCTCCTGCACCGCGCGACTCCTTCCGCGATTGCATATACAACCCCTTGCAAAAACACCTCCCTCGCACCGGATTGTCAGCAGGCAACGAGAGCAGCTTCCATAGACCGAAGCACACACAACAACACAACACGACTTTTCCCTCCAGAAGCCGTTTCGCAGCGCCGTATATCAATTGCGCCCTGTGTCATCAGGCCCCTCCTCCTCTTCCTCCTCCTCCTCCTCCTCCCAGGACCCGCGGCGAGGGATCCTTCCCAGCAACTAGATAGAACCTCAACCTCAACCTCAGCCTCAAACGCTGCAGGACTGTGCTTTTGCGCGCCCAGCGACTCGTGACTCGGTATTCGAATAACCGCACGTCCCCAACCACCATCCTGGCCTGGAATACCGCTGTCCAGCATTGCAACGTGGAGCTTGCGAGATAGCCTCGCTCGCTCGCTCCGTTGCGTGCTGTCAACGGATCCGATGTCCTTCCTTTTCCTGGCGTGACATTCGCTGCAGTATGTATGTATGCATGTAATGCAGTGAAGTGAAGTGAAGTGAAGTGAAGCGAGGAAACGAGGTATCTTTCGCGCGCGGGTGGTGCCGAGATTTGTGCCCGAGATGCTGCTCTCTGTCTGTCTGTCTGTCTGATCTTGTTAACGAGCGCGAGGTTTCATATCAAATGATTGATGGTGGTAGTGGTGGTGGACCAGATTTGGGTTTGTTGTTTTTTTACACCGTTGGGGGGGGGGTCAAGGATCAATCAATGCATGTGCATGATTTTGAGGTTTAGGGGGTTTAGTCCCAATATCTTTATTGAACAAGAAACAAGAAACAAGAAACAATCAATCAAGCGCCCCAATAGTTGCCTGCAAGACCGCTGCAGGGGCTGAAAACATGAATCAAAAGGAATCAAAACCAAAGGAGCAGCAGAAAGGTTCTTTTTTTTTTTTTTTTTAATCTTTATTATCATCGTCGTCTTATTATCTATGGAGTTCAGTCAGCTACATACATACATAGTTGCCCAATTTTCAAGAATCAAGATGATTTTTGAATCATCGATCGATCAATCGATCGATCCGGCAAATAAATGATTTCCGACTGACGGAAATAATAATAATAAAAAAAAAAGGAGAATAAATAAATAATAGTGAATATAGAAAACGAAAAAAAAATGAAAAAAAAAAAATGAAAACGCTCAGCTGGCTCTCTAATTACAAACAAACAATGATGGTAATAGCAATGATAATGATGATGATAACAGGAAAAACAGAAAACGCCCACCCAATATTCGAAAAGAGTGGGATGATGAAGGAAAGCACAGACAAATATAAATCCCTCGCATATCTATCCAAAAACATCACATTCATACCCATCGCTTTATCGCAAAAAAAAAAAAAAAAAAGGTAAATATATAAAATATATAACAATAAAATAAACAGCCAAAAAAATATGGGGAAATATTAGAGGAAAGAAAGAAAGAAAGAAACATCAAAAAAAATAAAAATAAAAAATAAAAAATATCACTTATTATAGTTATACAAACGACGCATTTCCGCCGCCCACCATCTGGCCACAGCATCGGCTTCGCGCACCCAGCTGGCCGCTTCCTCGCCGTACATGTGCTTAACGACGTTGACAATGTCACCCAGCGTCCATTTCTCAAGCGGATGGAGCTCGTTCGGATCCTTGACCATGTGGGTGAAGCGGAACGTGTGGCTGCCGCCCAGCGGGATGACAAGCCGGTAAGGAACGGCAGCGGACGTAATGGCCAGCATTGAGCCGCCGGAGTTGATGATGCCGAAATTCCACGCCTGGCGGCCGTTGAGCGAGGGCCTGTAGGGGCGTAGCAGCGACTGGGCTTCGTAATCGTGAATGAGATCTGAGGCTGCGGTGGTGTCGATGGCATCCAGGGAGTTGGTCGAGATGAGGAGGTCGAGAATGGTCGGGAGGATGGACATTGAAGTGGCGTTTGCGGCGACTTGGATGCGCGGGAGCTGAGGGTGGCGGAAGACGAGGGGCACGCGGAAATTGCTGATGTGGGCGTTTTCATACGTGCCGGTCATCTCGGCGTCCTCTTCGAAGGCCTGGCCGCTGCAAGGGTACATACACATCAGCACATGGTGAAAGGGGGTTCAGAGTGTGAACTTTCAACTGGAAAGTAACAGGGAAGAAGGCTTACTGGTCTCCAACAATGACCACGAGGGTCTCGTTTGCGATTCCGTGTTCATCCAGTAGCGCAAGAAGCTCTCCGAGCCAAATATCGTCGTAACGAACAACGTTCAAAAAGGCGTTCATGTGCTCATGCGAACCCTCCGAGCCCATGTATTGCGTTTCGGTGAAATTTTGAGGGATTGCCCAGGGGTGATGAGTCGTGCTGGTGAAATGCGAGAGGAACAGTCGCTTATTGTTCGCAATCGTCTCCGATATCACGTCACGGATGAAGGGCTTGACCTCGCTTTCGGCATATCTACATCTATTTGTCAGATATTGTTTATTTTTTCGCTACGGTATAGTGATTTCTTTTCTTTACACGTACCCAAAGTAGTTAAGTTCAGGCGTCTTCGGTGGATAGTACTTGGAAGCAATATTTTCCAAGGTCTCCTTCGTAAAGGACTTTCCAAAGCTCATGTGCCTGTTGAGCACATCCTGCCGGTCATACTGATCGGTGATCGATTGGACAAAGACGGATTCCCATTCTCGACGATGCACACTTGCACGATGGTCGAGCAACGCTTCGTTCACGCCTTGCTTCTGGAACGTTTTCTTTTCCCTGTTGAAAAGCTCCATGATCTGTGGGATACATGGCTGATAGATCTTCCCGTTGACCTCCTCGAGAAAATCCACTGGAAGCGGTCCGACACCGCAGTGGCTGCCTACTACGCTCTTGAAAGAAAGGCTGCTCCCAGTGAGGGCCCCCACGACGTTTATACCACCCATGCCGGGAGCAGACTGATCTTTCCACACTCCCGGTAAGAGGTCGGGGTGCTTGTCTGGAGAGCTGGAAAATGACTCTCCGGTGACTTGTTCCGCGACACGAGTCAGCTGTGATAGCTTGGAGTCGATTTTGTTCTGGTTGAGTTGGTTGGGTTTGTAGGAGCGAAGGATCTCCTTGTAGAGGTGAGAGCCTTTCTTTATGGGAAACATATCCTTGCGCGTGCTCTCCATTGTAACAAGGACAACATGTGATATCAGGATATCCTTGAGCGCGTGTCTGAGCGCTTCATAGGGTTCTAAATTGAGATTCGAAATCCTCAGCGGATCCGCAACAGGGTTGTAGTAGTGTGTTCTACTCTGATCCGAGCACATGTTCTTTCCATCTTGAGCAGGGATTGTCTCGTTTTCATGTTTTTCTATAGCCATTACCGCTTGCTTGTCCCAGCGTTCAAACCCATCTGGGAGGGCATCTGGGAGCCAGCTCCGTGTCCTCGCAGAGTACTGTCGAATAAAGGCATTAACCTTTCCCGGGGCCCATCCCTTGAAGTTATCCTTTGGCAGAATCCAACGATCCGGCTCGATCAGATTAGGTCGCGGAAACGATTTATTAGTAAGGGAATAGCTTCCCGCACAGGGTTTCGTCCTAGAATGCATCGCGCTGCCCAAGGCGACCGGCAAGGTTGCCGAAATATGATTGTAGGGAATGGCCGGTCGAAGGAAGACCAAAAACGCCAAGGCGCAGAGGGTAGTCAAGCCACAGAGGGGCCACAGCCGAACGACTCTCTGGGTTGAAAATTCCGTTTTGACTCGAGCAAGGGGGAGCATCATGTCCCAATTAGCCGGTGAAGCGAACTTCGATATCGATACCAGCCAGCAGCCGGTTTTGTTATAGAAGACGGGCGTAATCGCCAACGAGGCGAAGACCAAGGCCAGGCCCGCAACGCAGACGGGCACGATTCCACTCATCATCAGCCTCATGGCAGCAGGATCGCTGGCCACACTTCCGGCTGCATCCCATTGCAACTCCCCGCCAGTGACATAATAAAACCCAAACTGTGACGCTGCGGCACCGAGAGAGATGGTCCTAACAAACAAAAAGGACAACCGGTTAGCTCGTTATCGCAAGATCTCTGGCAACGAGAAGGGGGTGGGGGGAAATGAAAGGGGATGCTCCATACGCAAGAAAACCACCTATGCAGAGGCCAAGGATCGACGTGATATTGCGACTCTGGCCATGCAGCAGCAGGCGCTGGGCTACGATGAGGAAACAATCCTGGAGAAAGAAGGTCGGGAAGTAGACGACGAAATGCAGCAGCGGAATGGAGTGGGCATGCAGGAACAGATGGAGCAGTTTTGAAGCGAGGAGAGCAACGGTGAGCACGGAGAAGAAGAAGGGCTGGAAAACACGAAACGAAGGGAGGCCCATGGCCGCGACGAGGACGAGGAGAGGTCTGCGGGTGGCTGCACGCCCATCCCGTGGAGTGGAAACGGAGGAGCGCAACCACTAACTAACTATATCCAAAAGTAAAAAGGGAGAGGAAGATGAGGAATGAAACGAACAGAAGCGACAGGTGTAGAGAGAGAGAGCGGAAGCGAAAAGAGAGAACGAAAAATAATAATAGGAACTGGCGGAGAGAGGAGAAAAAGAGAGAAAAAGAGAAAAAGAGAAAAAGAGAGAGAGAGAGAGAATGAGAGAGACTACGAGTCGACCCTCATCCTTTTGAGGAAAGATATGCGCCAGTGTCTGTGCTGGTGAGTCGCCGACTCGTGTCTGCGGGACAGTGCTAGACAGTGCTAGACAGGGCTAGTCCGCCGGGCTGGAGTCGGGCGGATTCTGTTTCTTTTCTTCTTCCTCTGCTGTCTTTTTTTTTTTTTGTTTGTTGTGTCTCTCCCAAAGAACGAAGAAGGCTCTTGTTTGGTTTTGTTTCTGGGACCTGCGTCGGGAAGAAGAAAAAAAAAAAACCACAACGAGGGGGATGGCGGGCAACCCAAAAAAAATATGGCTTGGGATGCAACAGCAGGCGTATCGTTGGAGTACCAAACAAAACCCAAAGTAACAGAAACTACATTTTTTGCGTTTGCCTTGCCGTTACAGCGTTCCAGGTTAGATTCCTCAATGGGTATCCGTAAGATAATCTTACACCCTCACACATCGTTGGCGCGATGGCCTGCAGTCCAGAGCCAGACGCCATCGCAAAACCCTGTTTTCGACGCAGGTTGCCTTCCAATGCTATTTCCGCCATGGTTCAGGCCGTCGACGCTGTACTGCAGGTGTCGTAGTATCGAAGTATCAAAGTATCAAAGTATCGAAGTTTCGACGTCTCACGCTGCAGGGTCGGGGTCCCAGGCACCTGGCCAAGCTGAACGCGGTTCGGGAATCAAAAGCTTGGTCACACAGCGTAAGCCGAGCAGGGACACGAATAAAAACCACCTGCACTAGCCAGATGTCCAGTGGAGGACGTCGATTAGTGATGCCATGGCGCCGTCGAGCTGCTTGGGTTGTGGGTGTGTTTTAAACGGCCCTGGCGGCTGTCGCTGGTTCAAGGCGGATCACGGCTGGAAATGTGCCGAAATTTCGATCCTTGGCATAAGACTGACGGCTGCAGTGCTCCAGTGCTCCAGTGCTCCAGGCCCCGGGTTTAGGTTAGGGGTTTAGGTTGGGGGTTTAGGGGCCAGGGTAGGGGGCCTTGTCCAGGGATGCAACAGACACACGACCAGCTGCCAATCATGGGATAGCGGCGCCCAATTCACCGCGGACATTTCACAACGTAATTTTGATTCATTTGGGGCACGGGGTGGTTCTTCGTGTGACAGAAAGCACCACGCAGGCAGAACCAGAACAGTCGGTGCAATGGTATGAGATAGAGCTACCACAATCTGGAGTTGCTCACTCGTTGGTGGTGATATCTGTGGCGGCGATCACGATATTCTTTGGAAAATATGTACTGTACTGTACTGTACTGTACTGCACATGCCCAGCACATACAAGCAATGAATGGGCTGATCCCTTGATGCATGCCCGGGACGCCATGGACGTCTTGACATACATCATCCATTCCTTTTGGATCCACTAGTTACATGTAGTTGGCAAAAGAGCAACGGAGAAAACAAAAAAGCGATGATCGTCCTTTGTTCAAGAAAGTTTAAAAAAAAACCCAGGTTCGTACTAATACGTACATCCTTGAAACTCAATTGGGTTTCGAAGGTTTCGACGCAAAAAGTTGGGTTGGGCAACCACAGGACATACATGCCTTTGTTTGTCCTTCTGCATCGCACAAACCAAGGGTTAGACAGACATGGCCCCCTTATTTTCCCATCCAGGAGCCTTTGTCCTTATTCCATCACTACAGAAGAGTCTAGAAGCGACGGTGCGCACGGCGGACAACAACAACAACAACAACACCCTCGCATCAAGAACATTCCATTACCCAACCCCTTGTTTTCCTTTCTTTATTTAACCCATGGAAATCATCGCCCCCGGCTTCTCTTCGCTTGCGGAGGCCAATCACAGCATCCGGCCCCTGGCGAAATGTTTCAGCTCCCCTCCTCGAAGTTGTATGATGATGAGAAGTCGTGATTATGTGCCCATCCATCGCTCAACAGAGATACGCACGTAGGCAGAAAGTGTCCGCCCTGAGAATGGGGTTGTAAATCGTCATGTCAATAACTAACTAACTGCAAGTTCTCTCTTAGATTGAGACACTGCTATGCTCACTTTGGTCGTGAAGAGTGTTGAGTTTGAGGAGCTTGCTTGTCATGGTTAGATAAAAGCCTCTTGAAAGAGAAAGGGTATTAATAGTAATTGTAATCACCGAAGCTATCATCATCGTCATCATCAGCAGCATTCATCAATCTGGCCCCCCAGGTCTACGATGTTTGATTGATACATGCAGCCACAGACTCATGACGGTTATCATGCAAGGTCTCCTGCTTGCATATATATATATATACACTGCTCTACATGCAACCATTTAAGTTTTGCCTTTAACCGGTAGTCATGATTCTTTCAAGTTACTACTGAACTAGTAGCTAGTAATTTTTGTTCCGCAGCAGAGGACTGGACTGATAAGCGTCAACGACGACATACACCTACATAGTACATAACTACATACCTACGCTGCGCAGATCCTAACATTTACCATTCACTCTGCAGCTCGCGCATCCAATCCATCTCAACCGCCGCAAACCTGCCATGATCAACTAACCACCCTCCATCCTCGGTGGGGCGGAAAGGGGGAAAAAGAGAAACATAACCGTGGTAATACTTGATATTTCCACGTGCATCCTCCATGCTCCATCCAATCCATAAAAACCCATAAAGCTTAGCTTAGCTTATGTAGCTTATTTAGCTGCAACCGACAAACCACAAGACAGATAATAGATTCATGCAACCTGAGCCTTGGATGGATTGTTCCCGTTGAGTTTTCTCAGGATGAAACTACTAATATACCCGAGTTATTTATCCATTTTTGAATTGAAACTCGAAATCGAGGATGAGTAAAGTAACGTCCATTGTAGTTGTTGAAACCATTTATTCATTGTTCACCATTCACCATTCACCATTCACCATTCATCAGTCTTCTTAGAAACATTATTGCCTTCTTCTACCTTCTGCGGATGAGGATGATGCACCGGGCCACATTTTAATCTTATGAAACCTCCTCCTCTCAAAAAATAAGCTTATAAAGGGTAGGTAGGTATCACATCCCTTCATCACTGGACTAGTAAGTATACCTCTGTCCCTCTTATTGAAGCAGAGAATGCACGGAGGATACATACATACATACATACATACATAGCGGAGAATTCGTCACGAATCGCGATGGAGAAATAAATCTCTGTATGTCCCGGCTCCGGTGCCTGGCCGTACCCGGAGAGGTTATATTTAACTCTAACTGTAGGGTAACCGTTAGGCTTTTATTTTTTTTATTTTTTTAAGGGCTTGTTTGTTGCCTGGCGCCCAACGCAATGCAATTTTATAGAGAGATGGATACTATATACATATACATATCTATATACAGTAACTACAACGATCGATGGTTAGGCAGGCGGGTTTTTTCTTTACTAGCTCTCAAATTTCAGCGATAAGCAAACCTATCAGGTTTATGTTAGGCAGGCAGTTCGGGATCGGTACAAGTAACTACTAGATAAACAACAAGGGGATTATAAAAAATAGAAATAGACTGTTGACCAACATTAACTAACTACCGCAAAAAATGCTTCCCAAAGTTGCACTTCGACCACAAATACTATAATACAGTTGGTAGGAGGAGAGCAACATGCCCACCACCCTGTCCTCTATCCTGTCCATTAAGTTTGTCTGAATCCATCCCCGTAAAATCCCCCGCGGACACGCCGGTTTATGCTTTCCAAGACTTGAAACAGCCGGTTTCAGAGACAAGTTTTTATTACAGTCCCAGTTGCTCTTGCACACCACCTCCCTAAGAACAGCGTAATTCTCGATTTCGACTGCGAAGCCTTGGTGTTGCTAAACCATGGTTTAAAAATAAAAATAAAAAAAACGCCATGTAACTCGCTGGAACGTTGGCTTTTTTGGTCTCGAAACCCTTTTGTAGTCAGTTAGTTAGGTACGGCAGTAACAAGCCCCCCCGTAGAGTTCCATGTGGCGTCAAGGCCCTGCTGCTTGTTTTATTTAACTTCCCAAGTTAGCGTTCAAAAAACGCGGCCTTCTTTTGCCTTGCTGACTGGCTGGCTCCTTCGATGGGCATTTGGGATTTTGAGTCGAGTCGAGTCGAGTCGATTCATCCGATAGGCTCCGGATGTCTCACTCTTGCGAAAAGGGCCTTGGGGAGGAGGGATGGGTGGCAGGAGGTGGAGAGCTCATCCAGCCTAAATTCCAACGCGCTTGTCCACGAGTATGGAGAGAGAGTGTGTGGTGAATTTCTGGCTTGTTGATGTTGTGGTTGTAAAAAACGAAAAGAAAAGAAAAAGAACAAATGTTGATGCAGTGGGCGAGTAATGAGCATGCGTACATTTCCTGCGTGGTTCTCCCGGCGTGGAGAGTAATCGTCTTATCATTGCACCTCGCTGGCTGACGACTTCCCAGCACGCATTGCGGAAGTCGACCTACCCGGCTGCCGGTGGGCACGATATATTTGTATATTTATATCAGCCCGCCTTGAGGATGGATCCAATCTACCCCATGCACCTTTCCATGTACTGTACTGTACTCTACTCCTGCTAATGCGTGTGTATTTTTTTTCTTTTTTTTTTTTTTTTGAAAAAAAAAAATACCATACAACCTGATGCAGGGTGATAGCCACGAACTACCAGCCATGAACTCCGTCCCCGACACGGCCAATGCGCCCACGGCATCCAACACCTTCAAAGCTACGCCGGCTCGGAGAATGCCCAATTTCCAGCTGGACCGGTCTCGAATCCAGTCCAGCCAGCATGGCTCGAGACAGTAGAAAATGATAAGGCGTCATCCCGCGCACTTTTTACCCTCCTGTTGTCCCGGGAGATAAACGTGAGTGCCTCAACCGTACCGTATACGATGCACCGCAGGAGAGACCAAACGCCTCCATTCTAGAGCAGTCGAATGGGTGTATCTTGAGACAATGCAGAAACAGGATTTGCAGCTGTACTTGATTAACTCTGCCCAATCAATACGCATTCACGTTTGCTGCGCCGTTTTGAGTTCAACCTCCATGAGTAATGACTGACTTGACCTCGTTGAAGAACAGCGATTTGGCTGGCTGGCTGATTTATTTATGGAACTACCGGCTGCATCATTGCGGTGGAGAGTGAGTGAGTGAGTGAGTGGACATTGTGTGTTTCTCTGTCCAGGCTAAGATCGATCAAGCTTTTTCAAGCTGCAGATCTCATTTGTGGAGGTTTTTGCCATCCACTATTTTTCTTTTTCTTTTTCTTTTTCTTTTTTTCCGATTTCGATGCAGGCTCAGCAGGAGGAGAGGAACGATGTGCTGTGGGCCCCGATTGATTCACAGAAGACTTAGTATAAATCACTTCCCTGATGCCAGGTCTCGCAGCAACAGTTTAACTCCTTCCAGCTCAAATAGAGATCCTCTCTCTGCACACGACATGTAACTAACTGACTTACACACTACACCGTTCATGGACGGAGACGAGCAGGAACCATTCATCTCCCAAAGATGAAGACTGCCAGCCACCCACTCCTCGAAAAGAAACCCCCCTCCTGACGCAGCCCAGATTTCAATATAATGGCGGATATTGTTTCACTCGACGTAACTACAGTACAGTATTGCGTGATGCCCGTATCCGTATCCGTATCCGTTGAATTGGGGCTTGTGCGCCCCCAACAACCGCAAATCGCTGTTTTATCATCAATCGTTGAACTAAGAAAAAAACAAATAGTTAACATGGAAGTACATCCTCAACAGAGCACTTCGCTTCTTAACACTCTCTGTGTATGTTTGGGTGATTCTCGATTCTGGGAATCGAGATTCTCCTTTGGGTTGGATGGCTGTTTTCGCGCCCAGTTTGAATAGTTAGACAGTTATCTTCGGATGTATATATATTTTCATTTCACAGGTGCGGCTCTGTATTCTATGTAGTTACCTGCGAAAAGTTACCAAGCTCACATCGCCCCTCTCGTGCTCCAAACCCTTGAAGATAAATAAGTTAAATGAATTAAATAAATTCCTACAGCGGTTCTGTAGCTGACGCATGTTACCTCCGCTGTAGGGAAATCTTAACTAACCAAAAAACTAACACCCCCCCTTCCCTCCACTTTCGACATAAAAGTGCCGCAAACCCAACGACCGTCATCCTACTTCAGACAAAAAAAGAGAAAACCAAAGCCTACGCCCCAGTTCCACTTCCAGTTCCACTTTCATCCGAGTGCCTTCCGCAGCGTCGCAATCTGCTCCAGAACAGCGGACCTGCTCGTGCCCCCAATTGCCGCCTTCATCTCCACAGACCGCTCGTAATCAAAAACCTCCAGCACGTCGTCGCCAAACCGGTTGTCGACGCTTTGCAGCTGCGCCAGGGTCAATTTGTCCATGGGGATCCCTTGGTTTTCTGCAAGAGCCACGACGCGGCCGGCGATGTGGTGCGTTTCGCGAAAGGGGAGGCCTGTTTTTGTTATGCATTGCGGATTAGTTTGGGGTTAGAGTGTTTGTGCCCGATTGGGTAGATTGCGTTTTAGATAGGGGGTATATGGGATTGGTGGGAGGGTTGAAGGCTGGTTTGGGATTGCGATTGGAAGGGGATGCTTGTTTTGAAAGGAAACGTTCTTGAATCTTTGTTACCTTTCCGAACGAGATATTCCGCCAGATCAGTAGCCAGCATGTCCGGGGTTAGGGCCTCGCGCATTTTATCTGGGAAGACGGTTAGGGTGGATAGCACGCGGGTTGCGATGAGCAAACTATCCTTCAGCGTCTTGATGTGTTCGAGGAGCGGCTCCACGCTCTCCTGGAGGTCCTTGTTGTATGTTGACGGAATGCCCTTGATGGTCATCATGAGACCGGCCATACCACCAAATATTCTCCCACACTTGCCTCGTAGGAGCTCGAGGGAGTCACCTGTCGGTGTGTGTGTGTCAGAGTTGGCCCCTCTGCTAGCCTTTACAGTAAAGAACTTTGATTCAAAGAAAGGCGAGGGAGGATAACAACATACTATTCTTTTTCTGGGGCATCAACGAGCTTCCCGTGGTGTAGGCGTCCGACAAGCGGACGAATCCAAATTCAGTCGTACCGTAAACAATAAGATCCTCGCTCCAGCGGGAGATATGCAACATCAATGATGAGCCCCATTGCATTGTTTCTAGAATGAAGTCCCGGTCTCCAACCGCGGACATGCTATTGGGGATCAGGCCGTCAAAGCCCAATTCTTTCGCCATGGCTTCTCGGTCAATTCCAAACGCATTTCCCGACAAGGCTCCGCAGCCAAGAGGACTGCGGTTAACGTGTTTTATAACCTCGCGCAGACGCTCCAGGTCGTTCATGAAAAAGCTGCCGTAACTGAGCATCCAGTGGCTCCATCGAACTGGCTGTGGCAGAAGCGTTAGAAGGTCAGCAAAATGAAATATCCTCGTCTCCTCGTTTGTTGCTCGCGGAGGCATTTTTACCTGTCCACGCTGTAAGTGGGTGTATCCGGGGATGACATAGTCGATATCATTCTCCGCCCGATCCGCAATGGCCGTTAATAGATCGACAAGGTACGTTTCGATCACGCGTAGCTCATCCCGAAGCCACAGTCGCAAATCCGTCGCGACCTGGTCATTTCGACTGCGACCACTGTTGGATCAACGGAATCGTCAGCTACTGAGCAAACACACAAACGTTTCACTCCACGACGATTCCCAACCCACCTAGCCCCCTCCTCCGCGCGTATAGAAGTAGACCAAACAGCGGCAAAGGACAGTCCCAAGAGATGAGACAAAAAAAGAAAGAAGGAACAAGCTCATGTATGTATGCCCTTACGTATGAAGCTTTCCAGCAATGTCCTTGCCAATGATTTCCCCCAATCTGCGCTCGTTCGCGGTATGGATATCCTCATCGATGCCGGGGACGATCTTAAAGACTCCCGTCCGCCATTCCTCCAACACTTTCCTCAGTCCGGTCTCAATGGTGCCGAACTCATCCTTGGTAAGGATCCCGGTTGTGACATTTGCTCGCGCGAAGGCAATGGAGCCGGCAATATCCTGAGCGTAGAAAGCGCGGTCGAAGTATATGGACTCGTTGTACGCGACCATCAATGGGTCGGTGGCGCCTGGAGGAGGGAGATGATAATACCAGGTCAGAGGGTCAGCGGGGTAAAGTCAATTCGTTCGACAAGGGGTATTTGGGAATGAAAGGAGAGGGAGGTTTGGTCAATGTCAGCTTACCTGTGAACCTGCCGCCCCAGAGTTTACCAGCGACCGCCCCGGAGGCTGTTTGCTGGTTTTGTGAAGCCATCGAAGCCTGGTGGGACTTGGGTACAGGAGGTGGTGTTGGGTTGAGCTCAGGCGGGTTTGTATACTATTTTTTTTCTTTTTACTTGTTCTTTTCTTTCTTTTTTTCAAACTTGTGCAAAAATGAATAACGTGAGAATGGCAGATTTCGTCGCCGCTTTTCCGATATATATTTCGGCCATCCAACGTCCATCCATTCCCATTCCCATTCCCATTCCCACCACCGCCCTGTATGCAACGATGCTACTATGCAGCTATGCAATTATCCTCGCACGAACGTCCTCTCCCGGGCCATTATCCTGTCCCCTCGCCTCGCGTCGGGCACCGTCTGCTGCAGCACCAACATCCTAACTTCTAAGAACAGCCAGCACGGTACTCGAGGTGCAGATATGCTCGAAGTTACCTTGCAAGGTTCTCAAGCATCGGCGGCTAAATCCCCTTTGAGCCATGAGGGACCCTGAGAGCAATGCTATCTATCGCTTTGCCTGGAAGTGGGTCATTGTCAGAGTAACGTCATTCATTCCCTGTCTGCGCGTAGGTTGCACGCGGACTTGATGCCCGTGAAGTGCACATCCGACAAGGGGGAGAAGAAGGCGACAAGGAGGAGTCGTGGTAGTATTTTCGCATGTTCGAAAGTCGTCGCTTTGGCTGCGTATTTATTTACTCCCTCGGCCGTGGCTTATTTATTTCAACTTCCCTTCTCGTATCTAGCTTCCGACTGAGGAGGGTTTTATTGCATACGAGGCTTTTGACTGAACGTCAAAACTTCTCTTGCCCCCTCTCAATCACCGCCTCCCCTACGAACATATATCCACCTGAGGCGAAATATAAAACGAAATGAACGGAAAATCGAAACGATAAAATCTCCGGCAAGTTTTATTAAAACAACGTAAAACTCATTAGCATAAGTACAAGTAGTACATGCTCGATACAGAGTCCGCTACTTTGCTGGGTATTTTGGGCGTCCGCTTCAAATCTCGGGGTATATCCTCCTGTCCTTTGTTCCTCGAATCTGTAACAAAAGAACATAGCAAATGCACCCAGGGAAAAAACAAAATGAGAGAAAATGCAAATACGTAAAGCATGCCTGCCAATCGAAAGGGGAAAAAAAGGATAAAGAAAATTATGTACATAATCGAAATTCAAGACCTTGAGTCAAGGCCTTGCTCGCTCATCAAAGCACAGCACAGCACCATTTAGATATCGTCGTCGTCTTCGCTCCTCTCAAAAAAACTTTTACAGCTTGACTCGCCCCCCTTTCACAGTTTCCCACTCCTTCTTCCCAAACGGGACATACTCGCCCCCTCTAAACCAGTATAGCAGATCATCCACCCCCTTCTTGCTCAACAAATCCACATCCACCCCTTCCTTTTTCAGCACATGTTTCTGTTGCTTATTATTGCCTGTCGACTGTGTGCCTCTCGTTACCCTGAGAAATAGTGGGACAGCATACTTGGGCAGATTCTCCGACGCAAGTCGAGCCAAGGAGCGCAGCACGGTTGATGACGGCTCCAGAATCGGTACTTCCGATGCGTCCTCATGTTCACTGTTGGGCGGAGGGGTGATCTTTGCCTGGTCACGGAACACGATGGCAGCACATCCAGCACGGCCGTCGTGGTTCGGCAATTCGACGCCGTAGACGTTCGCTTCGAGCACTTCGGGGTGCTTGCCGAGGACTTCGGAGACTTCGTTGGTGGACACGTTCTCGCTGCGCCAGCGGAATGTGTCGCCGATGCGGTCGGAGAAATACCAGCGGCCCTCAAGGTCCCAGCGCATAACGTCGCCGGTACGGAACCACACATCCCCCTTCCTCAGCACGTTGCGCATTATCTTGCCCTCTGTCGCACCGCGGTTGTTGAAATAGCCCTGGAAGGTCGACTTGATGTTCGGGGCGTAGAGTTGGAAGAGGAGCTCGCCCGGCTCTCCCCTGGGGACCTTCTTGCAGAAACCCGTCTTGGGATCGCGCCGCGGCTGTTCAGTCTCGTAGTCTAACTCGACGACCGCGACAGTGTGGCCGGCTATTATCTCGGCAACCGGGCCGTTCTTTCCGATGGCTCCAGCTGTGAAGTCGTTGCCGGACCTGTTCCAGAGGCCGGCGGTGCCCTCTGTCGAGGCATAGAATTCGCAGATCATCGGCACGTTGAACCTCTCTTTAATGCGATTCCAAACGTCAGGCCGCAGGCCGTTGCCGTAGAGCATGCGTACGTTGTGCTTGAGGTCAAGATTCTCGCCACTAATAGGGTCGATTTCGCGTGGTGTTGCCAGCAGATATCGAAGGGTTTCACCCACATACTGAACGACAGTTGCCTCGTTGTTGCGGACTTCTTTCCAGAATTTGCTGGCGGAGAACTTGCGGCCGATGATGATGGTTGTTGTTGAAACCATGCATGCTAAATAACCTAGAATGGCGGCTGTGGAGTGGTAAAGTGGCATGCACTATGAAATATCAGTTTGGACATTCTTGCCTGGAGAGGAACCAAAAAAAAAAAAAAAAAAAAGAAAAACGCATGTATCTGCTATGTATATGTACGCGCAGAATACACTGCATCGCAGAAACACCGCAATGGGGATTATAGCGACATTTCGACATACCGTATAAACGCGATCCGTCGTTTTCAAACCAAGCCATTTGCCAACGAATCCAGCGGCCATGATACATTTATACCAGCTAACAATGACAGCCTTTGGCAATCCCGTTGTGCCGCTAGTATATATTAGAGTGGCTACGAACAGTTAGACATACCTGGGCAAAGAGAAAAGCTATTGGCGCAGAACTAATATTTACTTACCCATATCACTTGACTCTGATCCAGGCCGACTCGAATTTGGTGCCCGTTCGGCCGGCGTCAACAGGATCTCCCTCTCCAACGCCTTATCATAGAACACAACTTGGACAGAGCCACCCCCTTCTCGGAAGTCCGGCCTGCTAAACATCTCCAACTGTTCTGGTGGGAAAAACTCCTCCTGCAACTCGCGCTCAGCAAATAGGATCTGGGCAGTTGACACCTTAACACAATGCACCAGAGACGACTTGGCCAAGTTATAATTGATCAAAGCTGGCCTCGCGCCAATACTCCACAACCCCATCCACATAAAGACGAATGCAGAGGAGTTCATCAAATCCATAATTACCACATCGCCCGTTTTGATGCCATGGGTATTTCTCAACCAGGTGCCATAGCGCAGAGAGGTGGTGTATAATTCGTGGAAGGTCCAGGTTTGCTGGTCGTACACAAGGGAAGGACGGTTAGCAGTGCACTTATCCAGTGCGTTTCTTTCCATGACGTAGAATAGATTGCACTGGTCCCTCCGCTCAGCTATCATACGGTCGAGGGTGCAACGAGCTGCCGAATAGAACACATTGATGTCTTCCCAGATGCCCCATCGTGCGTTCGAATAGGCAATGGAGGCAGCGGCCGCCGGCACAGCGAGGGATAAGGGAACCTCTGCTTGCGCATCATTAGTTGGTGGTTTCGGCTTGTTTATTGATTGACATGAGAGCTATGGAAGAGGGAATCATGGAGAAGGGATTCGTACCTGCGAGACCCATGTGTGGCGTGGAAAAAAATGGAGGAAATGAAATGGATTCGGTTATCCCCCGCAAACTTGAAGTCGAGGCCAAAAGTCAACGAACGAGATAAAATGAGAAAGGAAAAAAGAAAAAGAAAGAGAAAAAGAAGGTATTGGGAGAGGGAGGGGGAGAATACTGAACGAAAGTGCTTTCTGCCTGAGTATTTGTTCTGCGAGAGATTGAAAGAGACGGTTATTCACACCCTTCATCACGTCTTACAAGCGTCGTCCAGATGGACCTGGCAAATAACACTGCTATTTCTGTGTTGACTCGATAGGAGAGCCAACTTCACTACGGGGAAGCAGACGCACTATTTCGAGGATTGGAATGTTGAGCAAATTCTGATATTGGAGCATCTAACAAGCGAAGTCATGGCGCATAAGAAGATCACAAAAAATAAAACTGAACAAACCGAAAAAAAATTTAAAAAAAAATAAAATAGGGGGCTTAGCTCGGCGTGGAATGGAGGCCACATCAGTTATTTCAATTGTTTGGCGGAAGCCTGTCCATGGTTCATTCCTGCGATCGGTGGGGATACCGAGCTGTGAGATAGCTCGGCTCAGGGCCGGCAGAGTCAAAACCATCGTCATGCTGCGGAGGAGAGTCCGTACACCGGTGAATGGCAATTGGCAACATGATTGCTGGGGCCGAGGGAACCCGCTGAGGATCGTCCTCCACAGCGCGAGTTTCTCCGTCCGGTGCCAGCAATCGTCTTCACGGTGGCTCAAGAAGGATGAAGCTGAGGAGGAATAGGGTCCAGAGAGCTTCGAGGCATCTGCTGCTCGTAACGTGGCCCGCCTGGCAAACTCAACCGCCCGTCGGCTAACTCTATAGACTCTTATCAAATAATCTGCGCCGTGGCACATGCTGCGTCTACGACGACCGCCTTCGCAGGGCACCCAAATGCGCCGATTTGACTGGGGAGAATCGTACTTTGTCGCTGCGACCCCCTCGGGATTTCTCATTATTGTTCGCTGTGGCCAAGCTGATGGAATGCCGAATTCAGGTTCCCCGCAATCCGCACCGAGGCGCGAGCAAGGATATGGGTCGCCGGCGCTTTGTTTCGGTTTCCGAGGATACGATTTCCAGTTTGTCGTTGACCACAAAATTAGAGTTTTTTGAGAATGATTATTCGTGGTTTGAGCCCACTCGTACCAGACACAGACAACATGATTCCATTTTATATACTAACAGATACACTTTCAAACCCGTGCTTCAAAAACGCCCTCAGCCCAATCCTCACATACTCCTTGAATTCCCTTTCATCCCCACCAGTATCCCCGGCCCCGCCCGCATCCCCAAAACATGCACCAGCCTCACCATCTTCGAAACCCTCACACACGCCACAGACCCAGCCACGGGTTTCGCCGACTCACAAGCCCACCGATTCTGCTCAATAAACCCTTCCAGCAGCGCCAAGTTATGCCGCGCGAGCGCATTATTGCGCTTGAGCAGGTTGTGCAAGCGCCCCTCATGCAGCGCGTAGAGGGCGATCTGCCGGTCGATCTGGCTTGCTGAGACGATCGTGTAGGCGCGCCAGGCCTCGCATGCCCGAACCAAGTCGACGTTGGGTGACGTGAGCCAGCCGACCTGAATGCCAGCAAGAGAGTATGGAGTGTTCGCGCGCGATTTGGACGATGGATTCGAGCGTTGAAGGGGGATGATCGAGGAGAACACGAAATTTATCGTGATCAAGTATATGAAAACGATTTCCATTCTATGCCATTCTATTCTATTCAGGACTAATCAATGCCATCTCAAAAAGAAAAAGAAAAAGAAAACAAAAGAAATAAAAGGCAATTCTCAAAACCCCACTAGCGCCATCATCCCACGCTCAGCTCCTCAATGTCCGGCCGCCACTTATCCTCCCCCTTCGTCTTCCACAGACTTACATCCGCCCCCAACGCTGCAGGCTGCGTATACAGTTGCTGATACGTAGGATATTGGAATATGACATGATCGCCACGATCGTACAGGCCGTAGAATACTAGGCAATTCGCTAGCGATGCGCCGGGTGTTATCAGCACATTTTCTAGCGAGAGCGGGGTTGATCTTTTCGCGGACTACAGGTTAGCTGTGCGGGTGCACAGCTGCTCTGAGCCGTATTGTGGACTGTAATCCATAGCTCTGGATAGGAGCTTCGTGGATAACGATACCATTTTCATTGTTGTTCGAGGAAGAGGATGATGGGTTGTCAGAGAGCAAATGGAGGTCTTGGACGGAGATGGGGAGGGAGCTGAAGGTGGAGACATTACGCTTCGCTTTGGGGCTGTTGGCATTTGGGGTACTGCATTGGGGTTGGATGTAGGCTGGCTTGTTTTCATGGAGGAATCTCTGCGGCGCCTATATTATCTACAACTTCCTTAGTCTCATCAACGCCGTTGCATTTAGGCTGCTGGTCAGTGGGATAACCCCATACTGATTCGTCGCTGGAGGGGGCAACAATAGCGTTAGGATCCTTTGGCTTGGTGGCTAGTGCTTTGTATGCATCTTCTATATGCTTGTTTGTAATGACCACGACAGGCTGTGTCGGTTCTGTTTCTGCCAGAGGATCATCAAACTGTATCGATTATTGAGAGATGAAGGATTCAGAGAACTAGATGATAAGCTCGACGATCTACGATGTATGTCACTTCTTGCTAACTAGTACTAACTAGTACTAGCTAATGAACTAGTAATAGTTAACTGAGCCTCGTGCCTGCTGCGTGACTAAGCTCTGACTACGCCGGGAGGCAACGTCATGCCGCTCCTGCAGTTCCAGCCTCCCCAACTGGCTCCAACGGCTCCTCATCCAGCACTTCCGCAGCGTCGACTCCTGCGGCCCGTCCATCTTCGAGCACAGGAGTTCTCATAACCGCTCGTGATCGCTAACTATATGTGGATGCTCGGGTTCCGCAGCAAGAGAAATAACGAGCCAATCGAGGGGGATGCCTATCGCCAACTACGCCTCTCGCTCCTCATCAACTAGGTTTCCATCCTGCAACTCCGCCTGTATGCTCTGACATCACCAATAACTATTCTGTCTCCCTACCATCATCCACGGTATTTGGTGTCACCCTTGCTTCATCGTCTCCTCGGCTCTGTGTATATGCGCCCATCGTCTATTTTGCCCTGTCTGTAGCCCTCCGCGATGCGACCCCCTTCGCTCGCAAGCTCCCTCCTCTACGCCTCTATCCTCGCCTCGTCATCACTACCATGGCTTGCCTCGGCCTTTTCCAATTACTCAGATTCCTCCCTGCTTCTCTCATCACGCGTACTCCTTCAGGACGATCGTCCGAAAGACTGCCCTCCGTGCTTTAACTGCGAGCTCGAAGCCTTCCAGTGCCACCAGTTCGCAGCCTGCAATAAATACAACGGGAAATGCGATTGTCCTGCCGGATTTGGAGGGGATGATTGCACCCTCCCTCTCTGCGGCTCCTTGCCGGATGGGAAAGAGAGAGCACCCCGGAAAGGAAAATACTGCAATTGTACAGAGGGTTGGGAGGGTGTCAACTGCAATGTTTGCAAAACGGACAATGTCTGCAATTCTATGATGCCGGAGGGCGAGGGAGGCGTATGCTACAAGGATGGCGTTACCCAGAAGGAGAATTATCAGATGTGCGCGGTGACTAATCGCAAAATTGTTGATATGCTTGGTGATCAGAAACCGGAGGTTACATTTTCTTGTAAAGAGTCGGACCACAAGTGCAATTTTCAGTGTATGTTTTTCCTTTATCCATATCCTTTAAACATCATACCTTTTTACCTTGTTCAATATCGCACCCGCTGACATGGAATCTAGTCTGGGTTGACCAAGTTGAATCGTTCTACTGCAATTTGGATACCTGCAAATGGGGTATGGAGAGTACATACTCCCAGAACAAGACGACTTATACCTGTGAGAACGTAAGCTGTCGATGTATTGCTGAAAGGATGCTGTGTCAGAAGGATGCACTTGACCTGAGCGACTTTTTGAAGGAGGAGATTAAGGGACCAGCTACTTTTACGTCTACGTCAACTCTCGGAGGTAGTAGCGAGGATGGAAGCCGATTCTCAGAGCCAGTTATGAATGACATGATCAAGAATATCTTTGGCGACCCGGCTATCTTTTTAGCATGCCGGTCGGGAGAGTGTTTGTATAAGACTGATCTTCCAGGCTATAAACCACCGGTGAAAGTTATCAATACTCCGCTCATTTCGGGAGTAATCGCGAGTTGCTCGCTTTTCATTGTGGCCGTTATCATGGGCGTATGGTATCTGTCTAGACGCTCGGCCTACCGTGATTATATTTCCTTACCGCTCGATGACTCCGATGATGAAGGTGCGAAACTCATGGTCGACCACAAACCCGCCTCGCTACACTTTGAAAACGTTGCCTACTATCTTAACGGGAGGCAAATCCTTTCAGGAATTCAAGGTTCTGCTCATCCAGGCCAACTTATGGCCATTATGGGAGCCTCTGGTGCAGGAAAGACAACATTCTTGGATATTCTTGCCAGAAAGAACAAACGTGGCACGGTGGAAGGTGTCTTTTATGTGAATGGAGAGAAGGTCGATGACGATGAATATCGTAGTGTCATAGGGTTTGTTGATCAGGAGGACACGATGTTACCGACTCTCACAGTCCATGAGACAATTTTTACCAGCGCTTTACTCAGGTTGCCCCGGAATATGAGTAGGGCTGCAAAGGAGCAGAAAGTTTTTGAAGTCGAGAAACAGCTTGGGATCTATCATATTAAAGATCAGATAATCGGATCTGAGGAGGGAAGGGGGCGCGGTATCTCTGGCGGGGAAAAGAGACGTGTTGGTATAGCATGCGAACTTGTGACGAGCCCTAGCATTTTGTTCCTGGATGAACCTACTAGTGGCCTGGTATGTCTCCCCCCCCTCCCCTCTCCTCCCCCCGAAATCTTTCGCTGCCCATTTTAGTAAATCCATTATTGACTCTTTGCAGGATGCTTTCAATGCGTTCAATGTTGTTGAGTGCTTGGTGACCTTGGCTAAAAATTTCAACCGCACCGTCATCTTTACAATCCACCAGCCCCGCTCGAATATTGTGGCATTATTCGATCAATTAATCTTACTGGCTGAGGGCAAAACCGTTTACTCTGGCCCATTCGCTAGCTGCCAACCATATTTCGACCATATCGGATATTCGTGTCCCTCTGGCTTTAATATCGCAGATTATCTTGTTGATCTGACCATGCATGCTAGTAACACTCACTCACGGTATGAAGATGAAATTCATCTGGATGTCAACCACGATGCTGCAAGAACCGCGACTAGCAGCTTACGAGCGGTTAAATCTATCGCGAGTGTGTCGAACGCTTCCGTGGACAATAGCAGCTCGGACAGACCTAACGAATCGGGATTCCGTCCAATCAGTAAACGTAAGGAGTCACTCAAACAACGACAGGACAAGCAGCTCTATACAAGGAGGAGGGCTGCTGAAGTGGGTACGCCCTCTACTTTACGCACTGAGGATGAAGAACACATAGTCGGTAGTCTTTCTGGGAACGGCCAACATCGATCACGCCAACCAAACAATGTTACTTTGCGAGTTATCGATGACCCAGATCAACCTCCTCCGTCTTCAGCGGGATTCGGCACCGACCTTGATCATCTAGTCTCCAGCTACATCGAATCAAATGTCGCAGCATCAGTGCGTGACGAAATCAATGCCGCCGTCAACATGGCCGCAGAAGCAAACGGATTTACGAGCTCGGGACTGGAAGCAAACGGGTCCTTAAATAAATCAATGACTGGCTATGCTAAAGTTGGCCTTTACAGGCAATTCACCATCCTTTCCCAGCGGACATGGCGCAATCTATATCGCAACCCCATGCTCATGCTCACCCACTATGCAATCGCTATCGTGCTCGCGGTGCTCTCCGGCTTTCTCTTCTACGGACTAACAGACGACATAAAGGGTTTCCAAAATAGACTAGGCCTATTCTTTTTCCTCCTCGCCCTCTTCGGCTTCAGCACCCTAACTAGCCTAAACGTCTTCTCAACCGAACGATTACTCTTCGTCCGCGAACGTGCTAACGGATATTATTCACCAATAACCTATTTTGCTTCAAAGGTCGCCTTCGACATCGTCCCGTTACGCCTTATCCCACCAATCCTCATGGGCATCATCGTATACCCGATGGTTGGGCTGATCCCCGCGTGGCCCGAATTCCTCAGATTTATGCTCATTCTCCTACTGTTCAACCTCGCTGCAGCTTGCATCTGCCTGACTATCGGCATCGTCTTCAAAGACAGCAGTGTCGCAAATCTGATGGGCAGCTTGGTGATGCTATTCAGTCTCCTGTTTGCTGGCCTCCTTCTCAACCGCGATGCAATTCCGAAATCTGCACTTTGGCTTCAAGTGGTACGTATTTTCCATTCCATTTCCATCCAGAATCCAACCCAATTTCAAGTCCCCCTCCCCCCTCTCTCCCACACAAAAATTTCTCTTTTAAAAAAATTAAAATCAAAATTAAATTAAATCCAATAATGCTAAAGTATATATGTTTCATCAACAGCTCTCCATATTCCACTACGGCTTCGAAGGCCTAATCGTCAACGAAGTAACATACCTCACTCTCATCGACCACAAATACGGTCTTGACATCGAAGTCCCCGGCGCCTCGATACTGAGCGCGTTCGGCTTCAATACCCTGGGTCTGTGGCACGATGTTATTGGCCTTGGCATATTCTCTGGCGTTTTCATCGTTATTGCATATGCCGCTATGCACTTTTTACTTGTTGAGAAGAGGTAGAAAATCCATATAAACATATGGATGGTTGTCTGAATGAGTGAGTGAGCGAGGGGATGCGTGTGCATCAACCAAATCAGATGGGGCAAGCTCTCAATTTTTTTGGGTCTCCTTTGTTTATAAATATATATATATATATATATACTCTTCTTCTGTTTCTTCTACGCTGTCTTCTCTTACGTTTTCTGTTGATTTGTGTCTTTTTTTTTCCTTTGCAGTTTTCCGGCCTCACCATAACCTGCCTTGATAAACGGCGGATTTCACAAATAGGTAGTGGGTGGTGCTATGGCAAGTCAGGAAGCTTCAATCCTTCCTGACTAGTAGTAGGATTTCAAGATTTTGAATTATTAACGAATGTGAAATAGAACAGCACAGCGCACCTAAAGTATTATTTGAACTAAAAAAAAAAAAAAATCCTCCGCACGAAAACAAATTGGCTATTTAAGTCATAGCTCAATTAGGACATGGTTTTTTTTTTTTGGGACCATCCTGCGCTATCGACATACAGTGCCTCGCAATAAGTTTGAAACTATTGTGACTTCTCATCAAAATCTACTAGTCCAAAAGTAATTTAACTTGTAGTAATTAGTTGTAGTTATAGTGTCACAAATGCATCCATTTACCTCTATTTTTCCACTCATCTACACCATTCTCTACTTTTTTATCATTTTTTCTATCTCCTTCCTCACATGTTTTCTTTATTGAGTGGAAATATTTGATTTCCAGATGTAATTTAATCAAGCAGAACTAGTTCTGCAATATACAGTGCAACTACTAAACTACTTTTGGACTAGTGGATTTTGATGAGAAGTCACAATAGTTTCAAACTTATTGCGAGGCACTGTATCTATCATTGGAAGGGGTCTGATTTTTAGGTGGACAGTAAAAAATGACATGCGATTTTTGCAACTTGCACGGCATTGAATAAACGAGGAACAAGGAAGGGCTAGGAGGAACATATACATATGTCATAAACTGTCAGTGCAATAACACCTTCTTTATGGGACTTTCGTCAAAAAACACCCCCCCCAAAAAAACCATACTGTACACACCGATAGATAAGGGTCATAGATGACGAGCAAATTCAACCGTGCAGAGATTTCAAAGATGAATTTTTTTTTTTTTTTTTTTTTTTTTCGCTTGTGTCTCAAGATCGCTCATCACTCGTAGTTAGGCTCTCTCATACCATGTCAAAAGTTTCACCAGACTCAGTCACCCCTCCACTGTGAGTGATGCACATTGAAGTCTCTCAGCATCACAAGTCCTGCTACCCGATTTACTTTCTCATATCAATTTGAGCCATTTTGTTTTCAATTAATTCTCCAGCATCGATGGGACAATGCGGGTGGCTGTCATAGTCTCAGACTGCATATATATATAGCCTTAGAAAAAGTATATATATGAAGAATTAAAAAAAAAAAAAAAAAAAAGGATTGATCCTTTTGGCGTGGTGGTAAAAGCCTTGCTACAAGATTGCATGTTTAGCTATGCGATTTAGGTACCTGGCCATATTTTCGGCCAATAAAACTCGAAGAATGAGGTTTCTAGGTATTTGATTCATCCAGCTTTTTCAGCTCGAGGATACTCTTCCGATATCGTCACAAGCAAACGCATGCCGCATGCATGAGGTAAAAACAGTGTCCTACGGCGTTGTGGCTGGATAATACCAAGTAACTAATCAACGCCTGGCCCTCGAGAGCATTTTAAGTTGTAGCGGTACATCACCGTGTCAACCATCGGATCACCCTCCAACTGTCGCCAATCAAGTTGGCGAAACACCTTACCCCGACAAGACATAGTAGTTTGACGGGGCAATTTCATGGAATACTCATCCCTGGGCAGCAGGGGGATATAAGGGCTCAGTTCGGCGTTTTCGTTTTCGTGCACTGCTTCTGCTTCTGCTTCTTGGACATTGAGCGGCAGGCGAAGGCTCCACTCGAGTTGACGGACCGACACAATGTCACATACGGTGACGCCGCCCGCAAATCGGTCAAGGCGATCGAGAAGAGGAGACTCGGTCTTGCAGCAGTATTCCATAAAGCGGGCAAAGTAATCCATTACGATGGAGGATTTGAGGTCTACCATGGCATAGACCCTGCGAAGGTGTGGCATGCCTTCTAGATCGGGAAGGTCCCGTGTCTGGATATGTAGACATGATTTTATTAGCATGGGAAGCTGAAACTTGGGAAGTAGGAAATTTTTCAAGTCGTACAAATAAACCAGGGGGCTGGACATAAGCCAGCTGCTCAAGAAGCGGACAGACAGCCTTGAGCTCAGGGATGGGTAGATGTGAAGGCGAAAGGGGCATGGTCATGGCGAGCATCCGAAGCGAACTAAAATTATGTCCCAGATGGGGAATAAACTGGTCTACGCTTAGGGAGGTCAATCGAGCTGCTATCTCGTCCCAGGAATCCTGGGAATCCTGGGAACCTGCACGATTCGGAAGAGGTTTACCCTCAAATGCGAGTGATTCAAGCGAGTGATAATCCTGCCACTCCCCAAGCAGAGTCCCCTGAACAGTCCTGTACGAGTGACGTCGGGAGATTTGAAGATGTTTCAGACACCCGACGTCCACTGCTTTCCAAAAAGTTTCCTCAATGGAATCAGAGAACCCATAACCGTAATATACAGTACCAAGCAGGTCAAACGACTGTAAACAAAGCTTTTCCGATGCCTGCACGAATGGTTCAAAAAGCACGAAAGTTGGATCTCCTTCGCCTTCCAGTACGCTTTTTGGCGCACAGTCTGGATAGCCAGTTCGGAAAACCAAGTAACCGTACCATGTTGCCCAATCACCGAAGCGGAGCGCCAACGACTCCAGGCTCTTCCGGTGGGTGAAAATGGCGTCTCTCAGGCCTAGAAGTTCTGGTTCCGTACTGGCCTTGATGGAAAGTGACCGGAGAGGACATTGCGATAGAAGGTCCAGTTTCAGGACATCAAGAGGGTAGGCAAGTTTTGTAACACGCGGATCGCCATCGTAAGTAAAGGCAGTTATGTTTTGGGCAGCAAATGCTTCCATGAGGTCGCCCGGGGGAACAGGATTTGAGGCCCAGCTTGCTTGAAATCAGCGACTGAACCACTATAATCGTTTCATCGCGAGGGGGGACATACATAACCTCGTCCAAGGAATGCATTTCGCGAACGCAACCCAACAGAAGATCCATTGCCAGTGATTCACCCCGTTCGAAGACATCTGACTCATTTGCGAACAATATCGACAGCTTTGTGATAACCGGACAGAGAGTCTTCCTGTCTCTATACAAACCACGCAGCTGTGTGAGCCAGGGCGGCGAGAACTCCGGTTTCGATCGCGGTCGCAAGGTATTGTCCAACTCAATGATGGTATGTTGGTAAAGCAACCGGGTCGCTTTCTTGTTCAGGGACCGGGATACACAGCACAAGGCAGCACGGTCCCGGAACCGCGGAATCTATGCTGAGATTTAATACAGCAACGTAATAAAATGGAGCGAAATGAACTGGATATCATACATAGGTGCCTATATGCCAGATAATTTCAATTGGAAGACTCTCCATGGTCGAGCAAATGGGTCGGCGCCGATGCAACTGTATCTTGGCACACTGGATCTAAGGGGAAGCCGTCCCAATGCTCGCGTTGGGGTTCCTCGATAATGATATTGATTCAATTTGGTTCATACAAGAGAAGCTTGCGTGGCAGGGATGCGACTGACTCATTGATGGGCGTGGACTTTCTCAGGCCTACCCTAGTTAGGCATCGGACATCGCGAGTTGCTCACAGTGCGGTGCATGCAATACAGTCATTATTATTATTTGAGCTCTGTATTGGGGCAGCCACATTCATGACACCAGGTTGGTGTCGAAGAGTGTTGAACTGAGCATGCCACTTCGAGACGACAACAAACGGAGAGGAATTGTTTCCTTCGAGCCTAGCGGAAAACGCTTTCGGTTGGATAGCTCAAGCGTCATTTTGGGCCGGAGAGACAGGGTACAGTACCTGGAACAACATCGATGAGCCTCCCCTCCCGCACGCAGACGGGAGAATGCTGAGATCTCTGGGTCGATTGAAGCGAATCGTCAACGCAGCTTCTTCCTGCCTGCTTGGCGAGTGCAAGGCATCATATCATATCATCACTGTTGCTGCCTGCGGGTGGTGCCTGAAGCTGGGAGGAGCCCATAAATACGAGCAGGATGTCCCTCCTGGGGTGCCATAAAATTAATAACGGGATCGGGCTGCTGATTCTCTAACCTATATATCTTGTCCGTTGGTCTGTTAAAAGGAATTTCTCTCATTCTTTCGCTTTTCCTGGACTTTCACTCCTATCCCTCATCTGCCCCTCTGCACGCCTAGCAAATAAAGAAAAATGTCCGACATCTCAAAAGTTACAATTATCGGAGTAAATTTCCCCTTTGTTATGTCTAGAATTCCCTTCATGTATCTATCTATCTCTTCTCTATTTATATTCCCCTAAACCATAACTATAAACTTTTGAGCCCCAAACCCTAATACCCCCTTACCTCCCTTGTACTTATTCCCTTTCCCTTCTCCGATTTCCGCCAACCTAACAACCACCCCCACCCACAGGCCGCTGGTCACCTAGGTCAACATATCCTAACTGCTCTACTCGGCGAGCGCAAGCTCACTACCCAAATCCTCACCCGTATCGAATCAACCTCTACCTTCCCTGATGACATCCCGGTCGTCAGGGCTGATTTTAGCTCCGTCAACTCCCTCAAGGACGCTTTACGGGGCCAACATGCGATCATCAGCGTAGTGGGGATTCAGGGTGTGTCCGACCAGATCAATGTCATCGATGCTGCTGTTGCTGTCGGTGTGCGCCGCTTCATACCCAGCGAGTTCGGCAACCACCCGGAGTCCGAACACAAGCGATTGCCGGAGATGAGGATGACCCAGCCGGCTAAAATAGCTGTGATGAAGCATCTAGCTGAGAAGGTCGTGGAGACGGCGGGCAGATTCTCGTGGACGGCGATTGCGGTGGGGAACTTTTTCGATTGGGTGCGTATTTGGTTGAATTTTATTGTACATTTTCGTTTCTCGTTCTTTTCGGGTATATTGACTCTATATATACCAACATTCCTAGCTTTGTTTTTGAGGGGAGAATGGCTTTTGAATATCAAAATTGACGATCCCTCAATTAACCCCCATCGATAGTCTATTAAACGTTTCCCCGCCTTCGGTTTCGACTTAGCCAACAAGGCAGCCCGAATCTATGATTCAGGCAATGAGTATATCACAGGCGTGCTCATCGACTCCGTCGGCCAGGCCGTCGTGGGCACTTTCCTCAACCCCGTCGAAACGGCAAACAAATTCCTGCGCATCAGGTCCCTGGAGACGACGCAGAACGAAATTCTAGCGGCCTTCGAGCAGCTTACGGAATCCAAATGGGCGGTCGAGAGGATCTCGACTCAGGAATTGTATCGAACTGGAAGGGAGAAAATGGCCAAGGGGAAAGCAGGGTGGATTCTGGATATTCTCTGTACGCAGATTTTTGCTGATGGCGCGGGTCGATCGGTTGTTGCGACGAGGGAGGATTCGGATAATACATTGGTTGGAGTTCAGGAGGTCGAGTTGCAGGATGTGATTAGGGGAATTGTGGCGGAGAGTCGAGATATGTAGAATCTCAGTGCACAGCAAGTAGATTTGCCGTCACCTTTGGAACTCCCTTGCCGCGTTTGACACTATCATCATGCCTAAGTTCTGTTCATCAATTGTTGGAAGACCTCAAAATCAAACTTGACGATGGCGTCTCCACGTCATATCTGTCATCTTCACTATCCCTGTTCCCATCGTCGGCTTCATTTACTTTTTCTGGCAATCGTATAAACCAAACCGCCACGAAAATTAGCCCATACAATAGTGTGATTCCAAAATATGGCAATCCAATCCACCCCTTCCCCATCTTCAATCCCAGTGAAAACAACCCAGCCAGTAATGGTGAGCCAACAAAAACGCCGAACATTGAAACCACCGACACCACGGAATATAACCTTGCCATATGCTTGGGTTCAACGTAGGTAGCCACCATGCTCGCATTTAGGGAACCGAGCCCGGAACCAAGCGTGTAAATCACCAGCCCTGCGATCATGGTGGCAATCGTTGGGGCAAGGCCTAAGCAGAGGGCACCAAGCGTGTACATGATGATACTATATCGGGACAGGATGAGATCTTTGGTTGCGGTGGTATAGCGCCGGTTTACAGTGAGGTAGCGGGAGACTGTGGGCAACAAGACGAGGAGCAAGAATATGTTGACGCCTGCGAAGATGGTAAGGGAGAAATTTGCTGTAGAGAGGGGGATTCCATAACGAGTCGAGACGTATAGAAGCATGATTGACAGCTGCTTACTGCCGATGTTCGCAATGAATAATATCCAGAGGATAAGAGCTGTGGTGCGGTTTGGGATTACGGATTTGATGGCTGTGCGGAGAAGATGGAGACGGTGTTTGAGAGTGGGTTTTGAAAAGCTGTTATGAATGGTGTCAAAGAGATCTTCTACATCCTCGCCACTTGCGTATTCGTCTTCCGAAGTTGGCTGTAGATGCGATTTGAGGTCTCTGAAACGAACCGTCTCAGGTATTATTAAAAGCAACGGGAGACTGCAGGTAGCGCATATTGAGCCCAAAAAGAGAGGATTCCAGGGGCTCCCTTTTAGCATCATCCATGATGCTAAGAGAGGGGCCAAAAATTGAGTGATAACGATAGCCAAGGCTATCTGGAAAAATGCCGTTGATCTAGGATGGAAGGCAAGAGTGAGAAGGTGGAGGGATTGATGGAATGTGTGAGGAGAAAATGGAGATATTCGCACCTATATCTAGCCTCAACAACATCCGTTATCATTGTCATCAACATGGCTAATGCCACGCCAGCTCCACCCCCTATGAAGAGAGCTGCTGACCCCAGCCACACTGCCCGTAGAGACATGACCCGAGAGAACCAGCATACCAAAAGTACCCAAAATTGACCCAACAGAAGGCCAACCACCGCTAGGGAAAGGACAAATTTCCTTCCGTATTTAACGTTGTCCGCGAGACGTCCGTACGGAATAGAGAGTAGAATGCCTGTGAATTCCCAAAAATGCATCCAGGCGGATAGCAGATCAGTCACAACTAACTTTAAGGTAATTGTTTATTCAAGGGTTAATTGACGGCTCTCTTGCAGAGAGCTATTTCCCACGAAGGAATGAAATTGGAAATGAGCATGAAGATGAATATATCAACTACATACTGGGGAGCGCTTCGAAACTGATCTGCAATCCTTGCACGAAGGCTAGTTCGCCCTGCACCGGTGGGATTTTACACTTGTCCTCTGGAATGTCTTCTAACAATCGATATTGGCCTGGTTCGTGCTTTTCATAATACTTGCGGCAAGCTATAGCCTCGTAGATGCGGGTTTGAGGAGCGACGGAGAGGAAGTTTCCAAAATCAACACAGAATACTATTAGTACACAGAGAAATACGAAAACGACAGGTTTTTCCCTGGTTTTTCGAGGGCGGACTGTTGGCAGGGACGATTCCGTCCCAAGGAGAGCGTTAGTCTCATCGTCGAGGAGAATATGATCAGAATCAGCAGCCATTGTTGTAAAGAGAAGCACGGATTTGTTTAAGGCAGCTGCGCCATTCAATTGATTGCAGTGAGGAGACAGTTTTTCCATTGTTGCGGCCAAGGAAAGTATTTGTAAGTACCGGATGTGCTGGACCCCTGCGTGTCAGCCAAGGCAACACAATTAACAAGTCTCCGAACCAATGGCGCTGAGTTCATGTTGGATCAAACCAGGATTAAGTATTTTGGACTGAATTGAGGTGCCCTGGCGAATGAATGCTGTTAGTTGCTTGATCTCCGCTGGGTTGTTGTCAACAATACGTAATTGTCTTCTAAGATTGAAGTAAATTATCTCCGAAGTTTTTCTGTGGTTAAGCCTGACTGACTAAGCTCTCATTTCGGGGCCGATTCGGCTCGGCATCTCCGTCAGTTGTTGATTGATAATTTTCGGCCCGAGACCCAAAACCCGGCCATTATCAAGTCTGATTTCATGTCTTGGCCCAGAGAAGTCTATCAAGAACTCTGTGGACCTGATAATCCGTGTTCCATCACCCTCAGGAGAATCTCAATGCAATAGATGCCACTGCAATGTAGTTGACTAAGCATAGTTGCAGAATTGGATAGTTAGTTAGACCCAGAGCAAATGGTTTGTTGAATCCTGTTCATTCTTGAGATATAAAACTGCTGCTTCCTTTCTTAGAGCCATTCAGCCACACCGCATAGACAGTAGCCGTTGAGCAAGTCGCAAGAAATAATTTGCAAGAGGTATCGGCGGCAAATTGGCTCACCGTTTTAGCAGTTTGACAACTTTTTACTCAAACAAGCATGAAACGTTATGAGCCCGATTCCGCGGTCCCAGCAATTTCTATATACATAACGAGCTATAGTGTGAGATCCAGCAGGCTTCCAAAATAGTAATAACAATGATAAACTAAACACACCCATGATGGGTTAGATGCCTTAGATCGCCGAACATTTCAGAGTTTCGTAGTGCTCTATGTAGCTGCCCTACTCAAACTCAAGACTTCATCAAGTACGTGGACGAAACGTGTGTATAAAGTATTGCTCACATTTCCAATAGATGGACTGGAAATTTCCTATGAAATTTTTATTGTAAGGAACCGCTGTTGGAAGATTAAAAGACACTGAAATGGAACTGATAGTTCGTGGTTGGTTGCGCATAGCGCTAGTAGAACAGAAGTTGAGAATAATTGGGTTTGGGTAATCTATAGCCACGAAGAAGATAACAGAGAGCGTTTGATTTCATTCCTGCTACCGTTAAGATTTAAGCGGTTTGGCTTTGTGGAGCTGCAAGCCATTGAGTAATCGAAGGGAAATCAACCAGTCCATAGCACGGATGGCAATTTCTGACCCTCTCCAATGCATGTTCGAGAAGAGGACGTGGTTCTTGATTCGAACTCGCTCATTCACGGTAAGCATCTCAAAGTTACAACCGAAAACTGAAGAGCTCAGCTGTTATAGTCCACGGTAGCGTTTGATATGGTATCTGGAAGATCCATAAATCTTGGATACTGCCATCCCAGGCATCCGTCGTGGAGATTTGGGGAACACCTATGCTCGAAAAAAAAGAGCGGCCCGCACAGTATCAACAAAGACGAGCATAAGGCAGTGAGTAAGAAGCAGTTTTCTGGTCTTTATATGATCCGATGGCTTGTTGACGCGGCTATAAATAGTGCTGGGTGTACCGCCGAAAAATGTGGCAGGTTTATTGCCTCGCGTTAGCTTCAGCCAAGTCATCCACCACCACCACAAACCACCACCGCCGCCAACCACCACCACCAGCCATCCGTTGCACCACCAACTTCTATCCGCAGTGGACCGGCAGCTCTCCACTCTCGCATCCTACATAGCTTCCGACCGACCAGCTCGACTCTTACCTACTCTCTCGCGCCTATTTGCTCCTCCCTTTTGGCTGCGCTCCCAAAAGCTTTCCGTGCCGCATTCGCTCCTATTGGCTCGTTTGTTAAGCTAGCTTGTCCAGCACCCTTCGCACATTCGGTCATCTGGTCATATCCATACACTCGACTACGGTTACCTGCTTAGACAGGATTGCTCGAGGACGCCTTTTACGGTCTGACAGCGGAATATCTTTGGTATCGAGTATACGTTCAGGTTGCATTCCAGCTATCCTCCACCGTAAATATTTATTTACCCACACATACCACGCCAAACTTTAAAAAGCCTTTACAACAGCGCACAACAGCATCATGTCTGGCGAAGCTTGGCTCTACTTGTTGGCGGTACTGATAAATGCCGTCAACCTCTTTTTACAAGTTTTCTTTACGATCATGTACAGCGATTTGGAATGGTGAGTCGGCGCATTCTCCCAATCGATTCATCTACGGCGTGTCCCCTTCTGGTATATGGGAGCTTTAAGAGCTGTCTATGAATATGAATCAAATATTTCTAACCAGCTTCTACGCGGATGCTGCAGTGATTACATTAACCCCATCGACCTTTGCAACCGGCTCAACGCATATATCGTCCCAGAAGCCGCTGTTCATGCATTCCTGACGATCCTCTTCGTTGTTAATGGATACTGGCTGGCTATAATTCTGAACCTCCCGCTACTGGCGTTCAATGCGAAGAAGTGTGTTCAACATTTTTTTTTGGGTGGAGGATAGTTGTAGATTATATAAGGCACACAATCCACTAACTTGTCCTGAATCCTGCAGGATATTCGATAACCAGCATCTTTTGGATGCTACTGAGATCTTCCGGAAGCTCAATGTTCATAAAAAGGTTTCACATGCACCTCCGTTCTCCTCCGCTTTCCGGCATCGGATGACTAATATTGCTCTTCTCGCTCGCAGGAATCTTTTATCAAACTTGGGTTCCACCTTATCATGTTCTTCTTCTATCTCTACAGTATGATTGTCGCCCTGATCCAAGACGAATCACATTGACTACGTGAGAAAGCTGGGAATGCGATGCGGGATGGCCGTCCGCGCGGCCTGTAACCTCGCAGCTACCAAGCAGCAGCTACAATCCCAGGTCAACGATAATACGAGCCGACCAACTTTGAAAATCTGGAATAGAACAGTGGACATTTATTTGTGCAATAATAGTCCATCCCACCACCTTAAAACCTACATATTCGACCCATGACGTGTTATTTTTTTTTTTTTTTTCATCTTGCCTCTTTTGCCTTTGCGAACAGCGATTGACTATTGATAGAGCTGAGTGAATTCGGTAATGTTTTTCATTTTGATTTTTGTTTCTCTACTTACATTTGGGGGGGTTGATCTCCATATGTGATATGGATTGGGAAATGAGAAATGATTCTGTATTAGTGTTTATTTATGTCGCTACTTACAATTTCCAACTTTTTTATCTCTCCTTAATGCTGGGCTAACGGACATGAGTGGAGGGACGCTTGTGGCAGATGGGCACAAAGTGTACGAATTTCGAGGTGTATGCAAATGCAGGTGTCGGAGTCTACATCTTTTTCTTTCTTATTGCTATTTACCTGCCAATCCTTGTGTATATACGCCTGAGGCACTAATGAAGAGCGTATGATACGCGCTCTTTCCCATTGCATTTGCTTATGTTTCGGTACGTGGGGGCTGCGTTGCTGTTCTCTTGTTTAACTCCTTTTCTGCAGGTATTGAAACATACTTGATGGCAGACATGACAAGCTGTACCCTAAAATTCAATCTGGGGTGTGTTATTTTCCGTTATTCCTAGTGGCGTTGAAGTGATATCTTCTTGCATTATCCGAGCCCTTGAAGCCCACTGGAAGTTTGATATTGGCTGCACATTTGGTCTGTTCAGGTAACCGTAAATTTTGACCATTTTCAATAGCAACGAACCATTTTCATCTTCCTGCATTATATCAACTTGTTGCGCAGCAGAAATAGACGCATAGCTATGGCTTCTCTTCTGGGTGCCAATTATGAATCTTCCAGCGACGATGAAGTTCAACAAAATTTGCCGGTCAAGTCAACACCAGCTCCCGTCCCAGCTCCAGGGATCGTCGCAGCACCTGATGTCTCCATAGAGGTTTGGTCCCTACATTCTCTCCCCTTTGGGCAATGTACATGGCGGAATATATTATGCGCCATTCCGATATCTTTTCATAAGCTCATATATTCTACAGGATTCTTCGCGCTTACAGCTGATGCTTGCAAAATCGACCGACACCGCCTTAACTTACAACGCCACCTATGATGACCTATCACGACCAACTTTGGGACCGGAAAATCCCTTCCGCTCCGCTCATGGGGGCAACGCGCTGAAGAGGAAAAACGTATTAACGGGGCATGCGGAAGAAACTTTGATAAGCGAGGCGACGTTTAATTCTCAGCATCGAACATTTCAGGCCTTTGGATACACGCAGGATCCAAGCGTTCCTGGGGCATTTGTCGGGGATTTGGAGGCCGCCGCACGTCTGGGGGGTAAAAATGTGGTGCAAATGCGTCCTTCCAAGGAAGCCAGCGCTGCATTGAGGAGGAAGAGGCAAAAGAAAGGGGATTCTAGTATCGTCGAAGGAGAAGGCGCATATCTCGGACCTTGGGCGAGATACGAGGATGATGATCTCATGTACGAGGAAGAATTGGACCTAGCCGGTCGGGAACTGGCCAGCGATGAGGAATATATTGACGAAGCGATTGTGCCGTCGAATGTACCAGCTATGGATAAAAAGGCTACGGCGTACAAGGAAGATACGTCCCATACCGAAACGACAGAATTTCATGGTTCGGAGCAGTTCGATTATCAAGGAAGGACATACATGCACGTTCCCCAGGATCTGGACATCGACCTCAAAAAGGAGGTGGGCAGTATCAAAAACTACGTACCCAAAAAGCTGGTCCATACCTGGAAATCACACACAAAACCCATTACTTCTTTGCGCTTCTTCCCCAACTCAGGACACCTCCTCCTCTCCTCCTCTGCCGATTCGAAAATTAAAATATGGGATGCCCACCACTCCCGAGAGCTTCTGCGGACATATTCTGGCCATTCCAACGCAGTCACCGACACCACCTTCCACCCAACGGGCACCACTTTTCTCTCAGGCTCATACGACCGCCAAATCAAGCTCTGGGACACAGAGTACGGCAAATGTATCTCCCGTTTCTCAACGGGAAAAACACCTCACGTCATCCGCTTCAACCCAGACCCAGATCACTCCCATGAATTCCTCGCTGGTATGTCCGATAAAAAAATCATCCAATTCGACACCCGCACCGGTGCCATCACGCAAGAATACGACCACCATCTCGCCGCCGTCAACACACTTACTTTTGTCGATAACAACCGCCGCTTCATCTCCACCTCAGACGACAAATCGCTGCGTGCGTGGGAGTACAACATCCCCGTCCCCATCAAGTTCATCGCGGAGCCGTATCTGTACGCACTCGTGCGTGCAGCTCCCCATCCCAATGGCAAATACGTCGCCTTCCAATCCGGCGACAACCAGATCGTCGTGTACGCCTCGACGGATAAGTTCCGCCAGAATCGCAAGAAGAGCTTCCGTGGGCATAACAATGCTGGATACGCGATCGATGTGGCTATCAGTCCTGATGGCCAGTTCGTCACGTCAGGTGATAGTGGTGGATACGTGTGTTTCTGGGATTGGAAGACAGGGAAGATGTGGCATAAGATCATGGCTGGAGGGAAAGAAGGGGCGGCGATTACATGTGTGGAATGGCATCCGCAGGAGACTAGCAAGGTTGCGACGGCTGGACTGGAGGGCGTTATCAAGTATTGGGATTAGGATTGGATTACACTGGGTTGTAATGGGCTTTTTTTTTGTTCGTTTTATTTATTTTACTTGTCTATCCTCCGGCATACTTCCTTTTTTATCAAGGCTGTGAATGGTCAAGGGGTGACGGAGTTCTGAATATTCTTCGGTCTTACTACTACCCATTGTGTCATGATATAGTTATATCTATTGGAACGCTAATTATTCCCGAGATCATAAAACAGCAAAAAAAAAGAAGAGAGATTCTGATATCATTTTATCACGGTCAATATTTTCTTATTTTTACAAAGGCAAGCAAGCCATAACCTATACGTACTTGTAGACTTGATAAAACATATGCATTTAGTTTCAATTGGCGGATATCATCATAGTCACATTAATACAATGCTTCCAAAAGGTCCAATGGGCGGCCATCAGATGACGAAACATCACTGTAAATGAAACAAGATTTCATGCGTTTTGTCATTTGGCCATGCGTTAATAATTCTAAATTTCTCGCACAAGTAACTTCAATAAGGGGAAAGAAAATGGAATCCGTTCAATCATCCACTTATGCATACTCAAGCCCATATCCCTCGGCCTTTCCACGAAGAAATGGTATTTCATCGTGCTGTTCGCTTCACTTGTAAGGAAAAACATTGATGAGCCGCTTTGCTCAACACACCCAGCCAACAATTCCTATATATATACCAGGATGCTCGCTGCCCATTTTAGTATCAACTGGCCGGAAAGAAGATATATGGATATATAGCACTAGCCTAAAAGCTGGTCATGTCAATCCAGCTCGCTACAAATCCCAACCGCCGGCCCCTCTCACCTTGCATCCTCATCACAAACTCATCAAAATTCAACTTGGCCCCCGATCCACCACGTGCCTTTGCTTCCCGCTCAACTTGGTTAAGCCTGCTCCACCGCGCGAGCGTTTTTGGGGATGGTGGAAGTGGAGGTGAAGGCGGGTTGGGTTGCGTGTTAGTTTCGTCCAGGGAGGACGAGGAGGATGGCGACGGTGGGGAAAAGAGGGAGACGGAGGAATGGGAACGGTCGACATCGCCAGCAGTAGAAGTGAGTTGTTGTCGGCGTGGAGACGAGGAGGCAGATTGATGAAACCGGAGGCGGAGAGGGAGGGACTGGTTTCTGGATGGTGTGGAACGGGGCCGCGAGAGGGATTGCTGCTGCTGTTGTGGCCGCTGTTGGGCAGATACAGAGGTGGAGGTGGAGGCGGATTCATAGACGGGCGATTGCTCGAATACTGAGTGTTCGTAAGGAAGGGTGGTGGAACTGGAGACTTCAGTTATATGGAGGCTGCGACCTGACGCCGCTCTGTCAGGCCGGTTTTGAGGAAGGGTTGGGTCAGGAGGCGTGGGGCCGCTCTCTGCTACCTCGTATTCTTCCTCCTCTCCATATTCAGTATATCCTAATCCTTCGGGTACTGGAGGGAAGGGTTCCAGATCTGAGTCGTTAGGGCGGTTTTGAGGGAGGGTGGGATCTAGCATATTATAACGTTCGGAAACTCTTGCAGGCTGGCCGGTGATATCTTCTTCGCCTGGAGAGGATAAGGAGTGGCCTGGGATACCTCCGCCGCGCGAGGATGGGTGATCGACATCGTCTAGTAATTGCCCGAGAGGTTCCTCCCTCGGGCGTTCTGTCGAGTTTACATTTCCTTCCGTTTCTCCTTGACCGGGTTCCTCCGTTTGCTTGTCGGTATCAATGCCCTGTCGAAGATAATGGTTTTTAGGGAGTGATGCCGTAAAGTTATTGATCTCCTTCGCCCATCGTTGTCTCTCGACCTTCGTCCGGCGTGCCTCCATAAGTAGATTTTCTTTTGGCTTGAATATGAGATCGAGAAGCTCATTGAGACCTTGCTGGGTAACCTGATATAGAACCTCCTTTCCGACATCCTTTTCTGCTTCAGGGACCTCGAATCCACCCCAGCGTTCCGCTACAGGGACGCTACGGGATGACGTTGACAGATTCGACCTTGTCTCGTACTCATTGTCAGTGATGTCATCCTGGAAGCGAACCTTGGACGATGATCTCGACCGTGGAGTAGGTGGGTGCGACTCTTCTTGTACTCGTTGTGGAATATCTTCGACACCATCGTGGAAATCCTCCGCGTCACGGTATCCCGCAGGAGCAATGGCGCCATCTTCCTCGTCTGTATAGAACGCCCGCCTGGCCCATCTTTCATCGATTCCCTCTCTCCTTATCCGTTGCATCCGTTCGCGATCTGCCTCATCAATCCTCTGCATTGCACAAGCAGCGATCCTAGCCCTATCAACTGGATCCGTGATTTCTTCCAAGGGTATATAGCTGCCTAACGCATTAACTACGTCCTCTGACCGGACCTGCTCATTAGGCCATTCGCTGTAGCTGCCCAGGTACGAATCAGAGTCGTTCCCTCCATTATCTTCTTCATCGCCATACTCTTCCTCATTATTATCTCCACGGGCATGTCGATTGCGTCTACGAGGCCGAGTAAATGGAGGGTCGGGGAGTCGCAATCTAGAGGTGAAAAGGGGGCGTGTCCGACCAAACCTTTCTCTAACAGCAGCATCCGCAATAATTGCATTCCTATCACCTGTGTCATCCCCATCTTCTCGCAAAACGCCGGCATTATCGATAATTTCCATATCGCCTTGCAAGTTTGTGCGCTTGCCTTCGCCAATTCTCGAAGGTTCTCCAGGTGGGATATTGCCCGGGAATGCAGAAGAAATAGGCTGGCTCCCAAGTATGATATCTCTCGTTCCGCCTTCCAAAAAGTCATCTTCCATACCGGCTACCATGTCCCTAGTCAACTCTCTACTCAGCGTATAATAAGCGCGGAATATTCGAAGGAAGTCCTTTCTTTCCACATAGCCATCTCTGTCAATGTCATACCCTTCAAATATTCGCCTAAGCCTCTCATGAACACTCTTATTACTGAAACTTGCCAGTCCTTTCAAAAATTCTTCAAACCCGATCAAATTATCTCCATTGGTATCATAGAAAGAAAACATCCGATCGTATATAAGGCTTGGTGGTGGAGGCCGGATCGACGTATTTGGCACAAAGCATCGATCAAATGTTTTCCGATCGATCGCCATATTAAGCTTGTTTGGATCATTGACCCACTCAACATTTGCCAGACAGCGGAACTGGTCCCATAGCGCATCCAACTCTGTATTCTCAAAATTCGTCTCTTTCATAAGCCTCTTTGCGAGATTTCGTGGCAGACTGCGCGGCAGCATAGCCGGCTTCCCCGGATACCAAACCGGCTGGGGCTGTCGCGGGTTACCTAGGAACGGAGCGGGAATACGGACTTTATAAAATAAATGTGTTTTGATATGAACCTGCATTGCCTCGCATGTTTCGCAGAGATCGTAGTCAATACAGTTGGCACATCGATATCTTATTCCCTGAATTGGCATCGCCCCACAGCTATTGCACGTTACTCCCCGATGAATATAGCCATCCCGCCGCGCTTGATCCTCAGCAATATGGTATAGCAGGTTGAGCAAGTTCTGGCCCTCGCGGGTGGGTGTGCCATCGTCATTGCCATCTCGCCATGAAAAGATGCTTTGGTCATCCACAGTTGTTGCAGCTTGATCAGAAGTTTGTACAGTTTGCGACGGCACTGGAGGGTCAAGGACGCTCGTTCCGGGGCCTGTGAGGCGTATTGATTCGCCATTCAGTCTCCGCCGCCGTAGCTCCTCGCCAAATTGGTCGGACTCGTTGAATCTCGTGAGGGCAGCCGTGATGTTCTCCCCGGAAAGCCCACGATCTAGCAACTCAGTTGACAGATATTGCCACTCACCCGTTTCAAAGAGAATAGTATGCGACGACCGAAATTCCATCGCTAGGAAATTATCAAGTAGGGCATTCTCGATGACGGATCGTATGTACTGTGCGTGCTCCCGCGTAGATTCAAGCTCTTCCTGAATCTGCTCGACAGATGGCAACTGTGATGGGATGAGGCGACACTCAACAGAACGGCCACCATCTACCTGCATTCGGAATGTCCCGTAAGCTTGCCCCGATCTTTCCAACAGATCCAACGCTTGTATAGGTCCTGAGAAGTCATTAGACACGCGCGACTCGCCGCTGGGAAGTGAGATACCACCGCGCCGCCGTGTACCTCTCCTACGGACTGCATTGCGGCGATGGAGAGGTGGAGGAGTCTGGGAAGAGACGTAACGGCTATGAGCATAGAAGATAGCGTATGCGGCAACTACACCTGTCAAGATATAAATCGCCGGGCGAAACTGCGTAAGAGATGTTGGACGTGAAGATGCGTCAGAAAACATCTTGAACCAAAGGAGGTGTGTCGGAATGCGGAGCTTGTCAGAAAGCGAGCATCACCGCGGTCCACGAGCGTCAATACAGAAGAGCAATGACAACGGTGTGGAACGGTCTAAAAGACATGTTGCATGCGGATCGAGTGACTTAACAGCCAGTGCCAGGTTTCAGAAGCTATAGATACTAGTAGATTTGTTGCTTGTCTGACCAGGGAAGATCCCCTTGAGTGTTAAAAAAAACTTAATTGCCGATTCGGGAAGAGGCTGAGAAATAAGCGCGCGGTAATTCACTGTCAGAGATGGTATCTCGGCGCATAAGATCCTCAGCGCCTCTTATCGCAAGGATGAGAATGCGGTAATGGGCGGGGCCTTTTGGGGATCTAGGGGAGGCTTATATACTTTTCTCTGGGGCTAGACAAAATCGACAAACGGAAATGGTTCGAAGAAAAACCAAAGTGAGAGGCAAAGAAATGAGGAGGCTTCCACTCTGCATGGAATTTTTTGCCCAGCTCCGAGCGGCCCGGGATCAGATCGCTCCGCGGTTGCCACATAGGCCGCCATGCGACACTCCTATTCCAATGCAGAGAAATTGGCTAGGTGCAGTAGTAGACATAAGTTCTGAGTACAGCCACCTTCTCATCTTCAAGCAATCAGCATCAATGCACGCCATACAGCGTTTTAGCAATATGAAGTGCTACTTTCGTTCATCACTTTAGAGCTGATCTTCTGTTTACGGTGTAAAACGCGGAAAGACAGTTCGGGTGCCACTGTAGAAGCACGCAGAAGTGTTAAATTTTCTTGATGATACCGCTCTAATGTGATGAACTGCCTGTGTTTTCAGAGTTGCTCTATAATTGTCTCTATGTTTGCTGTGTGAAACTTCATTCATCTTCACTCTAGAAATATGAAACTCTACTACATATATGAGAGGCTGGCAAACCAGGAGATAGCTATAGAAGTATAGGAATCCTTGGCGACAGGAGGACATCAAAATAGCCAGTAAGAGACACAACCCCATCGAGCGTGCGAAACCAGGTCAAATGAAATACTAAAGGACAGTCGAAACATAACCCATATGGAGATTCTCCCAAACTTGCCAACTATGCCAACCCTTCCTGCTTGCCCTTAACACTGGCCTTGTTAGCGGCATAAGTCGCGTCGCCGCGATCGATGATTCCTTCCGCCTCTAAATCGTCCAAAAGCTCGAGCACATAGTCTTGACAGTTATAACCCGCGAATTCATTGTGGATAACTGCGTTCTTTGCAGTGTCCTTGATAGCTTCAACTTTGAAAGCGGGCACGTCGCAAAGGTAAACCAGTTCCACGAGGCTTTTTGATTGGCGGGCGTTTGAGTTTTGCATTTCGAAACGGTATCGAGTCGAATAACCCACGGCGTGGAGTATGATCTTTTCGGAATCGGTGGCTCCCTCAACGAAGAGGCTCCAGTGCTTATATACACCGCTGCGGTAGATGGCAACATGGAGCTTGACAGTTGGAGGCATACTAAAAATCGCCGAAAAGTACCGTGAAAAGTTTTTTTCAAGATGGTGTATCTGTAGGAGTGAGGCTGCGGGGAGTCCAGTCGACCGCTGGCTGGATACGAGGGGGATTGGAGGGAGAGTAAGAACCTAGCACGAGACAGGAAAGCCTTGGACGAATTGGACAAGATACTGGCACGTTGACTGTGAAGAGAGGATAATTGAGCGAGGATGCAAATCAGAAGTCTGAGATAGAAAACAGCCGAGGGTTAAGGCTAATAGGGACATGTATCGATAGAGCGGTAGAGATATAAAGAGATTTAAGGGGGATTTTTCTTGTGAATCAGGATAATGGATGGAGACAGTAAAAGCTGGGGATTGCGATGATTTTATATACAACTCCAAGCCGGACCCTTCTTATGTATGCCCACAGGAAAAGGGGCTTGGATAAACTGGGTGGTGTTTGGGATATAACCCTTCACAGCGGGATGATGAAAGGAAGACTGCTTCTGGCTATTCGGGAATTTGAATTGGTTTCAGACAAACTTTGCAGCAATAAACAGCAAATCATATGTGTCTTGTTGGGTGGCATCTCTGTAAATGAGATTTCAGAACATGCATATAAGTGTTGGTCATGTTCTATGGATAAATAATTTGCTGATCCGTGACGCATGAATGAACTTGAAAGCATGCCTCAAAGTAAATTGAGCAGTATTAACCAATGATATTCCTGTGATTTGTAGGAGGACTAAGATCATGAAAAGAGTAATCGGTTGGTTTGAACTAGCGAGCTAAGCGGGCGATGAGAAAGCCCGTAGGCGCTCCGCAGGGGATCCAAGATGATTGAATAACTTCGGAGCCTGGCGGCTAGCATAGGAGAGTATCGGTTGTTTGGGAGGGCGAATTGAAGCCCTGGAATGCATATGAACCGATGTGCAAACAAAGAGAAGCGGCGCGTATGCATGAATTGCAGCAAGCTGCTTATATATTTACCAGGTCACAGGTTCGAACAACTTAGGCGCCTCAACTCCCGAGCTCTGAATGCCATCAATTCGGTAGTCGACCAAGCGAAGGTATCCCGCCATCTTCTTAACGTGTAGGTAGCATAATGCTCCAATCGTGACAGCCCTGCTTCCAACATCTCAACACTTGAGATGTCGAACGCACGAATGGTGTGAGTGAGAGTCGAAGCCATTTCTTTCAAAATGCTTTCCGGCGACTGGATGAAAATAGACAGATCCTTTAGATAACAGTGAGAGTTCAGATTTGCTGAAACAGTGGGCTGGAAGCTGGCAGGCAAGCCAAATACCAACCGGCTTTTAGTATTCGCCCGCTTTTCAGATCCCTCGCACCTATAATAGTGAGCTTTTGTCGAATGCGCGAGCTTGAGTTTCAGATCGTAATAATATACTCCCACAGGCTTGATGTTGGGCTGAATTTCATGCGAATACTATCACAGATTTTCTAACCTGGGCTAATTTAAAACACATTAATAGCGAATAATGTATCTTGTAGGAAGCAGATCACGGAAGTAGTTGGTTATCATTAAGGAGTTATCAGCTCCTAGGTGGGCGGTATAGGCGATGTTATGGTCACGTGCCGGCGGAGCTGGGCGGCCCGCAGGAAGCAAACATATCTGAATAATCAAAAAAAAAAAACGCGTTCTACCACAAAACTCTCTGGAATATACAGTTATGAAGCCGCGCTAATTGGTCCAAAAACCTCCAGGTGATGGGAATTCCACGTTGTCCCTTGTCCTTTTTAACTCCGTATTCTTCGAAGACGCGTCAACGCAAATCCCAAACAAATTATTTACACGGTAAACTCCCACCGGAATCCCAGCAGAATCTCAGTGCCCGCCATCCTCCCACAACCGTCCTTTGAAGCATTTCTTATCCTCATAAGCCAGCTTTTGTGTCAGCAATTATGGATGAGGCTGCGGCTGTACAGGGCCTCTCGCTCACACACCCCAATGCAGCACAATGGAACCACGAACTTATGCTTGAATTCCAAGCAGCACTCGAAAAAGATCCAGCGGCGGACCTGATGTCAATTATCTCTGATTCATATAGACGAGAACATCGAAAAGCTCAGTATTGTGAGCTCTCTTATGCAGCAAAAATTAATCTCAGAACAGTTGATGAGCTCAGCGATCAACTCAAGCACAAGCCAGAAGTCAACTTGCTGGATGTGTTTCCAAAGAATTATGTTCGCAGGATTAAAATGGCGACTGCTGGCTGTACAGCACCGTCTGCGGAGGATACTGAAAAACAGAGTCCTCCGGAGTTCCGCACACGTCTTGATCTCGCTGACTCTGCCACGGTTGTCTTTCCATTGTCCGAGACAGTTACCGCTCTTCTTGCGAGGTATTCACACCCAGAGGAACCAGATGATGCAGAGCAAGCACTGATTTCCTTCCTCAAACAACTGCTTTGGGACTCACCCAAACTCTGGGAAAGCCCCATCAGAGGTGTGGTCGTCAAGTGCAATGAGGAAGTCGTTGCCAAAGTGATTACAGGTGATAACAATGACACCACAGAGTACACGACCATGCAGTACCTCGCAGAACGCGCGCCCGACATCCCAGCCCCCAAACCCCACGGCCTAATCAGATTCGGACCCTTTCGCGTGATCTTCATGTCATATATTCCGGACATGACATTGGCGCAAGTCTGGTCCAGCCTATCACCCAAGGAGAAAGTCTCAATACAACAACAGCTAGATGATATTTTCCGTAGATTGAGGACCCTTCGCCAGGAGGATGGCAATGCACTTGGAGGTGTCAGTGGAGAAGGGGTGAAAGAGTACCGTGTCGATGAATGCGCCCGCTGGAAAGATATCACCACAGCCAGAGAGTTTAGCGACCTGCAATTCTCCGCGCGCCATCATGGCAGCAAGACATATATCAAATTCCTCCGCTCTTTCCTCGAAGATGAGAGTGCTACCATGCGCGGATCTGTGTTTACCCACGGTGATGTCAGGAGAGAGAACATTATGGTGAAGCAGGATCCATATAACAACAACACCTACATGGTCACTGGTATTATCGACTGGGAAGATAGCGGCTTTTATCCCGAGTACTACGAATGCACGATGCTGACATGTAATCTGAGCCTGGTAGATGAGGATGACTGGTACCTTTACCTTCCAGAGTGCATTTCGCCGTTGCGATTTCCTGTGCGTTGGCTTGTTGATCGGCTCTGGGATATTCACCTCAAAACTACATAGTTGCCACAGTTGCAAGATGACAAGAAGTTGCTGTGCGGTACTATAACTGAATGAGAGAGAACCGACTGATGGAGGATTAGGGTGGGGAAAACATTTGTTGTCATTCCACGATCTGATATGGGATCTTAACCTGTCAGCGGGAACTAATGATTTTTTCTATAAAAAAAAGGGGGGTAAACTGTCGACAGAACCTCAAGGCTTGGCACAACTTCAGAACGCGTAGCATGCCTGACCGATTCAATTTGGAATTCTAGTATGACATTTTTGATGTATGTGTTTAATGTAAAATGTAATTGCGTTTCTGCTTTCTCCACTACTGAAGGAGAGAAACTTTTGTTAGCAGTAGAGCGACCGGCTGAGGCCCTATTTATTAGAATTCGAAAGAGCAGAAAGCCGGCTCGAACCGAGTTGTAAGATGTTTGCAAACTGAGGAATAGATAATTGAGAACCACGGGTAATGAAGTACGTTTTACGGAATCAGGGTTGGGTCTATGAGCTCCGAAATCTAAGTGACCGTGAGATCAGAACTAAGATATCTGATAATGAGACTGAGAAAAAATTTGATCCTAGTCTTATATATGGTTACACAGTCAGTCTACTTATAATACCTTCTGTGAGAATAGCTTGCTGAAGAAGAAGAGATCAAATGGAAGAATTGCTCATTATTCTTATATAAGAAAAAGTATCTGATAATTGAAAAGTATATTCAGACTGCACTGAAGCCTCTGATATACTTTCAGTGTTAAAAAGAGTACTCCCAGTATAAAGATTTTCTAAGACACTTTCAGAAGACACATCTCAATAATTGTAGATATAACCTCTACAGTCTTTCACTCTGTGATAAAATGGATATGCAGGATTATGCAGTGATAGTCCATTTTATCTGCGTCTGAACTGATATTATTACACATTATCAACTACATTTGTTAATCTGATACTTGTATTAAGTAATAGACTAAACCTCTGAATCTGTAACTGTATTCAGTGTATATTGAAGCATTCAGAGCTACATATATACTGCATAAAATTTATACCATTTCTATTTTAGTTTTCTAGTCATCAGTCAAATATATTGTCATTTGATATACTTTCACTCCATCATTGTATGTATCATCATATGTATGTAGTATTACCCAAATTCTGTGGCAGCAATTTGCAACTTTATACCATGAGGTCTTTTTACATTCTAAAGATTTTAATTGTGCCGCCCACTTACGCCGTAGGGCACTTGAATAAATAACCAATCAACAATGAATAGAATATTGTGGATGCCTGTCACATACCCACCAACCAAGAATGGTAAAGATCCCCAGTGTAGAATCAACCACCGCATCCCCACCGAGCAGGCAACTCGATTTTACTGCAAAAATCGACCTTTAGAACCCCAGCAATTTCAACAACCACTGATCATTTTGACTTGTAACTGTATGATATTATTAAGTACTTACAATTATGTCAATTAATTTTGAAGTCTTTCAGAACTTTATAGCGTAATAGAAAGTGATAATTCAGAATTTTGAACTATAAAATTTACTGGGATCTGAATATCAGATAAACTGTAATCTTCTATGAATTATGAGCAACGCGCCCAGCCCTTACCCTAGCCCTAAGCCCTACCTCCCATCGGTATACCCTACTTCCTGACAGAGATTGCTCAGGAAAGAGCCGGGTTATCTTTAATGAACAGATCCTGAAGGTAAAGGAGGGTTGACAGCTATCTGGTGGAAGGGCTAGCCACCACTTCGAGATGCGAAACCTCCTTCAAGCTGCCTCGAGAATTATATCACGGTTTGAGGTAACTTATATATAGTAGCTTGGGTTTGGTCTTTCGACCAAACATTGTGCCTTTTTGGCTGGTTGGCGTAGCGGTAGAAACCAAGTACTGGAAGGTTCTTTATTATGATGTCATGCAGGGGAATTTGGTCTTGGCAACATGCCCTGAGAGCATTATCAAGGATCGCGGAGGAATGGAAGAGACGAGTATCATACATGCGAGTCCCAATGGTAAACCTCCTGTCAGTTGATCGATAGAGACCTGAACGGTCTAATGTCTGATCAGTCGTTGCCGGATTCAAGCTCGTCTTGACAATATTTCCGCACTTCCTCTTGGAGGGGATGTGAAGCCTGTAGCCTTGGTTGTTGTACAGTATATCCAAGACACAACATGGAATAATACTACAATACATGATAACCAAGATAACTACTCATCCTCAACAAAATCATCAAAAGGCCAATGTTTCTCTGTCATCTCCTGATCTATCTTATTGTCCGAAACAGAGTCGATGGCCATCTTTTTGAACTCCTTCGCTCGCGCAATGGCGTCCTCAAACATCTCATTTGATGTCCATCCATCGATGCTGACTCCAATTGCATCTCGAATGAGAGAGAGTTGAGAGTCTGTCTTTTCATATTCCTTTTCAATGCGGAGGGTGTCCTGGGCTTCTGACAGGTCGAAGGTTATGGGACATGGAGGTACAACTGCATCAGTGCCACCACCCCCTTCAGCATCTGCGCTGGTGACAACCTTATCCCAGTTTTGCACCATATGCACTAAATCTGCTTTAAGTTGGATGTTATTCCCTTCCCAGGGGTCACCCGCATGGGTAAATGTTTTGCGTTTCAGAAGATGACTTCTATCGTGGTCAAGAGCGTGGAAATGTGACGGATTAAAACGTTGCGTAAATCCAAGATAATAAAAATGTAGGTGACGGCGCCGAAACTGTTCCAATGCAGTGGAGCGCTCATGAGCACTCATTTCATCAAGTGTCTTAGGTAGTTTGGGTGGGATGAAGTGAAGTGATTCTTCATCATCATAGTTCTGGATATACTGCGGGATCCCGGCGGCAAGGAAGATGGGAAGAGCCGAACAATATTGCCAGTCTATCAGACCAATGATGTCCAAGTCCTTGGAAACAAAAATGTTATTAGGTTGCAGGTCGGGATGGCGCAGGATAGGCCTATGCAGACTTTTATCCTTTGGGACGAGGTAAGGTGCTATCTTTAGATACTTCTCAAGTGTTGCCATATGTTCTTCAGGGACTGATTTCCGATAATTTGTAGCTTCTCGGTATGCTCGCTCAAAGGGAAAGCGTGGTTTCCCGTAGGATTGTAACCATGCTAATTCCTTCTCTGCAATAGCTGTGAGAGACTCGGTAGCGTCCAAGTCTAAATAAATATATTAGAAAATATCCTTGAAAAGTTCGCTGAGGACAGATGGTAACTTACGTGGACCGCGATTGATGTTACAAAGCAAGCGCCGTTCCCCATACCACCACTTCAGAGATGTAATTGGGCCAACACAAATTTCGCCACGACGGGCCGTGACATCAGAATCCTGCGACGGACGAATGATAATACCTTTCATTTCTGGAGGTAAATCGTGAGAATAATATAGACTACCGGATGCCGGAAGATCGATGGCAAATAACTTTGCCTCAAGTTGTACCAATCCCTTGAGGACTTTCAATCGTTGCTTGTCTGAAAGGGTGTACCATGACTCTCCGATCGGATCCCCATTAATTTTCTCCATAATGATGTACTCAGCGCCGACAGGGTTGTCGGGGTTTGTCGAGTAATCCAAGACTTTAGGTACAGGAATATCATGGGAACGGATTAGGTCCAAAGTTGCGACCTCGCTCGCAACTGTGAGCCGTTTGGGGACGGTGGATGGGTAAGGTAGTCGGGCAAGAACTTTCGCGCCATCATCCTTCATTGTGATTTCAAAGACACGGTTAAATCCACCCTCTGCAAGCTTTTTGAAGCTCTTGATATCAGTTTCATGTCGGTGGATGGAGGCAGCCGCAACACGTTTGAGCTCTCGGACACTAAAAACAAGGGCTCTCTCAGGCAGACGAAGTGACTCATTATATCTGTAGATCATTTATATCGTCAATATCAACCTTACCGCTGCAATTCGGCATAGGTGAGTGATAGCACTTACATCCACCTCCCAGAAGTGTACTCAAATAACTCTCGATTTGTTTCAACAGTTTTGCTAGCCATGTGGGAGGCTGAGTAATAGCCGAGGTAGGGGATTCCAAAGTTATTTCGGCGGAAGCACCTAAGAGCGGTTTGGTTGGAAAACATCGTTAGAAAAGAAGAAAGAAGGAAGAGAAGAAAGAAGGAACAAAAGGAAAGACGCTGAGGAAATCGGAGGTCAATGAATGGCCCATGACATAATATATACATAGTTCTAGTTAGCAGAACATTTAGACAAAAACTAGTTAGCGCCGGAAAAATTAGGTTGTGCTCCAAGTGTTTCTGAAGCAACAATCTCCTGAAGCCGCTATCCAATCACCCATAGCCCCTTTTACTATTTCTAAACACAAACAATTTAATTCAAAAGAATTCTCGTACAAATGACCTTCAATATGAGCATTCTATTTAAAGTTACAGCGCTTAGTGGTTGTATGGTCGATTTTTTATTGGCCGGTACATAACTGATGCGCTCTGTCTACGCCGTAAGTTAATGTAAGCCTGTCGATCGTCACGGAGCGAATATTTCCTTTAGCCGCTTGTTTCACCTATTCCCTGCTTCAAGACTGCATTGGTTCACTATGCAGTATCTAATCTTGAGAATGCTTCATTCGTAGACCGGGGCGCTTAAGAGATATGATCGAAATAGAGATTCTGCAGCATAAATATGGCCATCCTCGCCGCTGAATTCGACTGCATCCTCCAAACTATCTACATCCAATCTATTATTCGTTCAACTCGAAAGTCTTACCCTTTCCTTTGGCACTTAGCTTATACAATATATTCTCAACAATACTCCAAGTATCTTCTTGGTATGTTCCATCTTGACTCATTTAATGGATTTTTCTAATTGAATGGTAGACTCTGTGGAACAATGAGGGCACTCAAGGAACTCGGTGAATCCGTCGCTAGGGGTGGTTTTTGGAAGAAACTTGTCAACCCAACGGTGGGCCGTGGCAAAACGGCATGGCCGACTGCTCCTGCCGATCAAGTGAGGATTGGCGTTCGATTTGACTACGATGGCGAAGTGACCATAAACGGGGTTGTGCATCACAAGTACCAGTGTCAACCGAATGCTGGCAAAATCCCCAGTTCGATCAAAACCTGGAGAGATGCGAACGGTGGAACGCACTCTGTAATGACCAGTATCTTCATCAAGAAGGACGGTACAAAGGAAGAGGTTCAACAGGCTATTGATGAGGCTCTTAAATCTATCTGAAGGCCTGCTAGGTTATTGAGACTGTTATATGCATGTTTGAAGGTCCTGCTTTTGTTGTTGGATTGAATTTTTCAGTTGAGGTACACAATAAAGATACATGGTTGAACAGGATTCATCATCTTTACTATCCTCACAATCTAGTGTTTATTTATTCCTTGTGCTGTAAGAAGTTATATATACTAGTTCTTGGCTAGGTTCCCAGAACTAGTCAAACTCTGGGAATGATTACTTTGTTTCTAAATGTTGCTAAGCTGTTCCTAGAAAGAGCAGTGATGAGCTTTGTGATCTCAGCAACAGCTATTCCCAGGACTTTACTGTCCCACACTGTTAAAAATAAACAAAGAACTCTCAACTTATGAAGTTGAGTACAGATGGCATCAATAAATCAAACTTCAAAAGTTCTACAAATCAACAATCAGTTGATCCATTTGCATTCTCCTTTTCACTTCCGCGTGCCAATTGCTGGTGATGCTCTTCTTGCCTGAAGTGTGGACAACCATCACTGCTGCAGGGTGATTTTTGTTCAGTGTGGGAACTGCTGCTTGATCTCCCACCAACATCAGTTTCACATTTTCAGATCCAACAAACACTCATCTTCTTCTGAAGTCCATGGTGTTTTTTTGTTGTGCTGCTGCCCGATCCCTGCATCCTCACTTGGACCCTTGATATGAGATTCAGTTAGCTCCTCATCTGTGGTACACATGGCATCCATCAGGGAGCCTCTGAGGAAGTCAAGGAGCTTTTCTGTGAAGATGTACACCAGAACAGAAACACCTCTGGGGATAATTGTTTTGGGGGGGGGGGGGGGGGGGGGGGGGGGTGGAAGTTTGTCCAGTGCCGTTAGGTGCTGCTCGGTTGGAGTGTGTGCGTGTCGAGCTTGTAGAGCACTTTGTGGCGGCCACCGGACCCATGTCATGAGGCTTCCATTTGGACTTTCCATAAACTTCAAAAGCTCGTGTGATTCGAGACCGAGACTGGGCCATAGACCGAGACCGGGATGGGCATGTGGTGATGGATGACCGTGAAGAAATCTAGCATCGCTTCAACAACAGTTCCTTTACTGAATCTCTGTCATTGCCGCTGCTCATGACATAATCATGATCGGAGGGGTTGCTTTCGCTGCTTGTGTCCGACTCACTCCCCTTGTCGCCCACAGGCAGCATGGTACTCTCAGGAAGGCTTGCCGGGTCTCCTGGAGGATGATGGGAGATGGCTGGCACCACAACAGCGAGCAATGGCTGCATGGACCCAGGATCGGAACGGCGCTTCCGTCCTTTGAAGGGGTTTTGGTTTTGCCCAACGTCGCTGATGTTAGTCTTGCCATGTCGGTCTGATTTTTCCAAGTGATCCAGAGACATGGCATGGATGGAGCTCACATCCTCAGCAGAAGATGCGAATGTTCCATTATCCCTGGACTCATCTTCGGTGCCGGTCTCTGTATCTACAACATGTGTGAGGAACATGAATCTATGACAGGAGCGAAAATCACAAAACCCACCTCGGCTACTGCTTGGCCATTCTTGATTCTGTGTTTCATCATGGCTCTGGTCCAACTCTGACAAGCGGGGTTGCACCTTCAAAGCTGGCATATGATTTGATTCTGTGTCACTGATGAGTGACTCCAGTAGCATAACGCGTTGGAACATGCTAAGAGCTCAAGAGCAACTTGGGAGCTGGTGAGGCTTCATTGCTCTGCTTCTGGCCTTGAGCCTCATTCCTCTTGAGAGCACCTGAAAGGAGATTTGGGTTAGAAATGAAAGAAGTTGAAAATGCTCAATGCCCTAGGAAGAGAAGAAGGGAAAATGCAGAAACCACTGAGCCTGAGGCACCTTTGGGATTGCGTCCCGCATCGTGGAGATGCTGTCGCGAGTCTTCCCCAAGGGTTAGATCCACATTGATCCTGCTTTCGATGAGGCCTTCAGTGTATTCATTCTCTGTAAAGGCTGTATTGAAATTGTTCAGCTGAACAGCTTGTTCCTGATTTTGGCCCTTGTGACTGTCTTTAAATATGCATGGTGATGCACTAGAAGGGAGACGATTGGGTAGAATATGTGTTTTTAATGATGCATTGTGCACAGGCTGTGTGTGAAGGGGTACAGATGGGTACAGAGGGGGGTTGATGAAATTGGAATGGGCAGATAGGCATGAGAAGGAAAGGGGATGGAGAGGATTGGGGGGTTTGGGAGGGAGTGATGTGGATGTAGAGCATGCAGGGTGAAAATGATCAAGATGGGCTTGATAGGTGTTAGGTTCCAGAAAAGAGGGGGTATAAACAATGAAGTCCATAATGACCAAATGGTGTCCACCTGCTCTGAGGTTGTCTCACAGGCTGTATGTTCAAGCTTTCTGATGGATTTCACAGGAGAAAGAAGACCATTTATATAGAATTTTCAGAAGTGCAGCACACACCAGCTCAACAGAGCAAGATGACTCAAATTTCACTCTGCCTAAGGGATTGGTGGAATTTTCTCACCAAATCAGCCTGGTGCAGTCTCTGTACTTCCCAATGGCACCCCACCCCCCCCAAAACCACATTTGAGAGCTGACAGCGAACCCATCCCAGCCACCCCTCACACCATGAGCCACACATGTAATGCCAGAATGCAACCTGAGCAGGTGCAGGCAGCAACTATGACAATCATAACCTGTTGAATCAACCCAAGTGATGCCCAAGTGGTGCCCAGGTTGGCTGTGATGATAAATTGCCCAGCAGATAAGAGAATGTGAACAAATCACATGCATGTTCTGCAGGTGGAATGCAACAACCAGCAGAGGACAATGTTGCAAGCCAGACAGCTGTGATCCTCTAGCTTATATGGCTCTCTTTACCTCATTGTCCAAGCTTTGTCTTCAAATATGAAATTGAACATTGAACATATCATTCTTACAGAGGTGAGGGATGATGTGAGTATGAATGGGATCTGGGGAATGCAAAGAGCAAGAAGCAATGATAGCCATTGATCTTGACTCCAGCTCATTTGAGTGAAACATTGCAGGGGACTAGTTGTCAGTGATGCTAGGGCCAGACAAGAAGATTTTATTGTTAATCCTTCCTCAAAATGGCAAAATATTCATATGAAACCCTGACCTCAGAATTGATTCACCAGGCCACTGATGCAGCTGTGTTGCAATTCCAAGTCCCAACCCACCCTTGTGTTCAGCTTCACAAGGAATGAGGCATTTTTACCATTGGCTTGAAACATGGCATATTCTTTGCCCTGGTATAAGATGGAAAAAGAAACAGGAGGAGAGAGGAAAGGAGGAAAAAAGAAATGCAGTAGAACAACTGCAATGAAAAACAAGTTAAGAGATTGTGTAAAAATTCCTGAGTGAAGTCAGAAAAGCTAAGAAAGTAGATAGGCAGGAAACAGCAAACAAGAAAAGACAGAGGGTGATTGAAACAACAATCAGTTGATAGGTATTCTAAGGGTGGTTGAGGAGTCATAGCAGGTTGAGCAATAACTGCATTCAGCGATGGCGTGGTGGCGGTGAGCCAGCCATTATTTGTCAAAAAGAGCAAGGGTATAGATCGCGGGCCGCCGATGAAGAGGAGAAGGAAAGGAAGGCAAAGCCAGAATGAAACAAAAAAAAAATGATGAAGTGCGTGCACAACAGAGAGAAGATGGAGCATCTTATATAGCTGAGGTGGGTGATGTTGTTAGGTCACTAGGGCAAAAGAGCTCTCTCACACCAGCGCCATGCTGATAGTAGAGGGGACAAACCCTGAACAGGCAAAGCTGAACCTGAACAGGGAATGCTAGACCGGATGGGGATGGCGCCAAACTGCAAGGGCGTGGGCCACCAGAACCAGGGGCGCCGAAGCAAATCGAAATACTCCTTTCTATATTCTACTCTCAAGAATTCTTTACTTATACTCAGTTATATAGTACAACTATAAGCTCATCTTAAGTATATTTCTTTATGATATATATCTTAAGCATTCACTCTTTACTCTGTAAGCCCTACTAGATATTCTTATTGTTTATCTTAGATTATCACTGTAGCTATTACTAGTCATTCTAGATATATCTTCACAATATATCTTAATCTGTGATAGTGGCACTATCTTCTGACTTAGTAAACAAGCTCAGCAACACTATATAAGCCTCAATCTTATCTTATATCAGTGAGAAGCTTGCTAGATTAGAGACTAAGTAGCATAACATCTTATTATTTGACATATACAACATCTCACTATATGAAACTGAGCACTGCTCCACTGAACATCAGTCTGTTATATGATTGAGCATTCTCTTTCTTATAAATACTGCCTGGTTATCATATACTTATCAGAGTTAGAATAAGCAATTCATTTCATTTTATCAATATTCAGTATTTGGGTCAATATTTGGACTTATCCAGTTCTGACATTCACTTATTTGTGTCACCCTTGAAATTATTATTTCCTCTGTATACAGTTATTGTTCCAAGATTCTTGACTCTTTCATACAAATATCTGTGGTGTTTAATAATCTCGCATAATATGTGTAAAAATACCAATTCAACTTGTAGTATCTATCAACCCAGTGCTCTTCTGGTTGAACATATTTAAAATGAAAATATATCAGAGTATGAACGACGCCTTATAAATAGATATGAACCGATACCAAGAGGGTGCTCTCCCAATGTTGAGCAATGACGCACATTACATGGGGATTCAGACTCCTGCTATGCATAACAAGCCTTGTAACTAAGGTTCTAAATCATTCGAAACCCGAAATTTTGTTGGGTATATAAAAAGCAAGGGATGGGGCAACGGGGTGGGGGGGGCCCATCTGTTTTGTACGACCAAACACCCGAAAGGGGAAATCAATTGGGATTCCTTCAAAACCGAGGACGTAGTGGCAAAAATGAGGCCGGAAACATAACGAAAACATGGGGATATCCATTCTAGTAGAATTTGAAGCAAATTTGTTAATGAATTTTGGAAAGGGAACTCTCCAAATTCCTTTCATCACTTCTTTAAATCAACGACTGAGAGCTTTTTCCCGGATGAAAAGTGTAGAGATCGTCGTAAAAAAGACAACGACGATCGAAAGGCCAAATGCATGATTCGTGGCGTTTCCATAACAATCTCTCACGATTCTACTGGTCTGTGGATCCAGGGTATTGATAAAATCTAGGCTTTGGCGTACGCCGTTAACAATCTTGTCGATATCCTTATTGTTGCCGAGAGCAGAGCGCAGGCCACTTCGTAAGGACTGCTGGACGATTGTAGATGCGAACGAAAGTCCTATTACTGATCCGAGTGATCGAAAAAGATAAGAGCATGCGGTTGCTACTGCTAGGTCCTGTGGAGATGAGCACGCGACTAGACTTATGTTAGATTATGAGCGCAGCATATATTATGTTGTCATCGAACGAGATAGAATGTCAGAGGAAATGTACTTACTCAAAGCAATCAGGGTAGTGGTAATTCCAGTTCCGCTTCCCAATGCAGCTAAGGTTATGCCAGTGATGATTCCGACAGTGTTACGAACCAAGCCACCAGACCAAAGGAATATGTTGACAATTCCGATAGGTAGAAGAACATAGGCTGCGAAGGTGAGCCAGAAATATTTGCCCGTCTTCTTCATTACGATGCCGCCAAACAGTGAACCAGTGACACCAGCTATGATGGAGGGAAGAAGTCTGAGGCCTGCTCCAGTGGCAGAAACACCATCTGTAGCCTGGAAATATAGAGGAAAGTAAAATAGAACGCCCGTATATCCGGCGAAACTGAAAAAGTTGCATGCATAGCAGGCAACCAGATTCCGATCAAAGATGATATGGCTCGGCGCAAAAGGCTCAGATGCTATCCAAACTTCGACGCAGAGGAAAAGGGCAAATAGAACGATTGACAGGACCATAGACACGATGGCTATTGGGATGAACCATGAAACGTTACTACCCCTATCTGCTCCAAGGAGGAATGAGAATACTGCTCCGACCAGGACTATCGCCCCCAGGAAATCTATTCGGCGGAGCTTTTCCCGCCAATGTGACTTCTCTTGCGCAGGGAGATGTAATGTAAACGCAACAGATATAAATGCCAGAAGACATAAAGGTGCCTGCAGAATGAACGCCCTGTAGTGAAACTAATGAGATCATGTTATACATATATCCGCGTTGGGGTAAGCGTCGACACTTACCAACGCCAGCCAATGTAATCAGCCAAAATGCCGCCTGTTTCAAAGTCAGCATCATAGCACCGATTGAGTTTAGAGAATATGGGACTTTAAAGGACAAGAGGATCTACCCAGAGGTGCCCCAATCGCACTCCCGGTCGCCCATATGATGTTAATGACACCTTGCCAGACACCTCGGTCGCGGAGGGGAACAACTTCGCTCATAATAATGCTCACGACAGTCGACATTCCCCCGCCTCCAAGACCTTGGAATACCTAGGAATATCAGTTAGTTTTCGCCATTGCAGTACTACTCTATACAGGCAAACGACTTACTCTGGCCGCAATCAACTCCCCAATATTCCTCGCAAGTCCGCAGCCCACACACCCAACCCCAAAGACACAATAGGCAAATAGAAGACATGTTTTACGGCCGAATATGTCACTCAGACGGCCGTAGAGAGGCTGGAAGGAGGTCAGGGTCAGAAAATACGAAGTTGCAATCCAACTGGTCAGGTTCAAAGCCTTCAGGTCGCTTCCAATTTTCCCATAGCTGGACACAATGATAGTTTGGTCCGCTGCGCCAAGGAACACCTATAGAAGAATTAATGGATTATCGCTTGGGTTGGCTACTGAACTTCGAAAACATATTTGATGGGAAGGGGAAACTTGAGAGAGAGTCGCATGTATATACCCCAATCGAAATAGCTGGCACGATATATTTTAATTTCTTCTGTGCGTCTGGGGGCCCGGTGAATTGGGCCTCGCGAGCTGCATCGATCCCATTGTGACCCACAGCCTCTTCATCATGGTGTTCGACAACATACTCTCCACTAGGCGGTTTGGAGTTTTCAGTGTCGCCGAGCAAAGGGGATGTTTCCGATGGTTGAGAGCATCCGTTACCGGAAGCAAATGTGTGATTCCTCATGCTCTCATAATCCCACAAGACGAACTCGGATTTTTATATAGATTTTTAAATTTTTTATCATTATTTACGATTGATTTTTTTCTCTTTCATCGAAAAATTCTCCAGCTATGACTCAGTGCGTTTTTTCGCTGGGGGTCAAAACGCCAAAAATGGGGCGGGATCACGTGGCGGCTCGCAATGTTGGAGGTCCTACACAAGCCCTACCCCACGTGACCCACACACATATATTAGCTCGCCACTAGATAGATAAACAACCAACCAAGGTTCAACCCTCTCACAGGTTATGAAGCCCTTGCACTTCTACGAAGCGATAACTTGCGATAATCTTTTGTTAAATAACCTCTTCTTCTATTCATCTTGATACCCTGATACTTGATAATCAAATGTCAGTCAGCATGAGATCAACCAACCGCAAAGAAACACCAGAGAACCAGATAACCCCTGGATCCTTTCCAACACTGATAATCACGCGAAGACCACTTGAAGACAACTTCCTTGACCTTTGAAAAGATATACTACTCCGCCTGCCATTAGATGACAAGAATGCCAACAAGAAGGATAAAGATATCACCAAGAACATCAAGGATAAGAGCATCAAGGAGTGCAACTACTGCAATTGAAAGGGTCATGATGAGATCCACTGTTGGGACAAATATCCAGAAAAGAAGCCGGAGAATCTACAAAAAGCCTCCACCATGGAGTCAGCAAATGTTATAGAAGAACAGGTCTTCTAATACCTCTAGTTGAGGTAGTCACTGTGGATATTCTCTAGTTGAGAATCGCTCCTAGTTGGAGCAGTATGCCGTCTACAACCTCTAGTTGAGGTAGTCACTGTTGATATTCTCTAGTTGAGAATTGCTCCTAGTTGGAGCAGTATGTCGCCTACGACCAGGTAGTCACTGTTGATATTCTCTAGTTGAGGATGGAGCTCCTAGTTGGGGCAAAGCATGTTTTTGATGATAGTTGATGGTAATGGTAATACAGCGGATTGATGGATTTTGCTTGTGTTTCTCTGTTTTTAGTGGTTATTACTGTACGGGCACCTATTCCTAATAGGAAAATCAGGGTCCGGATTTTGTAATTAATTATTATTGCGTTTTTGAATGATTTGGGTGTTTTTCGTGGCTGCGTGGGCTAGTTAGCCTGCGTAGCATGGGGGTCCTACACAAGCCCTACCCCACGTGACCCACACACATATATTAGCTCGCCACTAGATAGATAAACAACCAACCAAGGTTCAACCCTCTCACACGCAATGACAAATTGTTTATGCCTTCTGCCGTATGGCACTGATGGTGTCGGAGATGATATCTCGAATATCAAGGATCTTGTAACATCTCGCTAACTGAAGCCCGAGCAATGCCCCGCTGTGAACGAGCACTGCCTCTATCATATGTTCAAGCATTCTCTTTCTTAGAAATACTGCCTGGTTATCATGTATTTTATCGATATTCAGTATTCGGGTCAATATTCGGACTTTATCCAGTTCCGACAGATGGTGATTCTGCGCTTTTGCACCAGTGGCCTCACAGCTAATTACACTCCCCCTAAACGGAGTATCTGATATATGTATACCATGGTCTACATACAAAACAACTATATAATCAAGTAGGTGTAATGGTAAGCAGATTAGCTCTGTATTGAATGATTACGAGTAAGCATCATCACCATCCCCTTTTTCTTGAGCACAGCTGGCTTTGCTAAAGCTTATGATCTTTTAATCTAGATGGCTAGCTTCCTTCTTTAGTCAGCGCTGATCATGTCAATGCAGCTGACTTTCTACAGTCACCATCCGAGATCTCTAGACGGCCGAGGAGGACAGGCTGTGTGTCTGAGTACTTGGGAACTTAACTACGTCCCTTATTGATACCAGTGTAGAGGTGCTATGGCGGAACACTGACTTGATTGCTCAGAGCTTGGGAACCACGCCCTATGAGAGAATGACAGTGATAATGATAGACTGCTGTCAATTAAGTGCTGCTTTCAAGTATAGATATTGAGCACAGCTGGAATTTCTACCACACAAAATCCGTTATCTTATGGCCACAACGATTCAACTTTGAAGCGCTGGCTCTTGAGACAACGAGATTGTGATGAAACTGACATTCAAATAGTATGAACAGTATCGACAAGATCATTGAAATATGAATCTAATGGGGGCAATTTACTAACCATTACATCTACTTGATTTTGGGGCTATTTTGTATATAAATCATGGTATAACATGTCTAGAGGGAGTGTAATTCGCAATCCCTGAAATTTTGTATGGGTTACCCCTTTATTTTCTTGGAATATTCATGCTAATGGTCAAATACACCGCACTCGCAACAAGAAGCGAAACAAAGCGCCAAGCGATTTACGGATTAGAAGAAAGAGAGAGAGAGGAAAGGGGTTAACCAATATCATCCATGACCACATAGCATTTTTAAAATGGGTGGTAATACCACGTGAACAAGGCGATCTTTGGAAAGGTATCACGTTCTCTCTCCGTCAACAGCAGGCCTAGGGATAGCGCCGCCAGGAGAGTCCGGCAATCTCGCTGTAAGCACTTCAACACCATCCTCCGTCACTAGCAACGTGTGTTCGAATTGAGCGGACTGGAGTCCATCCGCAGTAACGCTAGTCCAGTTATCCGGCCAAGTCTTGTCTCGGTATGTTCCCAAGTTAATCATAGGTTCTATTGTAAAACACATGCCGGCCTTCGCTTGTCCAACCGTCTGACTCTTCCCATAGTGCGGAATGCTGGGCGCTGTGTGGAAAAGCTGGTTGATGCCATGCCCGCAATAACTCCGAACCACACTGCAATTGTTGCTCTTTGCGTGTTTCTCAATAACGTTTCCTGGGTCTCGAAATAGCATGCCCGGCTTCACTAATTCAATTGATTTTTCCAGACATTCTCTTGCAGTTTCTACCACCCGAACAAGGTCTGGGTTTGCGCGGGCCTTTTCTCCGACGTAGTAAGTCTCGTTCAGGTCGCCATGGAAACCCTCATGGTAGAGTGTGACGTCAATATTTACAATATCCCCATCCTCCAATGGCCGTTGGTCAGGAATGCCGTGGCAGATAACCTCATTGACGGACGTGCAGACGGACTTGGGGAAATGGACATAGTTAAGTGGCGACGGGTAGGACTAGATTGTTTATCAGCTGAGCACACATGTTAAGGGAACGAAACTATTTTTCTCCCGCCGACCTTTCGTTCTAAGCAAGCCCGATGGACAACCTCATCAATGTGGTCAGTCGTAACACCAGGTTTGATTTCGCGCGCAGCGATATCCAGCACTTCTCGCGCCAAACGGCATACTTTCCTCATTCCGTCCTGCTCCTTCGGACTGAGTATTGTAATGTTATGTCGACCGACATGTTTCTGTTCTGAGCGAGGAATGCCGTCACTGGCATAGTCAGGGTGGGGAATTGAGTCCGGGACACTTTTTTGGGGGGAAAGAGGATATACGGGTCTTAAGCTCCCGGTGAACGAATAGGTTGGAAACGGGTTGAAATGGCCGGTAGCTGGATCTAGTTCAGACACTATTTTGGGAGGGAAAAGATTGCTTAGAAAATTACTCTTCTTGTGAACAGACTTATGCTCGCTCTACGCAAAATAATAAAATCCAGTTGTCAGTTCTTCATTCTGTGCAACTGAATCTCGCTGATCTTCCCGACCTACCCAGCTTTTCTTAAAGCAGTCTTGCGAACAGAAACGGCTCTCGACTCCAATCTTCAGGCATGTTGGACACCGTAAGCTACCGGCATCGTTGATGCAATCCAGCCCTATGCACCTTTTCGAGTCTAGTTGTTCGGACGCCATCGTGGCTGACGGGGTCTCAGAACAAGAGATGGGAGACGTGGTATAAGCGGCGTTCTTCTGGGCTTTTGGTGAGGAACCCGGCACTCAACACCAAAACGAGGATGGTTGTAGGTCTGTGATAAATATCTATTTTATAGGTATCAAGCAACCGGAAAGTGGATAGGTTACTTGGGCCGGGAATAATGCTCTGGATTTTTTTCGAAGGGGGGTCAGCAGTAACTGTCAAGTGTAGCCGCGACAGACGCGGAACGGCGCACAGTCACGTGGATCTACTAATGTAAGCCCCGAAGAACGCGGGACGTTTCGTCCTGGTCCCGGCCCTTGAAGCCCCTGATAGCGCGGATATAAGTTCTGATCTAAAGGGCGGGGTGGGGTGCTGAGTGATGACTCTCTAATTCAGTCGTGGTGAGCAGCCCATCCTCTTCCCTCACGTCCTTTCCTTCTGGCGCTTCCCATTTCACCCAACGGCGGTAATGGCGGCAACAAAAGAAAAGATAGTGATCGTCGGGGCAGGACCAGTCGGATCTCTTGCCGCGCTGTATGCCGCCAGTCGGGGTGACGATGTGGAGGTCTACGAACTTCGTGCAGGTATGTGCGACGCTCTTCTCGCTGGTGACATCGCTTTCCATGCAAGTGTGGTGAGGGCTGCTGTCACATGAGTTGAGATCGCTGTCCTCCCATCTTGATAATAAGTGTTACACCGAAGTTTTCATATCAAATTGGGCTTTTTTTCTTTTTTTTCCCTTCCGGCAGGTTTGGTTGTATATATCTGCAGGAAGATGTTTTGTTTAATATGCGAGCTCGGTTTTGCCGTCATTGAAGACTTAATATTAATTTAATCGTTAATATCCATAGATCTCCGCAATGCTTCGACTACGCCCCTGAATTTCACCAAGTCCATCAATCTAGCCATCTCAGAACGGGGAATCAATTCCATGAAGCAGACCAATCGGCCGGGGTTCATAAGTGCTGTTATGGACGAAACCATCCCCATGCGTGGTCGCATGGTCCATAGGAAGGACAAGTCGGGCAAGCTGACAGAAGAGCCGCAGCCGTATGATGTTCATGGCAGGGTAGGGCAAAAAAACACATAGTCTGCGTCGTCCTGGTTAATTAAAACTACCAAAGCGTCCTTCCCTCGCTGATATTCCCTAGCATATAAACTCCATTGACCGCGGCCGGCTTAACGAACTCCTCCTCGACGAGCTCGAGAAATGCCCAAATGTAAAGCTCTTCTTCAACCACAAGCTGACCGGCGCGGATTTCAAAAATAAGAAAGCTTGGTTCGAGCTTAGGAAGCCTGAAAACGCTGCAGGGCCAGCAGCTACAAGCACGACACAGGACGGCAAGCCGATTGCCTTCACGCGAGCGCCAGAGATCGAAATCACCTTCGACTTCCTTATCGGCGCTGATGGCTCGCACTCTGCCACCAGATACCACCTGATGAAATATGCACGCGTGAACTATCAGCAAGAATACGCCGATGTACAATGGTGCGAGTTCCAAATCAAGCCAACGGCAGACACCAATGATTTCGCAATCTCGCCAAACCACCTCCATATCTGGCCTGGGAGGGAGTTCATGTTCATCGCGCTCCCATCGCCGGATAAAACCTTCACCTGCACCCTTTTTGCATCCGAAGCCCACTTCACCGCGCTGGAAAACGCGCCGGAAACCATCGTGGGATTCTTCAACAAGCATTTTCCCGGCGTGTCCCCGGAACTCATTCCCCCAAATTCACTCCAAGAGCAGTTCAATTCGAACCCGCACCTGCCACTTATCAGCATAAAATGCTCGCCACACCATTTCGACTCCAGCGTCGTGGTAATCGGCGATGCCGCCCACGCCATGTTGCCATTCTACGGCCAGGGACTGAACGCAGGGTTTGAAGACGTGCGCATCCTCTTCGATTTCCTCGATGAGTATGGTGTGTACAAAGCCTCCACCACCCCGCCTCAGGGGCAGCAAGAAAGACGCGCTGCTGCTCTGGCGGCATACACAAAACATCGCACGCCAGACGCACATGCCATCAACAATCTGTCACTCCACAACTATATTGAGATGCGTTGGGGCGTGACGTCGCCGCTTTACTTGATGCGCAAATCGGTTGAAGAGATGCTCGACCGTCACCTACCGTTTCTGGGATGGTCAACCCAGTATTCATGTGTCAGCTTTAGCAATCAGCCATATTCAAAGATCGTGCAGAAGGCGAGGCGACAGGGTCTAGTTTTAACCAGTATTTTGGCGGTTATGTTGTCATCTGCTGTAGGGCTTGGTGGGTTTTTCTGCTGGAAAGGAATGTGGTTGACGCGATTGGAAAGGCTGATGAAGGCTTTCGGCAAACGAGCTTCCTAAATAGCGAAACTTGTTTTCTTTTTCATGTTGGGGTTATGTGACGCGCCTGTTGCGCTCTGTTGACATTGTAGATATTTTTGAAGAACCCAGCAACTTTGCTACCCCTCTGATACCATTGATGCCCGAAGAAATTTATTTTGTGTTAGCTCCACACTCAGATATTGATATTAATGGCTAACCTTGACACAGGATAATAGTAACCATAATAAAAGAAGGAGAAGATAAACTCCAGAACAAGTCAAGTGTCGATCCAAAAAGGGAAAGGAAAACGATAAAATTCAAACATAACAGTACAGAATGTATATGCTATATGTAACACAAATGCAAAGAGTACTTATAAAGCCGAAGTATATCCAAAGCAAGCAAAGCCAAAAGCAGATAAGAGCCAACGGAGGACAAACAAGGCTAAAGGAGGTGCTGGGTATGGCGCAAGGAACTCGAACAGAAACGGCCTTAGAACGTGAAAATAAATGAATAAACGAGGGAGAGACAAAAAAAGAAATCAATGCAAAGCTGTTTACGCGTGGGAAAATAAATGAAAACAATAGAAGTGCAAAAAGGAGAAGGGTAGCAGGAAAATTGCAAAACAATTGGCTAAGTAGACAGGTGTTCTTCAACTGGCTTCTTGCCTCCAGTTGAGATACGTATATAATGGGGTATATATATCTTTTGCCTAAAATTTATGGCGAAAAAAACTCAACAAGAGTAACTTGTTTCTCTGGAACACCAGAAAATAAAACAATAAAGGGCATGTGAGAATGGAAAAAGGTCAGCTCAGCAGAAATAAAGCCGGCAAGATAATTAGAAATGTAACTCCAACTGATTCGGCACAACGTCAGAAGAGAATGAGAGTATGTGGTAGAACGGAATATTAGCTTTGCCCATGTCGCGAGCCCAGGGCACAGAAGAAGGCTAGAAGAAAGTTCATATTGGGAGGAATGGGAACGATTTCTTGGGCCGCAGCTATGGTCCCCATTGCCCTAGGAGGTGAAAGCAAAAAGTGTAGTTTTCATGTGAGATCGTTTGACTCCGCTGTGTGGCATGATAAGAGAGATGGCAAATCCACGGAAACGTCAGGACCTTGTCAGAATGTGGCTAGTCGGCTTCAAAACATCAGAAAAAAAGAGAAACAAAAAAACGTTTATGAAGTGATCACAACGCCCGGCGGCCATTTTTTGCCAGGTGGTCAAAAGGACAATATATTTTGGGTGTGAGATGGCTTGACCGCACGGTATGGATCCTTCGGTAAAATGATGAAGTATATCAGAAACCGAGTCCGCAGCCCCGGTTTCTTCATTTTCCTTAGGATTTTGCTGTATTTCATGGTTTGGCTAACGCTCCTCCGAGATGACTTCGTCGTTCATGAATTAGAATTTCAGTTCGTGAATAGAGTTGGTCTAAAAATTCCATGGCGGAGGCATCCTTGAGAATTTTTGCAACCTGAGTTCCCGCAGATATCAGCTGGAGAATGTTCCTATCATCTTTCACTGGTCGTGATTGGTGCTTAGCCGCGTGGCGCATTTCCAAGGAGTTTTCCAGGACTGTCACAAAATGCTTGATTTGGCCATTATAAAGAACTCTGGCAGGAATTCGGCGCTTGGTAGCTAATCGTTTCAAGAGATACACCCATTCTGTCCACTCCCGGTCGGCTGGTATTCTCACCTGTCTCTTGTCTGGTTCCACAGGAATGGGGAACTGATATTTTGCAACAAAATTGAAAGCACACCTGGACAAATGATCATTGACTTCATAAAGGATTTTATCCTGCTCTTGGGCATCCAGGCTAGTAGGCAAGTGAGGCAAATCTTTCTCCTGTTCGGCAATAGTCCTTGGAGAAGGCATATCTAGAAACTGAGTAGGCCCATCGAACTCATCGCGGTTGGATGGCCGTCTCTGTGGGTGGTATTTGGCACCGCTTTTCGCATGTTCTGGTGCGCGTCTCTTGGTATGTTCAGGAAAGAAATCAAATGTCTCCATTGACGGGGGTGAATCTGGATCTCGCATCAGAGAATCATGGCAAGAATGCACGGGTGGGGCGTCCCATTCCCCAATACCAGGAGGGGGACGCGGTTGTTGACCAATAGGTCCTAGATTTGGTGCAGCTGAAACATTGGAATATCGATCGTAAGACGAGGTATTGATCAGTGTTCTACCAGGGTTGTTGTATAAAATATGGGGTTCATTGAGTCGTCCATGATCGGGAGATCGGGAGGTTTCTAGCGATTCTCGAGAAAGCTCCCATGATGGAGGGGATGTCCTATTACCACTAAAATAAATGATAGGCTCTCAGTGTCCATTACGAGTTGCTAAGAGTGGAAGTTCAGAACTACCTAGAGTGATACAACCCAGGAGCCTCTGCTGTTGGCCGGTATGCCTGTGGTTCATATTCTCGGTTCAGAACACTCGCACTAGCATGATTTAAGTGAGTATGCTTGTATTGATTTCTCGGTCCTCTTTGCTCCTTGACCAATTTCCACTGACCTTCGAGGAGGAGGAAATGCGAGTATATCACTGCTCACTGGGTAATAAGTCTGATCCCTATTTGGCGTTCTTCCTTGATAGGGGAAATTTCCTTGAGAAGACATAATTTAGTTTGACGGTCAATGGACATCAAACTCGATCAGAGAGGAAATAAGCAGCACCAAGGGGGCAAATGTGCTTCTTATACTATAACAAGCCTACTACTAGCCAGTAAACGAGGAGTAATTGGCTTCGAGGTGACCAAGGCAGAACCCAGGGGCTCCACAGTTAGTTGGAAGCTGGCGCTGAATGTCAAGAATGACGTTGGCAAAACACAAGACATGACCGTGAAGGGATAAGTTTCGGGAATAATGTCTGAGGTTTGCTACTTGATCCTAGTTCCTCAGCCACCGAAAAATGGAGAATGGGCCTCCAAAACTGGTAACAGTTTCATCTATCTCTCCCAGTCTTACTGGCGGAGGGATAAGAAAACAAGAGGCCTAAAGGTGAACGGAACAAAATCACACCGCCAAATCAACGCAGGGTACGCGAATATTCCTTGAAGCTCAGGCGCGTCCAGTATCAGGGAGTGAACGTGTGACGGTTTCGCATAGCCCATGAAAACCCTAAATCAATGGCTGCAAATTGCAGCTTTCACCTGTTCCTGGGAGAATTCCAAAAACCAGGAAGCACGTTTGGTATACAAGGAAACACACCAAACAGGGAGGAGAACTGGACCATTGGGATTACAGGGAAGGAAGCTGAGCCCTGATTTGGGCAGCAATGACCGGAAAAGCGTCCTCCATTCAGGATCAGCGTCCAAGGAAAGGCATCTTCTCACAAACAGTGATCGTTTTCATACTTATTTATAGCTTCGTCAGCTAGTTCCTTTGGGTTCGAAGATAACATAATGACAGGAACGGCGCCTGGAGAGCCAGATGGAAACTATCCGCAGGGTGCGGGGGTCCTCCACACCCAATAAGAAGGTTGACATGCATGTTGTCACAGGGGAATAAACTCACAAGATCCTATCTCTTAATCGCAACCAAGCGTCCCTTGCGTGTGGAAATCACAGATTCACTGTGACCCTCTGGCCGTTGACAGGTGCGGAGTTGAACCTCCAGATCGCCCCGCAAGCGCTCCCTTCTGCGCCAATGATGTCCGTTGCCCATGGGCAAAAACCTCAATATTCGCAGGGTAAGGAATCGCGGATAGCCAATTGGGGGTCGTTCTCAGGATCAGGCAGACAATGTTGGCGGGTTGTCGGGCAATTGGGCACTGATGCGCATGTCCATTCCGGCCCAATATTGAATGTGTGTCCCACTGTTTTCTTGTTGAAACAATCAACTAATATCCAAGGATGTCTAAGGCAGCACAATCCGCCAGAGTAAATACGGCTATGACGTATATAAAAATATGTAAATGAAGGACTACAACAATTGAAATGTTCCAAGGTTGTCACTCGGTGAAATGTGGCGGTCACGTGGTTCATTGTTCGTCCCCACCTGCCAGACGAAGACGGCCATCATACATGCATGTACTTAAGTTATCGAGCAAATGAGTAGTATGGTCCAATTGCTATGCAAGTAAAATCAGAGATACGGAATAATTTTACGAACAATCGTACCTCCTGGCACATGATCAGCCAGCATCAGGCGAACATGAGAGTTGCTCGGCAACAAAAATAGCGCCTTTGTTCATCCTGAAGACATTGCGGATAGCAAAATGACAAACACTGGGAATTTGAAACAAAACAGGGAACTCTCAAACACACGACTTGGCTTCATAATTGAAAACAGCCTTTGCCAGCGCCCCGGAATTATATTTCCCCACCTGGGCCTGGAAACAATCCGTCAACTCTTGGAGTGTAAATTCTTCCATGGCTAAGATAACAGCTGCGGCCTCGGAGTTTATATCTTCATTTTCCTCCTCCAAATGGAAATAAACTTCGGTCTCGAGATTGAATCTCTTCGCGGCCGTGAGCTTTCTGGGCGTAAACACTAATAGTGTTGGAATCTGGTTGGAACTGCTGCACAATTCATGCTGAAACTTCGACCTCAAAACTTCGATGCATCTCTGGGCAAGATCCTTGACACAACATTTCAACCCCTTCTTAGTTAAATCATCATATAACTCCCGAATGGTGGTGTGTTGAAATGGCTTTCGGATTGCGTCCAGTAAGTCATTCTGCTTTGCCGCAGGGTTGCATTGGAGAGGATGTCCGTGGGTATATATTTTGGGGGATTCAATCAACCTGCCCTCGTCCAAAGCGGCTTGGGTCGGAGGCACGGGATACCCGTTTGCAAATCCTGCATCTTTGCTGGAAGTGAAATTCGTCCTCCTGCACAGCTGCGTGAATCGATCAATCTCTTGGAGAAGATTTGCAATCTTCGTCTGATATCTCTGCCAAAGGATCGAGGCAAAGAGAAAGAGGTTCTTTGCCTGAGAAAAGTCCATAGAAGCTAAAGTAGCATGCTTAAGGGGAACAATGCCAAAGTTCACTGCAAAATATTTAGCTTTTCTTCCAACCATATAGACGTCAGGATAAAGTTTGCTGGACAAAACCATTTTCCTTGTGAAGTCAAGGAAAAATCCCTCTAGATTTTTCCGATGATTTGGTTAATGAGGTACCAGTCGACTTATTGGTGGAGGAACTCTTCTAATCGGCTGTTGAAGATTTACTTAGCTTTGGATTCCTTCCAGCCTTCTCAGAAACTACCCGCCCTCTGGTCTGAAGAAGCTTTTCCTGGTGGTCTCTGGTCAGCAGAATAGAGGGCGAATTCGATGGTTTATCCTCGACGGTTGGATGTTCGATTTTAATCAAACCCTCCCGGGGCAACGTGGCCAAGTCAGAAGTATTACTTTTAGAGTGGGAAATACCTGGGGTGGTGGGGAGGCTTGTCTGATCGAAGAAATTTTCCGCTTTCAGTTTCTTTACAGCTGGTCGTGTCTGAAAGAGCGGCAAAGTCTTGACAAGTTCCATGGTATGCCGAAAGCCGTCTTGAGGTCCGTCGCAAGTCATCGAAGGCTGTCGAAATCTTGCCAAACGCCTTCCCACTAGGTAAAATGCTTTGTTATACAGGCCATCAGGGTTATTTCTTCACTTCGATATATTGCGCCAGTGGCTTCTGCTGCCGAGGCCGCAAGCTCTCTCAAGATCGAATATGAGGTCTTCAGCTTCTTTACTGTACATTGTATTTCTGTTAGCCACAAATTTCTTGAAGAACTTCCATGGAAATAGTAAGTATTTGGTAAGTAATATGGAGGACGCTGATTCGGAACGGTCTGTTCTCCGGGAAGAATAACATTGTTGGAGGCGGAATCGCTATGATAGTCCCATGTCAATACCGGATACGGTTCGACACACACAGGTTATTGGGGAAATTGGGATGCATGTCCTTCAGTTCGTAGTTCTTGGTTTCTCAGTCACACGTTTGTTAGCCGTGTAAGCAATAGAGCATCTCCGGCATTCAATACGTCCCTGCGCAATTGGTTAAAAGAGAGGAGGATATAGAGAAGAGAACAGATTAAAAGTAAACGTTGAAAATCGATTATCAAAAGCTTAACAACAAACAAAACTGTAGCCAACATTTTTCAACCGATCCACACTTTACCTCCTTTTCTCCGTAAGCCATTTTCCCTACCCCTCCATTGATCCTAACATCTCCTCCTCCCTCCTCTTTCTCGATTCCGGAGTTTCCGCCTCTTCCTCCTAATGAGGCGATGTCAATACATAGACGCCTAATGGCAAACTTAAACGTTTCCGCCGCAGTACGTTCTTTCTTACCGCTAAAACTTGCTTCTCCTTGCCAGTCAACATCTCCCCCTCGAATCTCTTCCTCTTCTGCTTTTTCCAACACAAAGAGAACTTCTATGTGATAAATTAGTGACTCTGGGCGGGCTGATCCGCTTTACGCAACAGATGAAATGGCTCCATTGCGTTGTTCGCCAATTTGCATAGTGCATACCGTTGTTTCCCCCGTCGTACGAGATAATTGCTATTGCATAAATGGAGAAAGGATGTGAGTGTGTTAAGGGTACTATCAGTTTTGTCACCACCATGCGAGATCGCTCAAATATATGGCAATCTAAGGCTCCAATGTTAGTCGCAGAGGTGAGAATATAGGGTCATCTCCTATTTCTATTGCATAAAAGGGTCAGTCGGCCGAACCGTGATGCATCAATGTAACGGAAAAGGCTCTATTTATCTTCACTCAGTTCTAGCGGAACCTTGAGAGAAGTTCAAGAAAGTCATGGAATCGAAAACAGATACAGCAGCTGATAGGTATTAGTGCGGAAAAAAATTGAGTGGTAAGTAATCAGAAAAGCGATTATCAGAAGTATTGAGGCCGCGTGCTCTGGGCAAAAATTGGATATGATCGCTATCATTCCGCTCACCTCGTTGTTCTGTAAAATGATAAAATAACACGCAGCGTCTAGCAGGTCCAGGGGAATTGGCAAACGGAGGTTTCGCCTATCGCTAAAGCAATCCGGTCTCATATTACTCCAGCTCTTGATTAACAAGACCATCAATATCGACTCGCCGATAGTACGAGACGTGCTTCAATTCTTCCCAGAAAAGGGCCATACAGTCGTATGAGAGAAGGAAGAGCTGAGCAGGGATGAACTTGTCTGTGACGAAAAATCAATCCGAATTAATACGAAGTTGCATGTATAGAGGAACTTGATAGGGAAACTACTACTCAATTCACAGGAGAGGATGTGGAAAGGGTGGACGGCAACAAAATTGTTAAAATAGGAAGAAAATAGGCAGAAAGAATCACACGGAATCTCACCATCTCTGAAATTTGTTGACGCGATATGGCCCTGGCTGCGCACCACCCGCGCTCCTTTGAAGAGATCTTCATCAGCGATCCTGATTAATCCTTCCGGTCCGATATCCTCTGCGAAAAATGTTATTTGGCCGCGAGGCACGTTCGGATCACCGGTCAATTTTATGGCTTCTAGCCTCCCTCGTGGTGTTTGGGACGAAGAGCCTGCCAAGGAGGAATATATGGAGCCTGACGAATCGCCCTCAGCGCCTTGCTGTTTCGTGCCCAGTGAATGCTCAAATGGATCATCCCGCTGCAACACAAGTAGGAATTCAGACCCATGGCCAGAGTAATCGCCCACCCAAATACCTTGGTAAGGCTTTTCTGGCGTCGGGGTATAGAGCTCAGGCTGCAATGATGCAAAAGTGGATACACCATGTCGAGTATTGTTTATATCAAAAACGGCACCTACATTCCCAAGCTGCGCCCATCGCCTAACTCGGAAAGCTGACGTGCAAATATTCTCATAACTGTGTGGGACATTCGCTGTCGACTTGAATGACAAATCCTGCTTATAGGAGACGTCGACGCGTTCGTCGGACGGTATTATTCGAGGCGGCCACACAAATTTTCCAGGGTCCTCCTTGTCCTCATGGGGCATTTTGGCACACAAAATAAAATTGTTAAAGACGCGCTGCGCTTCGAGCGCCATGGGCATTCGAATCTCCCCATGCCGCCAATTGATGGAGCGTTTAAATGGCGTGCGGGTAAATTTGAACAGTTGCACGACAGGATCGTCCATCCACAGAGAGACTTGTGGTTTAAATGAGTGGATGAGAACCTCAGGGTCATAGCTCCATGTTTCGAATTGCCGAAAAGTATGTTTTGCAACGACCCGATAGCCTTCGATCATACACTTGCGGGGGTTGTATCTCGTCACTATAAGCTTTCCGGTGTCGATCACATCGGAGAACCAGATCTTGTTGCGCGCCACGAACCACATCGGAAATTGGGATATGTATAATTCTTTCCAGGTATTAAATGGCGCAGGGTCACTGAGTGGTTTCGGCAAATTGGAGTTGACGAGGTTCATCCAGAGGAAGTCGCTCTGGGTGTGTTTGAACAGGTGGCGGCAGGTGGCAGACATCGCCGCCAGACTAGGTGACGGAAGAAAACATAGGATTATGTAGAGTATCTCTGAGGGGAGAAGGACTAAGGGGGAGCTGGCCTTGCGGGCAGCGCCTTTTTCGCTGCTGTCCAGTGCTGGCATTTGAGGATTATCAGATAGCGCGCGAAGAGCCGGATTTCGCTCGGGCTCCTCAACACCGGGTTGAACAAGACTAGTCATCCTTTCATCGTAGAACAGATTGCTGCCTGGAGTAAGAGAGGTAGGGAGCATTATGCCTCGCATTGTCGTAATTATCTCAACAGTGGGGTTCGCCAGACAAACAAAACAACGGAGAGATGCGTTCTTGGCGGGGTGTTGCAGATGACACCACTGGGAGGAGCGAACCAACATGTTTACTTTCATAGCGGAATCTTCTTAATTCCCCATCTCTAATACTACTCACTTGCAATACACTATATATATGGCTAAATAAATAACCGCATTGATTATTTCTCACAAAAAGTCTAGCAAATGTACCGTCAATTTCGTACCGTACAATATATAATTCTGTACTACCCATGTAACTAATATCTGTGTAGCTCTCATGATATACCAAAACATTTCATTCCTAAAGTAGCTCTTACAGCTTCGCCGCTTTCCCTCCCCGCCGCTGCCATTCCTCCACCCGCTTCAATCCACTCTCGTTCACTTTCAACTCCTTCTCCGCCTCTTTCTCCGCCTCCGCTGTATCACCTCCGCACGTCTCCAAAAGCTCATAGGTCTCCCTGTACATCTCCCTCCTCAACTGACCAAAAACCCCAGAAATGGGCAACTTCGTCAGCTTTTTCTTCTCAATTAACGCCAGCGCCACGTCGACGCCACCAAGAGCATCGACAATGCTATGTTCAAGTGCCTCCCTGCCACTAAAGCGGTATCCCTCTTGTACTATTGTCCTGAATATTGCCGGATTTGCAATTTTTTCTCGGAAGATAGAGCACATGGCGGGTTTCAGGGGGGCTCCGAAATGGACCTCGTTTAGACAGAGGAAGCCGCGTGAGGAGTTGAAGATGCGGTAGTCATGGTACATGGCTGTCATGAAACCGCCCGCGAAAGCGTGGCCATTTATTAGAGCAACAGTGGGGAGAGGGTAACTATACGCGAAATTTTGGGACGGGTAAGCCGAATGTGCCTGTCCCAAAGGGGAAAAGGTACAAAATACAAAATAATTGGGGACAGGAACCACGCAATAAATATCAAGCTTACGTTAACAGGCGCTTGAAAAGGGCGAAGAGGTTGTTTTCAAAGAAGCCCTTGGTCGTCACGGCCTTTTGGAGATCAAGGCCATTGCTGTAGAACTTCTGGATGGCGGAGGTGGTAATTACAACTCCTGGCGGGTATTTGAACTGGATTATGTCCAGGGAGAGGAGCATAGCCTGACAGAAATCCTCCGTCAACCGGTTATCCGGCGCAAAGTTGAAGGTTAGCAGGTACACAGCATCCTGCGGCTGGGTGCATGTTAGGACACCCTCCGCTGTCTGGATGGTGAAGAGGGGAGAAGTCATGTTAAAAGAAGGCGCAGAGGGGAACGCGCGATGGCCGGGGGGATGAATTAGGGCTGTTCGAGATTAGCATGTAAAGGAGAATTCCTCCAAAATGATAAAGTAGTGAAATATTAGCTGGTGTTGAGAGCCTTTATAAAGATGAACCTTGTGTAGTGTTGGGTGTTGGTGGAGCAAGCTTCAAAAATTCTGTCTCTTCAGCTAAATGGACGATTCATGTTCGCAAGCGAATTTTCCTCCTAGTGACTGGATTAGATTCCTTGACTGACAAATCGCAGTAGCATGATGGCGTTTTCGACGATAAATCTGCTCGAGATTCCGAGAGTTATAACCTTCCAATAAACCTCGGCTTAAAGCTGCATTCCGATCACATGATATTTTGAGGTGGATATATCCATTAGGACCCGCGTTGTTCGTGCTCACGCTTCTGTTGCCTGGCCATATCAAGCTCATCAACTCCATGCCCTCCAAAACGAGAAGCGAATCTATCCAGGAGGGAAGGGCTATCCCGACGACGATCACCAATATCGATCCTCTCAGATACTCATTGCCTGTTTCTAGTAGACATTCCAGGCCAATACCACAGAGTAGTGTTCGGGATATTATGAGGGTTCCCCTCAAAAAGGAACCAGAGGTTGGTGAGGGATGGTTTGCAGAGTGATGCTGGATTTCCAGCTCGGCAGCAGCACGTTCCCCAGTCGCTTCCCTAAATCACTGTCGCCAGAAACGACATTTTGATTTTTACTGCGTAGTAATCTGTATATATATCAGAAGCAATCATGTTATACCTAACGCAATTATTGCAACCATCGAATGTTCCAAAATCGCGAGCTTGGTGGAGCTCCATCAAGAAGATATGATAATCAGCTGCAAGTTTTCCGCTCAATCAAAGCGCCGCGATGTGAAGTCATTGTCACGCTAGATGGACGCCTCGTAACGCGTACTACGGCGGCTTTTGTTTATTTACATCTAGCCTAATCGGGCAATTGTGAATCTCGTTGGAGCAAGGCAAAAATGCCCCAATGCAAAGCATCTACAAAAGGAGACGTCAGTATGATAATTTTTGAAGAAAGGATTAATTGATGTCAATTGGCAAGAGAAATCCACAGCGTTACAAACTCGCAGTCATTCCGCAGAAAAAGCCCTCCAACTCCAAGTGCGCTGTGGAAAAGCGCGTTCTGCACAGACCGGCAGGGTTTCTTTGACTTTGACGAGGTAATCTGTACCTGGCCGTCTGATTCGGGATTCATTTTTCGTTCCCCGCGAGCTCTGACTAGCGGCGTTGTTTTGATTGTCCCAATTGGGGGATCAACTGTCTGGGCGAAAGCCATATATCTCTCATGCACCCCAGGTTTGACGGCTCTGCTGCCTATAACCTAATTCGTTTTGTTTCTCTTGTCAAGTTGTCCAGTTCGGGTGATAAAAGTTTCCCGGAAGAAGTGGAGAGCACATGCATGGTTCTTGCAACCCTTGTTGTATTCAACATTGGCATTTGTCACGATCTTTGAATATAAAGGGAAATAGTTCGTGATGGGTAAGTCAGGGTTACAGCTTCTCTTCATCTTGAAAACATAAATAAAAGGCTCCCGCAGGGATGCTGAAATTGCCATTCCTCTCTTATCCTGCTTCTTGCTCATATACCTTGAAACCTGCGTTCATCTTTCCGTTTAGAACTTCTCAACATGTCTTGCTTTATTCGTGTAACCAATGCGCAATTTACTAATTTCCCAATATTAGACTCGAAAAAATCCAATTCCCTGTTGCCGAACAGTAGCAGATGTGACTTATTAGAGAAAGACAATATCATGGTTAGCAAAAATAAGAACACAGCCAGGAAGCGATATTGCGGCGCATATTCACCAGCAACAGTGGAGAGCAATACGAAGCAGGTAGTAAATGCCACAGGAAGTATTAACTCGTCGTTACCCTCTCTCGCGGAACCTCGCACGCCGTCAAGAAAAACCAAGGTTGCGAAAAGGGTCCGGTTTTCGGACCCCGGCCCTCCCGTTGAGTCACTATCTAGTTATCTAGATAACAATCTGTCAACCGGCTTAACCCCAGCAATTAAGCGGACGAGAATTGATTCACAGGATTCCCCATCCTCTCAAGAAACCAACGCCAAAAGAGCGCGTCGTCGTCGTTCAGAGCCTACACCGCGAACCGACAGTGATGGGGTAAAATATGAGTGCCCAGAGCTGCCATCTGAGACGCAAACTTTCCAGTTTTTGTCGTGTAGTGCAATTCTTGATCCCAGGGCTAGACGACGCATTGCGCGGTTTGGACTAAGTGAAGAGATGAATTGCATTATTGAAAGGAAGAGGGAAAAGGAGAAAGAGGAAAAGGCTAAAGAAGAAGAACTGATGAACCTCCGCCGAGAATTAAGCGCCTTAAGAGATGTGAAAACCGAAGCTCAAGACGACCGTATACCCCGTACCCCGGAAAGAATTAAAGAGCTTTCTATGGCGAGACAAAGGATTGAGGAATTAGAGGCGCTGTTGAGGACGTATGAGGGTTCGTCACATGCAGAGAGTGAATGGATGTCCCAAACTGCAAACGAGGATGACGAGATGATATTTATTGGCGACGACATTACCATTATGGACAACGAGATGCTCACCACTTCATCCAGTCCCATTCCCTCCCGCGTTTCTTCGAGTCATTTACGCACTTCAGACGCGTCGACACAGGTTGCTCTTCAAGACCAGGAGCAGCAAGCGGAGAACAACTCGTTAAATGCTCAACTCCGTAATATGAGACAGGAAAAACGCGCCCTCTTCAAAGAATGGCGCGCAATTGTTGGCTCCAATGAAGCAGGTATTCGCGACCGAAATCCTATTGACAGCTCTCGAAATAGTCCAGCTTCGCCTCCACCCAACTTTTTATCGCAAATCGCCACTACCTTACGCAAAGCCGTATCTCGAGAATCTCGAGCTCTCAAAGCGCTCGAAACCGTGGCGAAAGACCTCTCTGGCCATGGATTTAATGGTACAAGTGCCTCGGAAATACTCTTGGATATGGGCGCCCGATTTCGTCAAGCCAGAATCGAACTCGAGCGAGCCGTGCCTGGTGAGACAACAAGTGGAGATCTAACCAATTGGAAGGAAATTGTTGACATGCTTGTGGAGAGAATCAACATTCTAGTCCGGGATCTTGCGTCAACCCGTGAACAGGTTTCTGGGTGTGAAAATCGGGAAGTAGCGTTACGAAACCAGTTCAACATGACTTTACATCGCTTGGAACAGACAGGTAAAAAGAACAAAAGCCTTGAAGAAGCCAGCGACTCCATGGCAGCGGACCTGATGCATGTTCGGATGAAAACGCAAAAATTAGAGCAAGATATAGAGATCTTGGAAACTGACAAAACCCGCCTAAACAACGCCATTGAAAGATATAGAGTCGATCTCAAGATCCTGGAAGAGCTCAATATGAAACTGGAAGATGACACAATCAGTTCCATGGAAAAAACTTCTAGTCTCAGAAGAGCGAACTCGGCCTTAGACGGTCAGAACGAGCTGTACAAGCAAAGGATCATAGATCTTGAACAAAGTGAGCTTGATCAGCGAGCCATCAGGGAAGAGATGCAGCGGCTACTGGACCAGCGCACAACGGAGCTAACGGCCCTCGAATCGAAAATTGAACAACTTAAATCCGAACATCATGAAGCGATGGTTTCCCAATCATGCAGTCATGAGAAACAAATGGGCGCAATAAACGTTCGTGTTTCGTTGCTTACCAACGCGTTGAATGAAGCCCAGTCAGAAATACAAACACTTCGTGCGGACAAGGCGCGTTTGCAATCTCGACTAAACTCCCTACAACAATTATTTTCTCGGGAAACCATTCATGCGGCGAGGGAAAGAGCTGCTGCCACTGCTCAGGAACTCATGGAATGGGAGCGGGGAATGTCTGCTTTATATGGCGGCGGCATTGGTAGTCCCCAGAGCCTGCAAGTTGGACAAAATGATAGCTCTGGCGACAACGAACACTGTAGCACCCCGAAAGGCGATATGGCTGGGTTTGCCCCTGTTGGGAGCGAGCCGATTACACCTTCTTGCGACAGGTTTGTGAATGTAGAGATCCAGCGGGGAAAGAAAAGGAAGAGGCGGCCGGATTCTGCGATTGAGATTGTGGAAGAAGAGGAGGAGGAGGGTGAGGATGGTTTTGAAGATTCTGGAATTGCGGACAGGTCTTAGGGGTAAGTCGCGATACCGCTCACCAATCTACATGTACATTCTTTGCATTTCGTTGGGTGTTTCCTATGTGTTCTATCGGACGTTAGCTGCTGATTTCTCTCCATTTATTTGTCTTTATTTTATTTTATTTTATTTTTTCCATACTTACTTTTGGACATTCCGCCGTACTGTTTATCCTGGAATAGTTTCTTGGGATTTCTCAACTTTTTTTCTTTCCTTTTTGTGTTATTTTTGGATATGTGTGGCGTGTCACCATATAGATATCGTACAATATAACAGCTTTCCAATTCCCAGTGTTCCAGCTGATTATTCGTGGGGTTTTTTTTATTACGCATAGCAGGGATCATATTAACTTGTATAAGGTGCTCGTGACTGTGGTTTTCTCGAAGCACAACCAGGGTTTTGATGCCCATCTTCGACTCCATAGCACCAGCCAAACATCCCGTTCTCCGCTCGTTCTGAAGGGAAATGGGCTAAAGATGATACGAGTAGATATCTGTATATATTTTTCAGAATAGCGCCCCTCCTCGTGGCGTAGCCATTTTGCTATAACATACGAGATTAGGGAGAAAAAATGTATATCGGTCTATCATATGAAAATTATCCAGAAACATTCTTGGGGGGCAAAGTTTACCATCGCCTGGTACCTAAGTAAGTTTAATCATGTTGTTAAGTTTAACCCTACTGTGACCAGCAGCCATCTGCGTGTTATTTATATGAAACACGCACGGATATTTTATGTTTGATATAAATGATAGGCCGTCTCTTGCAATGCTCTCACCGCCGTGTCTCCATGACACCTGATACCATCGGTTTATTTACTTGGAAGACTAACGATGAGAGAACCTAATCCCTTTCAATTGAAGTGATATAGATGTACAATATCTGAACCGATCGAAGTGAAGAAGTGAATGGTTCTTGTTCCGATATTTTTTAGACGTCTGGCTTACATAGGATACGATTTCCAGCGTTTTCCATTGTGTTTCTACGTATATATACGACTCTTGAAAAGAGAGGGTCATCCTCATAATGCCTCCCGGAGAACAGAGCTACACTCTCTCCGTCACAGCAGGTCCCGGCTACAACCCTTCAACCCACAAGCCAGTCGCCGTCAACTCCTCCGTTCCCCACCTCATAGAAACAGAGCACGCCACCATCGACCTCCGTGTTCGCATACAAGAGTACACAGGTCCGTAGAACCGGCCCTGCCCAAGGGTACTTCCAGTCCACTCTACTTAACTTTTATCCCCCCTCAGGCCTCCCCCGGAACTCCCCGCGCACCTGCCCATACTTCTCCCACCCCGCCCACACAAACGACCAATACTCCATCGCCATCTCCTTCGTCCCCAAGCGCGCGATTCCTGGTGCAGAGCTTGTCTTCGGCAACGATTTCGACCGCCCCATCCGCGACAGGTTGCCGCCGGGTACGAACCAGGCGCTGAAGTTTGTTAAGTGGGCTATTGACCCCGGGTTAGAAGGGGATGCGTATGCGGATAAGCCGTATTTGTATGGGGCGGCATTGTCAAGTTGGAATTATTTGAGGGTTTGTGGGGTTGTCAGGGAGAGGGAGGAAGGGGATATGGTGGGAAGCGGAGAGGGAAGGGGCGCGGACCAAGAGGAGATCATTGAAGAAGGTGGGGAGGGTGATGGAGAGGAAGTTCGGAGGAAATTGAATGTTCCTAACGATCCGGCGGGGAGGAGGAAGTTCTTTTTGGTTGAGGGGAATCGGGATCGATTTGTGTTTGAGGAGGGGAGGCTGTATAAAGCTGATTTTGGGAATGGGTATTTGGGATTTAGTGGTGAGTTTTATTGACCTACAGACCCGTCGATATCGCTATCTCTTCTCTTCTGTCTTCGAAGAGCTAGGAGTGTTGATAATGGGGATGTGTACGCAGATTTCTCCCTCCGCCTCCCCGGCTTCAGCATTAAGGTGGCTAAATATATCGATGCAAAGAACCATCAACTTCGCTATGTGCTGAAGAATAAAAGCACAGGCGATGTATATTTTGTGGTGTTGTTTACGTTACTTTTGGGTAAGGCTGGTGCTCGTGATTGTGACGATAACGCATACGAGAATGTTGATGTTGACGATGAGGGAAAAAATGAAGAAGGTAATAATAATAATGAGACGTGGTATGGCGAGGACGACGAGGGCGTCGATTGAAATTTGCTATGGCCCTCGTTTCTTGCCTTCCACCTTTAAATGCATTGGGTCCGAATTTGGCTTAGATTTTTGGGAGTTATGGTGCAATAGAGCGATCTTAATAGATTGGATGGTGTTATGTAAGGGTCAATAGAGCTATGGCGTCTGGCATATTTGCATTGTTCAATTCGAAATCTATTTTGATAATAAGTATTCCTTGGTTCACAATTTTTCGCTTTTACCTTGCGCTATTGCAGTCTAAGTGGTCTCCAGACCACTCATACAAAACAGTACATTTTCTCACAGCCTCCTTAGTACATCCGCCACCACTTCCTCCGTTTTCGCCTTCCCCCCCAAATCCGGCGATAAAAACTTCCCTTCATCTAAGTTCGCATCAACCGCCTTATAGATGCTAGCGGCAGCTTTCTCTTCTCCCAAAAACTCCAACATAAGTGCAACACTTCGCAGCGTCGCGATCGGATTCGCGATGCCTTTGCCCTCAATGTCTGGCGCAGAACCATGACACGGTTCGCCGATGGCAAATTTTTCACTAACGTTGGCGCTGGGCACAAGGCCCAGCGAACCGACTAGCGCCGCAGCGCCATCTGAGAGGATGTCGCCGTATAAATTGGGCGCGACAATGACGTCGTAGTAAGAAGGTTGGCGGAAAAGTTTGTATACCATTGAATCGACGATTTGCTCTTCAACGGCGACGGTGTCAGCGAAGCGGGGCTGTGCTAGCGCGCGCCGTGCCGTCTCGCGAAAGAGGCCGTCGGTTTGGCTGAGGACGTTCGACTTGTGGGTAATGGTGACCATGGGCTTGGACCTGGTGTTCGATTTGTCGCTTGCGGCAGCGCCATCGCGGATCTTTTGCCTGCGCAGGGCGATGTCTCCGGCCATGGTGGCGATGCGGAAGGAGGCATGTTCTGAAATTCGCTTGATGGCCTCGGCGACTTTGCCGTTGGGGGAGTCGAAGGTTTTCTCGTCTTTGACGTAGAGGTCTTCAGTATTTTCACGGACGATGACGAGGTCGATGGGGTTGGAGCCAGAGGAGCCTATTGTGGTACGGACGGGGCGCACGTTTGCGTATAGGTCTAGTCGTTTGCGGAGGGCAACGATAGGGGAGGAATAGCCCGTGACTTTTGTGCTGGGCGAGCTGGAAAATTTCATGAGTACAATAAGGTTCTCGCAATTGGGTATATTAGTAAATAAGGTAGCTCAGTTACCTGACAGCCCCAAACAGCGCACCGTCACATTCTTTCTTGAGGATCTCGACGGTTTTATCTGGGAGGGCCGTCCCCGTCTTCTTGAAGGTATCATACCCTGCCTCAAGGTCAACAAAGGAGAATTGTAGACCCAGCGACGAAGGCAGGGATTCGAGAAGTTTGCGGCCAGCCTGTTTTTGTACCGTCGCTCAGAATTTCAAAACTTCAATGGAAGATAGCGACACAAGTCTCTCTCGTTTATAGTTATCTCGAGTCATCGAGAGCAAGGATATTGGATGAACGTACTGGGATGACTTCCCTTCCGATTCCGTCGCCGGGGATGAGGCCTATAAAATTTGTGAGTAATAGCAAAATTGAATATAGCAAGGCGGGCAGGAAGCAATTGACCTATTCTCAGTGTTCTGGCAGCCATGGCGGTGGAATAACTGTTGGATGCTATATAAAATCCTCCCGTATCTCAAATCCAAGCATTGGAAAATGTCGGCGAGCCACTATTGCTTATGTAATGAAGCCTCGGCCAAAATAGAGTTTGGAACACAGGAAGCAGAAGAGTCGACCTTGCTAAGTAAGCCACCCGACCTTGTTATATAATCAGACCTTGCTAGCGCGGCCCATGCATCTACCAGGAAGCAGAAGAGTCGACCTCGCTAAGTAAGCCACCTGACCTTGTTATATAATCAGACCTCACTAGTGCGGCCCGTGCACCTACCTGACCTCACTAGCTTAAAATACAATGACAAAGTGTGACAGCTGTGAAGAACTAGTATTCAAATAATTCAATTAATTATCAATTGATTGAACAATGACAACTAGTTAAAGAATTATATATTTTTTATAAGTTATATGTATGTATAGATATTAATTAATTATCAATTGATTTATAACTGATTAAAGAATTATATAGTATATTTCTACAAACTATATACATATATTATGATATATATATTAATTGATTATCAATTGATTGATAATTAATTAAAGAATTATAATATATTTTTTATAAGTTATATCATATATGTATGTATATATATTAATTAATTATCAATTGATTTATAATTGATTAAAGAATTATATAGTATATTTTTATAAATTATATATATATATTAATTGATTATCAATCAATTGATAATTAATTTACAATTGTTTAAAGAAATTATAATAATATATTTTTATAAGTTATATTAATATATATATATTAACTAATTATTAATTGATTATCAATTAATTTACAACTGATTAAAGAAATTATAACAATATATCTATAATTATATATATATATTATCACTATTATATTATATTTAAAAATTAAAAATATTTTATATTTTTAATTTTCAATTAATTTTAATTAATTTTTAATTGATTGAAAATTGATTAAAATATTAATATATTACTTTATATATTTTAAGAAAATTAAGAAAATTACATAATACAGTTCTGTTACTAGCTGTACTTTTGTATTTTACAAAATCAGATAGATGCACAGACTGCACTAGCAGAATCTGATTATATAATGAGATTGAATAACTTACTTAGTGAGGTCAACTCTTCTGTATACACTGCATCTACTCTATTTTCCACAGTATTTATTGTCTTATAATTTGAAACCATTCTTGATTTCTTAATTATTTTTCATCACTTCATCAATCAATTCAGAATTGATTGATGATCAATTCTTTTCTCATTATATTCTCTATATATAAGAATAAGTTTGTTGATTTAATCAGTAATAATGATACTCTTTCTGACACTGAGATTAGCTCAGAACTTAATAATGAGATAATTATTAATATAATTAATTCTGAATTAATTGAGAATTGATTGCTAATTACTTGAATATATTTAGTCTCTTCTCATTCATCTAACTGATGCAATTAGTCATTCAATATATATCTCAAAACTAGAATATATTTATAATATCTCTGAGTATTTAAAAACTGAAGTAAAAGAATATATATATATTATCTCAACTGATGCTTTGAATGTTGAGAAAATGATATAAATGATATATGATATAAGTTATATCAATCAATTGAGAATTGATTGACAATTGACTGATAATTAATTCAGATTCAGTATGAAAAGACTCAGATTCATTCATTTAAACAAATATATTACTTCTTTCTTTATACTAGAATGAAGAAATACAAGTTCAAATATACTGATATCAAAATCTGTCAATATTTAGATGAAAATTTATATTTTTCATCTCATAATAAAGTTACACAGAATATGTGAATAAATTTTCAAAAAATGCAGAAGAATATTCAATTGATTGAAAATAATCAACTCAAACATAATACTATTAGATATAAATTAATTGATAATTGATTGTGAACTGATTATTAATTGATTCTCTAGCTATTCATAATCAATCTGAGCAATATTCTATAATCAAACTTTCTGTATATAATACTCTGAAATCTGTGCATCTGTTTTCTGCTGATATGAGATTTCAGTATAATTTAGTTTCTTTTCAATTGATTAACAATTAATTACTGATTAATTATTAGAATATTACTGAGCATCATACTTTATATATTTTCTATATCAATTCTTCACAGAATAATCACTCTTATCATTTCTTTTGAGTGATACAAGAAGTAATATAAATGAATGTTTCATTTTTTAAAAGAGTTTTTCAAGAGAATCTTTTTTTTATAGAGGAGAATTTCGATTTGCATCAGTGCCACTTTTCTTATAGCCTCTTTCTCTTACAGTTAGATGCTCTTCTCATTCAATCTAGTATTGCTCATTTGAATCTGACATATTTTATTTTGATTTGATGCTGTCTATTCAGAGATGATGCTTGCTCTTGCTGCTGTGATCTGTATCAATGTCATTCATTGCAACTATATAAAATACTCTTCTTTCTCTCTCTTGTGCATGCACTTTCTATCTTGTTTTTCTTTTCAATCTCAGTCTTCTCTTGTTTCCCTCTCTTCATCAGTGATTGCTGAACTCTAACATCTGTATCTCTTCTTCTTTTGATAAACACTGAGCTGACTCACTGTCATTATCATCATACTGAATGAAGTTACTCAATCTGTCATAGCTCAACTACTTTTACAACAATTTATTGTCTTGATAACTTTCATTATATTTTTATACTTTTGTTCTTCTGTAATTTACTGTTTTCATTCTTCAGTTTCTTTCTACTGTTTTTTTATTCTTTATATACTCTTAATTCATCATATTCATTGCTGTTCTCAGACTGTCAGTTTTTTTTTCTTCTCTTTTCTTATCTTTTCTTTTCTTTTTTTTTTTTTTTTTGTCTGATATCAGAGCAGAGGATGTGCTGTATTTTGAGTCAATGACAAAAATACCTCATTTCTTATAAAGCTGTATATATAAGTCTAGATTTGAAATTATGACACAGCTGCATCAGTGGCCTTGTCAACTGATTCTTGAAACAGAGTTTTATATAGATATTCAATGACTTTGAAAAGTCACAATGATACAATTATCTGATCTGACTGCAGTCTTGCTGATAACTAGATCTCTGTGTATTTTATATAAACAAGCTGAAGATAAATGAATGACTGTTATTGCTTCTCTTACTTTATATTATCTGCATCACTGTGCATATCTATATCTCTTATCTCTGCAAGAATAATATATTCAATTTTCTTACTGAAGGTGAAGCTTAAATTTGAATAATGAGATGTTAGCAGACTGTGTAAGCTGAATGATATTGACTGATATATCTTGCAACATCAACCTCTGCTGATTATTCTCATCACAGAACTTATATATAATTTAGTCTGTTTCTATATCTGCAGTGAAATGAATCATTACAGCTAATCTAGACATTATTTGAAATCTCTTAATAGATTATAATCATTTTGATGCTGTCTTCTTGTTGCTCAAGTTGTATTAGAGAGTTATATATACTATTCACAGTATGAGAGGCTGTTAAGATGAACTCACTGTTTTTTTCAAATATGGTTGAGAAGACTGTTCTTGATCAGCTTAGCTCATATTATATAAAAATGAGAAGACTGTACTTAGCTGATTTGAATCAGAAAATAGCATCTACTTCTTTGATACAGTGAAACTCAAATTATCTTACTCTGTATTGAGTCAGTATATATTACACTTCTGAATCTGCTATATAGATGTTTTTCTTTCTTCTACAAAATTGTGAACTTCATCAGTAAGATTGAATAAAACAGTCTGTGAGATCATTTCAGAGTAGATGAATATTATTTAGCTATCATGAAATTCATCAACTATACTCTCTCTCAGTCAGAATATAAAATCTTTCAAGTTCATTTCAATCACTTTTATTCTTCATACTCTATACTCACAATACTCTCTCTGAAATCTCTTAGATTTTTTTATTCTTTCTCTCTCTTTCTCTTCTGTCTATCTGACTGTTCTAATATCATCAATCTCTTATCATACTCTATATCTGTATCTCTTCAGACTCAGCTCATGCACTCTGTATTATTGAAACTATATTCTCTATTTAGCTGTCTCTCTTTCAGTTTCTCACTGTGCATCTCACTTCAAGACAGCCACAGCAGTCAAGATTCAGCACAGACTATTGTACTAAATGATTTTGATAAGATGTTTATAGAGAATGAAATCAC